TCTCAAGGGCACCCGTTGTCTGCTGACTCCCATGGGTGTCTCCTTCTCACTGATGAGGACAGTGCCTGCCAGCTTTCTCTGTGGTGGAGTCAGTTTCTCCTCTTGAGAAGCAAGTAGCAAGTCACTGGTCATAGCTCAGCCTCCATGGGGACCTGTGTACCTACGGAGGAGCATCCCACAGGGAATTCCTATTCAGAGGTTTCCACCTACCTGAGTTCTCTGCAAGGAAGCCTCCTCCTCTCCCCCAGCTGTTTATTTTACTCAATTGTATATAGCAGGACAGGCTTGTGTCTATTTATTTTATACTTTGCTTTACAACTGTCATTTATTTTGATTGAGAGGGTGTGTGGCTTCAGAACATGTGTGGGTGTGTGTGGAAGCCAGAGGACAATCTTTGGTGTTAATCCTTAGAATACCAACTCCCTTATTTTGAGACAGTGTGTCTCACTAGCCTAGAGCTCACTGGGCGGGCTAGACTGGCTGGGCAGGGAGTCCCAGGGACCCTTCTTTCTCGATGCTAGGACTGCAGGTGTGAGCCAGCACGTCTGGCTTTTTACGTGGATGTTAGGGTTGAACTCATGCTCTTGTGTTTACACACAGCAAACGTTTTACCAACTGAGCCATCTCCCCAGCCCCTGCCTTGTCTTTCTGGCACTCAAACTGGTCTAGCCTTGGCCAATGGGTGTTTCTCTCAGGTGGGGTGCTTGTCCCAGCAACACACCTACACTTTTTTCTCGGCTCCTTTTGTTTCATCTCTCAGGGTGTCTCTGTTTTCTGCTATTGCAAGATGCCGGGGGCTCAGTGTGTCGTCTCCCTGCCCCTGCTCCAGAATCAGCCAGAACCCTCTTGCTTGCACCACTCTGTTTGGCCAAGTGTGAGTCCAGCTGGGCCAGCAGACACCATCAGTGAGTGCCAGGCAGGATGCCAGGCGCCGGGCTCAGCCAGCAATCCGTCAGTCAGTGCTTAATCAGTAGCTCTGGGGGAAAGTGAGGCCTGCATGGGTAGCTCGGAAGTTACTGATAGACTGAACAGCGTGTCCCTGACAAGCAGTAGTTACACAGATGCTTGCTATTGTGACTCCTGGATGGCACCAAGTCTCAACAAATGTCGCCATTGGTTTTTGGCTGAACACTCAGATCCCTACCCCAGCTCACGGTGACAACTGACACGTGAGTGAGTCTGTAACCTAACGCTTGGTGGGATCCATGCTTATGTGTATAAGTAATGCAAAAGTGAAGTAAGATGTGACAAGGGAGGGGACCTCACATGTCCACCAACAACCCCAACTCCTAATAGACGTCTCTGCTGAATCGGATACTAGCTTCCACACACTGGAAGAGCATGTCGTGGCTGCAGAAATGACACGTATCCTCTGCATTGTTAATGTTTTATCTGTCACTGTCTTAGGGTGGGGCAGAGTGTGAGTGGGTGTGGTATATGCGTGTGTGTACAGGTGCACTCACTCGTGTGTGTACAGTGCACTCACTCATGTGTGGAGGCCAGATACTGACATTGGGCATCTTCCTCCATCACTGTTGACCTTAGACAGGGTCATTCCCTGCACCTGGAGCTCACTGTTTAACTAGACTGACTGCCCAGTGAGCTGTGGGGATCTGTACGGCCAAAACAGCAAGGTTCAGTATGAAACCCTGTCTCAAAAAAAATAATTAAGATGGAGACACAATTGAGGAAGATAACCTCTGACCTCCATACACACACACACACACATTTTTAAAAAAGAACAAAGATTGTCATCCATCCCAAAGTGTGGTCAGGGTCTAGTGTAAGCTAAGTCTTTCAGATCTGTGGTGTTTGGGCATCTCTCCTTTCACGCTGCCACTTCCCCTCATTGTCCTCTCTATCTCCCTGAAATTTAGGGGGTGCATAATCCTAAGGCCACTCAGCCTCACATCCCTTCTGAGGTGCCATCCAGGTCTCATCTAGATTAAAAGCTGACTAAGAGGAGACAAGTCCTCAGCAGTGTGCATGCTGGCTGCTTAGAATGGGAGGGGGAGGTCCTTTCTGGGGTCTTACAACATGGAACACAGAGCACCCCATCTGACTCCACCACAGACATCTGCTACAATGCTTTAACTCTTGAGGACAATGTGCTAAGAGAAATAAGCCAATCGTAACATGACTTAGCTCCGGGCTGGAGAGATGGCCCAGCAGTGAAGAGTATGTGCTGCTCCCTCAGAGGATCCTTGTTAAGTCCCCAGGACCCACATCGGTGCCTACAACTGTCACTACTACTCTGGGACATCCAATGCCTCTGACTGCCATGGGCACCTGAACTCACATACACAGACATATACACATCATTTTTTAAATCTTTTTTTAAAAAGCATTTCCATCAGCCCGTGTTTGAGTAGGGAAGGGACTCAGTATCTGTGAGGTACCCAGAGCAGTCAGGTCCAAAGAGAAAGAAAAAAGAAAGAGACTGGAAAGGGAATTGATGCGTAAGAAGAGGACTTCGGGTTTGTAAGACACAGCAACCTGAATACTGTAAGACTACTCATAGGATGCTTTTAAAAATGCTTAGATGGGGTAAATTTTGTGCATGCTTTGAGAGAGGATTTCTGTTCACACAGCCCTCAAATTCATGCTCTTCCTGCCTCCCAATTCTGAGGTTACAAGCATGCTCCACCACACCCCCGTCATGTCCTGGGGGGGTTGTTTGTTTACAGTTCTTAAGAGCCCCACTTCCCCTCTCCTCCCTCAGGGTTACTACGCTCTCAAGCCTGAAAAGTCAGCTATAGCAGAAGACCCTGGGGCCCAGCCTACTCTACTCAGCTCTGCTTGGATCACATGCTCCTTGAACCAATCCTTATAGTCAAATCAGGAAATGTGACTGTCTGTTTACTTAGTCCCTCCCACAAAATAGGGGGAGAATGCCCAGAACCACCTGGACCCAGAGATACAGAGTGGGTCCTGCCTGTGGTCTGGGAGGTGATGTTCCTCATCACTCAGTACTCTCGAAGTTGGTTCGCCTGAGATGCATTCAGGCCACATGTTCAGTAAGCATCTATTAATCCAGTTAGAACAGTCTAGAAAAAAACCAAGGCTAAAGGGCTCAGCCAGGAACAAAACTCAGTCACGTGTCCTTTCTGAAACCAGACTCAAAGTAGGTCAGTGCGGTAGCATTCCTAAGTGACTCAGTTTCCCTGGATACTTTTCTCCTCACTGGCTCTAAGAGTATTCTAGGATGCCCAGGGCCCTTGACCTGCTTCACACTGAGTCAGACCCCTAGCAGGGGACAGACAGCCTTCCTTTGATGGAGACATGGCAGAAGAGATCTCATCAAGCTCCAGTTTAGAAGTGGCTGTCTGCTCCTCATGGGGCTAGTGCTCAAAAAAAGAAATGACAGCCTTGGAAACACTGGGGCCACAAAGCTCTCAGCAGAGCTTGGCGCTTGGAAAGTGTGCTGGGTATTCATTCCCAGGGAGAGGAGAGAGACAGAGGTAGGGCATGGGCACGCGCACGCACGTGTGTGCGCGCACACACAGAGAGAGAGAGAGAGAGAGAGAGAGAGAGAGAGAGAGAGAGAGGTGGGGGAAGGAAAGAGAGGGAGGAGAGAGAGAAAAGCAAGAGAGAGAAAATAGACAGAGAGAAAGACAGAGAACACAGAGAGGGAAGGAAGTAAATGATAGGCAGAGAGACAGGATGAGAGAGAGAGAGAGTGAGAGAGAGAGAGAGAGAGAGAGAGAGAGAGAGAGAGAGAGAGAGAGGCCGTGAGATCCAGAGCCCTAACTAATGTTCCCTGAGCCTGGGTGACTCATCCAAGGGCTGCTGTGGGAATAGGTGAGCCCAGAGCAGCAGACCACAGCCCTGTTGCCGTCATCATCGAATGACAAGGCACGGGGGAGAAGCCTCATTACAAGTTCTGCGTCAGCCCACACTACATGGACTCTCCTGAGAGGACAGATCCTGACGTCTCTCCTGGGGGAAGGCTCTTGCCAGCATCTGCACTGAAGCAGCCATAGACACCTTCATCGGGTCCCAGATTTGAGGTGTCTATAAAGCACCTGCCGGAACCAGGTGCTCAGGAGGTTGAGGATGAAGGTGGATGAGGCAGCGTCCCACACCAACCCCTGAGTTCTCAGCCTTGGGACCTATAGGGGACCACAATGTGGATGGAAGAATTGTCTGGGTCGGGGGGTACCTAGAGTTGACCTGACTCTCAGTTACCTGCTCACCCTTCCTTTCATGCCCCTGTTTACACCCGGCATGACATACCTAGTGTCCATTGTAGGTGCTACAGATACAGGGGTGAGTGAGAAGGGGAGAGGTCCTAGTCCCTGAAGGCTGACATCCCATCAGTTCGGTGCTGTATCAATGGCTTGGGAGAGGAGAGGGCACTGAGATGGATCGTTGCGGGTATGGTGTGTATTAGAATAGTTTACTAACACCGTGGACAGTCAGAGACACAGTCAGAGTCAGGATGACATGGACTCGAAGGAGAGTTCAGGCCCCAGAACCAGAGTCTGACAGCATGGTGGGGGCTCTGAAGAGAGGAAGCAAGCCCACATTCCTGAAGATGGGAAGGTTTCACAGCTCACGCCTGCAGCCAGGCTCTCTGGTTCCCAGGCGGGAGGCAGGGAAGAGGTGGAAGCAGGGTGTATGTACCCCTTCGATGTAAACTCACTTTCGGGTGAGAGACCTTGGCCCCTGGGAGTCTGTTAGGTGTCTGTCAGTGTCCGTGAGAAGATGGAGACCTGCGTGTGTTGAGGCCTGAGCAGCAGCTGGATTCTCACATCATATTTTTACAGCACCATCTTGCCCGGCCTCAGCGTCATTGACATCAATGCATTAAATGAGTCAATACATGGGGATTTCTTGGCAGAGTATGATGGCCACCTAGGCTTCCATGGCTAGGTCACTGTCCTGAACTTGAGGAGCATGCAAGGTTTCCTGGAGGGAGTGACTCGCCAGCTGGGTCATAGGACAAGCCATGCTGTGCCTGAATGCCACTTCCTCCGAGTCTCCTGTCTGCCCTACAGGTCTCCTGCCCATGGATGAGGGGCCCAGCACCTTGGCCAAGGCCGCAGCCACCTCTGCCCACACAGCAGCCACACCAGTCATCCTCGCCACCCCACATGCCCTTCCACCAGGGCATCCCACCAACAACGGTGCATAGAAGTTGGTCACAGGGTTGCCCCAGGCCCACCATGGCCCCACCTGGCCCTCACCAGCGGCCCATGAGTGCCAGCGGGAAGATGTTTTCCTTTATGATGGACCCTAAATCCCCTGTCATCAAGCAAGGTATGTACCGGGCTCTAGGGGATGGCTTCTGGCAAGGATAAAGCCATGAATACAGACTGGCCTTGTTTTTCACTTTTCTCTGACGCTAAAACCAGACTATAACTGATTGTAAAAAGCATAATGGTAGGCAGGCAAAAGGGCTGGGTAGGTAAAGGGGCCTGCCACCAAGTCTGACGACCTGAATTTGATTCCCAGAACCCACAAGGTAGAAGGAGAGAGCTAACTCCTGCAAGGTGTCCTCTGACCTCCTCACACATGCTATGGGGCACAAGCACGTGTACATGCAGATGCACACACGTGTGCACACAGAGTTAAAAATAAATGAGATGGGGCAGGGGCTGGCGAGATGGCTCAGAGGTCCTGAGTTCAATTCCCAGCATCCACGGGGTGGCTCACAACCATCTATAATGAGATCTGGTGCCCTCTTCTGGCCTGCAGGCAGAACACTGTATACATAATAGATAAATAAATCTTTAAAATAAATAAATACAATATAAAAAAACACAATTACTCAAATAAAGAGGGAAGGCTGGGGATGGAATCAGCAGAGTGTTTGCACAGTATGCATGAAGGCCTTGAAGTCTTGCATTGTACAAAACTGGACATGGTAGCTTATAGAGGGTCAGGAGATTAAGGCCATCCTAGGTTACATGGTGCATCAAGGCTAGCCTGGGCTACATGAGAACCTTCTTAAATAAATAAACCTGAGCACAGTGGTGCACACCTTTAATCACAGCTCAGGATGCAAAAACAGACAGATCTCTGTGAGTTCGAGGCCAGCCTGGTCTACATAAGAAAACAGTTAGGAACCAGCTGTGCTCTTGTAACAGCTGGATCCTCCTTCAAGGTCCTGTTTGCCTCCCAGACTGCCCCAGAGCCCCAGTCCACACTGCCGTTCCCTGTGCAGTTCACTGATATCAGTTTAGGGGGGTCTACCTGATTCCCTTTGTTGTCGATGAGCAGGAGTGTTGGTAACAGAAACCCCGATTGCCCTGGTAAGTTGAAAATGTGTTACTACGGTGCAGGCGAGAAGAAAGTGAAGTTTATTAAAGAAAGTGCTTTCCCCAGAGGGTAGCTACCTCCGCTGTAGGCTAATGTAGCATTTTCTATAATGTTATCTCTCATCTCCATGACTGCCCCCGCACAGCTCTGTAGTGTCGGAAACACGCAGCCTTGGGGTAAGGTAGGGCACCACCCCATTCTTATCCCAACCCCTTCTCAAAAGTTTCAGGGCACTTGGGGATAGGACATGCTGTCCATTCCTGTCCTCTTGGCCACAGTAGCCCTAGCAACAGAGCAGATCGGTCCCCAGGCTTCCTCCAGGGTGGCTTGGTCAAGGTTTCATTCCTTGCCTTCCCTGCCTCAACTCCACAGCCCATTTTCTTGGTGCTCTCCACTTCTGCTCCTGACTTTGATCATGACCTTTCGCCTAGTCGCCCTGCTCCATCACTAAAATTATAATTGCCACTGTGAATTGTTGGGGTAGGGAGTAAGCACATGGACTCTAGGATGGACATCACCCTCACCATCACCATCATCAAATGAGTCACCCAGGTTCTGGAAGCTGCCTGCCATCCCCCAGCATTTGGACTCAAACATACGGAGTGGGTCCTACTTGGAAGGCATAGGCAAGATGATCACAGGCTCAGTGTCTGCTTGAGCTACAGTGTGGGTTCAAGGCCACTCTGGGTAACTTAGCAGGACCTGCCTCCAAATGAAAAAGAGGAGGCCTGGGTGTACAGTTCAGTGGATGAAGGTCTGCCTCCTGTGTGAGGCCCTGGGCTCTATCCTGAGTGCTATCAACAGAAAGAATTTCACAGAGAGTTTTCACCTAATTCTATCTGTAACACTCTGTTTAGGTCTGCATTTTATTTTATATGTCTGGGTGTTTTTCCTGCATGTAAGTCTGTGCACCACATGCATGCAGTGCCCATGGAGGCCAGAAGAGGGTGTCAGAGCCCCTGGAACTGAAGTTACAGATCATTGTGAACTGCCACAGGAATTCAGATCCTCTGGAAGAGCAGCCAGTGCTCTTAACTGCTGAGCCATCTCTCCAGCCCTTTATTATTTATTTTAAAACTATTTGTCCCGTCCTTCATTAACTGAACCAACTTATTATCTTATGCATTTCAAAGCACATTGCACATGTCTACAGTATTCCCCCTAAGTGTTTTTAGCACGTACACCATAAACTAGTTCAATAGATTTTGTCTTTTAATATAGAGGTCACACATACAATGTGTATCAGTCATTAACTGTGAAGTAACAAATTGTCCCCAAACCCAACAGCCCAACACACACACAGTGAATGAAGAACTTGTGTGTGATGGCCTCTGTAGGTCAGGGATTGGGGGTTGTTCAACCCCGTGGCTGTGGCTCAGCGTATCTCATGAGGTAGAAGTTGTGGCTTCATTGGAGCTGGCGAGTCTGCCTCCGACGTGACACTGCCACATGGTTGTGGGCAAGACTCCTTCCCACACTTGTTAATTACTTCTTATCTGCTGCTGTTCTCAAGTGACCGAAGAAATTCGGGAAGAGAGGGTTATTTGGCTTCTGTTCCCAGAGGAACGGAGATCATCTCAGCAGGAAGGTACAACAGTCAGTGTGCTCCCTTGACACAGTTCTCAGTGGCTGTTGAGGGGCTGGGACTTGGACCCAGGACCTTATGCAGCTGGTCAGGTGCTCTGCCACTGAAGCTGAGCCCAGTCCAGTTTTACTGTCTTACATTTGAGACAAGGTCTCACTGAATTACCTAGACTGGCTTTGAACTTGCTGTGGAGCCCAGGCTAACTTTAAATTTGTGATCTCTCTTTCTCTCTCTATATATACATATATAGATAGATAGAGAGGTAGATAGATAGATAGATAGATATAGATAAATAGATAGATAGATGTGATATCTCTCGATAGATAGATAGATAGATAGACAGACAGACAGGCAGGCAGATAGATGGTATTTTAAGTTTTTACTGAAAATAGATTTTTTCCATAGAGTATATTCTGATTATGGTTTCCCCTCCCCCAATTCCTCCCAGATCCTTCTCATTTCTCCATCCACCAAAATCCACACCCTTTCTTTATCTTTCTCTCTCTCATTAGAATATAAACAGGCATCTAAAATAATAAAATTAGATCAAATAAAAACAAACCAGAATTGGACAAAACAAACGGGAGGGGGCAGGGCCAAATGACAGTCATAAAAAACAGATACAGATGCTGACAGACACACATTTGCACACACAGAAAAGCCATAATAACAAAGTTGGAAACTATAAAATATAACCAAAAGACCTACAAGGTTAAAAAGAAAAAGAAAAGAAAAGAACCAGACAAAGCATTGTGAGACAAAAATCCTCCCAAACCACCACTGAGTTGGTTTTGTGTTGGTCATCCATTGTTGTGGAATACTATTTTAACTAGGCAAAGACGTGTTACACTTGTTTCTGCTGCCTTTGTTAATGATGTAGATATGTGTTACATTTGTTTATGCTGCATTTGTTTAATTATGTAAAGATTTGTTTAATTATGTAAAGATTTGTTTCACCTTGCCTGCCTAAGGCACCTGACTGGTCTAATAAAAAGCTGAACGGCCAATAGCTAGGCAGGAGAAAGGGTAGGCAGGGCTGGCAGGCAGAGAGAATAAATAGGAGGCGAAATCTAGGCTAGGAAAGAAGATGAATGAAGAGAACGAGAGAGAAAGAGAAGGAGACACCTGGGATTAGCCAGACAGGCAGTCACCAGACAGACAGACAGACAGGGAAGAAGCAGGAAAAGTAGAACATACAGAAAGGAAAGGTAAAAAGCCCTGAGGCAAAATGTAGATGAAGAGAAACAGGTTAAGTTTTAAGAGCTAGCAAGAAACAAGCATAAGGCCAAGCACTCATAATCAATATTAAGACTCCCTGTCATGATTTGGGAGCCGGTTGGTGGCCCAAAAGAAAAAGCCTGGTACAATCTACTGCTGGGCACAGGCCTGCCCCCCTAGGTGTGGTTTGTATACCCAGTGAGACTCCATTGGAAAAACCTCATTTTTCCTTTCCACTGTCTCAGACTCTTCCTGGGTAGCTGGGATTACAGGCTCACCTGAGACCCAGTGTATACTGACTATATTACAGAGCCCCAGAAGGCAATAGCAAATAGTTTAGACTCACCGGCCACATGGCCTATGTTGACAGTATCCTTCTCTGCCCTTGTAGAGCAAAAAGCAGCAGCTGTAGATGAACCAAAAGTGAATGATTCCAGTAACATTTTATTTTTAAAAGTTTGTTGGTTTGTTTGTTTTTGAGAAAGGGTCTCACTATGTAGCCTGGGCTGTCCTGGAACTCACTCACAGGCTGGCCTTGAACTCACAGAGATCTTCTGCCTGTCTCTGACTCCCAAGTGCTGGGGTTAAAGGTGTGTATCACTACTGCCCAGCTCAAAACTTTCTAAAGACTTATTGATTTGATTTGATGTACATGGATGTTTTGCTAGTGTGTATGCCTGTGTATCACATGAGTGCTATGCCTGAGGAGGCCAGAAGAGGGTTAGAAGGTACCAGACGGCCTGGAACTGGAGTTAGAAATGGTTCTGAGCTGCCATGTGGGGGCTGGGAATCGAACCTTAGTCCTCAGCAAAAGCAGATAGTGTCCTTAACTGCTGAGCCATCTCTCCAACCCCAAACATTCATTTTTAAAAAGCATTAGGGAGCTGAAGAGATGGCTCAGGGGGTGCTCAGCACTGGCCACTCTTTCAGAGGACTGGAGTTCAGTTCCCAGCACCTACATCAGGCAGCTCGTAACATATATAACTCCAGCTCCAGAGGATACAATATCTCTGGCCTTCTCAGATGCCTGCACTCAAGGGTATATACCCACATGCAGACATACATGCCTTAAACATATAGTTTAAAATAATAAATATATTTATTATTTTTATATAATATATAATATTCAAAGCATTGGGCAAGGTGACTCGTGTCTGTAAGTCCAACACTTGGGATGCTGAGGCAGGAGGATTGCCACGTGTTCAAGGCCAGCCTGGGCTACACAGTGCATTTCAAGGCCCAGTTTGGCCCCAGAGCCAGTCCTACTCTACGTCTTGTTTATTTAATCTCATAATAGCTCTCCGTGATAGAGACTGTTAAAGTCACTGAATTATGTATGTGGACACAAAGGCAGAGAGAGGTTTAATGACCCACTCACAGTCACCGGGTCTTAATGCAGCGGAGAAGGATGCCTCAGTGATTGACAGGCCACATAGTGATGGAGAAGAGAGGTGAGGTGGCTCCTTTCCTGGCCAGTCCTTCCTCCCACAGCGATGTCATTGCCTCTCAGAATACACTCTGCTCTGTGCTTTTAAAGTCAGAGAAGGGCCAGAGAGATGGCTCAGAGGTTAAGAGCACTGACTGCTCTCCCTAAAGGTCCTGAGTTCAATCCCCAGCAACCACATGGTGGCTCACAACCATCTGTAATGAGATCTGGCGCCCTCTTCTGGCCTGCAGGAATGCATGGAGACAGAACACTGTGTACATAATAAATAAATAAATCTTTAAATAATAATAAAGTCAGAGAAGTGGCTGGGAAAATGGCTGAGTTCAGGTCTCCAGAACCCATGAAAAGCAGGGTAGTGCACATCTGTAATCCCAGCAATGGGGAGGCAGAGACAGGAAGATTGCTGGAACTCGCTGGGAGCCAGAATACCCCAAACAGTGAGCTCCATGTGCAGGGAGACCCTGTCTCAAAAAATAAGATGGAGGGAGGTAGAAACATGACCAATGTTGACCTCTGACCTCCACATGCACCTGTACACATGTGCACACTCACCCTCCCACAGACATGTCCACAGGAACACACAGGCATACACACAAACACAAAGTTTAAAAAATAATAAAGATTGGGCATGGTGGTACATGCCTTTAATCTCAGCCCTCTGGAGGCAGAGGCAGGAGGATCTCTGTGAGTTTGAGGCCAGCCTGGTCTACAGAGCGAGTTCCAGGACAGCCAGAGATACATAGTGAGACCCTGTTTGACTAATAATTTAACAACAACAACAAAGCCAGAGAAAATGTAAACCACAGAGCAAGGTGTGTGGGTTACGCATGTAACCCCAGCATTCAGAAGGCTGAGGCCGGAAGACTGCAGAGAAGTTGGAGCCACCCTGCGCTACTTGGTGAGTTTGGGGCAGCTTGGGCTATACAACACCAAAGAGTTATATAACAAAGGGTGAAAAGTGATGTGACCCTCAAGGGGAAACCATGACCACAGCTCAGGGTGTGGGGCCCCTCCAAGCTTGGGAAGCCACTGTGCCTTGTTCTCTGTGGATGTCACACAGTGTGGGCCAGCGCCATGGAAATGTCAGAGCAGTGTGTGGTCGAGGGATTCTCCGGGACGATGCCTCCCACCGAGATCTTCATGGACCAGGACCTAGGCCAGCAAGACAAGGTGAGAGGGTATTGGGGGTGGGGGAGACACAGTGCTCTAACAGTCAGAGACCACAGATAACTTGTCACCTCTTCCTCTCTGTGTCCTGTGTCCAAGGAACCACTTCTTATTTAATAGACAATTGTGTCCACAGTTTATTGAGCACCTGCTGTGAGCCAGGCTGAGCCCCTAACATCATCAGCTCCTTTCATCTTCAATGGCTTCAGGACAGATTTTTGTCACCTCCACTTTATTGGTGAGGAAACTTCAAGTCAGAGAGGTTAAGTAACGTGCCCAAGTTTGCACAGCGCACGGAGTAGAACTGAATTCTCATCCAGGTCTGGCCCTTCTCTCACACACCCAGTCAACCCCAAGTGATTGCTCAGTGGTGAGGAAAACACACCCCTGCTGAGAACTGAGGTTGGTAACAGCTGAGCCAAGGGGATGCCTTAGAGAAGAGGAGAGGAGATGTCAGAGGCTGAACCTAAAAGGGAATCAGCATAGAAACCGATCACTCCCCACCCAGCCACAGCTTGAAAGCAAAAACAGAAGCCTGGGAAGGTGTGGCTCAACTGATAGAGGGCTCACCTACCAGGCACAAGGTCCTGGCTTTGGTCCCCAAAATGGCATAAGCCAGGCAGGTAATGCACATCTATAATCCCAGCACTCAGAGGTGGCACCAAGAGGGTGAGAGGCTCGAGGTCATCCTGAGCTACATAATAAGCTCAAGGTCCAGCCTGGACTACATGAGACCCTGCCTCCAAACAAAGCAGCAACAATAAAACACAGCCCAACAATGCCTCACTTTCCTTAAAGACCAGGGCCTGAGCCCCAGGAGTTCTTGCATGTGGGGAAACAGGATTCCTTTGACACTCGGATCACAGCCTTAGAGTATTGTAGCTAGGGCCAGGAGGCAGTTCTGAGGTTGGTGTCCTGAGACCAGACTGGGAGGTGCTGTGGTAAGATGAGAAGCCACCTTGCAGACACTGTCACTAGTCTGTCACCTTGCAGCAAGCCACCCCCAAATCTAGTGGCTAAAAGCAGCCATCCGCCCTTCCCGGGTCTCCCGTGACTTGCGCGATGGTCCTCTGCCAGTTCCTTGCAGCTTACACACAACTGCAATCGGTGCAGAGTGTCGCGGGGCTGGTGGTCTCAGGTGGTAGCAGCCATAGGTCTGGGTCCTCCACCACATGGGGGAAGTGACGACCTCTCTGCATGCAGCCTGTCCCCAGCACCGCAGCCCGCAGGTCCCCAGGGTGCCAGGGCAGACACCGCGGTACCTTGACAGCTTACTCAGAGCTCCCTCCCTCTGTCCCACTTCCACTGCCTTCCGTCTGTCCACTCAGCCTGCTCGGAGCTCACTCGCTGTATCACTTCTGGTGCTTTCCATCTGTCCACTGGGGTCACGAGCTAGCTGAGACTCGGTGGACGGTAGAAATGTCACTCAGTGACAAAAGCCACAAAGTATCTGTCACCGTGTTTAATCCACCACCAGGTTGCTAAACTGGGAATAAAATAAAAACAGAATGATTTTTGCTACTTTGAGCATTTATGTCCTGATTTCCCAAGGCACCTACCTTCAAGAACAAGTGAGAGTCGACAAGTGGGTGGGAAGTGTGCACCAGCCAGTCTTCCTGGACCGTTGAAAGGCTAGCAAGCTTCAGGCATGGCTGGATCTAGGCTCTTCAGTGATGGCACTGGGATACTCGCTGGTGCCTGTTCTACTCTGTTCTTGCAGTTTGTCATTCTCCAGCAGGCTGGCTTCCTGTTCTCGACAGGATAGTCATGGGCAAGCCCAAGACTCTAGACTTAAAAGTCCATGATCCAAAGTGAAGCAGCCCCCCCCACACACACACACATCTTAAAATCCACACACAAGGAGCTCTGAGAAAACGTGGGTCACAGGGACATTAGGAGGAGGGACAAGGAGTGAGGTACTTGATTGACATTCAATACTACCAAGACCACGTGGGAGGATTGGGTGACACTCCTTAAGAAGGGCATAGGGGACCTCACCAGAAAGATAGACGCCATTGCTGGACACCATACCCAAAGGTTTGCTTATATCTAGGGTCCAGTGCAGAACCTGGCACACAGAAGGTGCCCAGTAAATGTTTGTGCCATGAATAATGGCCAAGCATAGTCCATGCTGAGTGTAGAGACCCTGGGTGGCTCGCTTTGGATGAAGCAGGGGTTCCCCAGGAACACAGAGTCTGTTAGAAGCTGCAACATAAGCGTTCACAAGAACCCAGAGAAAAACACATGGAAGTAGCTGGCCACACCAGCAGACTCCGTCATGCTGGCCACACCAGCAGACTCCGTCATGCCTGTGACGCCATCCACTCCCCCGCCCCAGGCATGTAGCTAGGATTCTGTTTTTCTGGTCTTTCTGACATTCTGAGGGGTTCAGGGTACCATCTCTCGCTTTGGGGAAACCGAGAAAATTCTTTGGCCACTGTTTTCCTAGGGAGGCGGTGCATGGCTCCACCTGTGGGAAACTCTGCCAACAGTCCCCACATCCCAGAGTTTTCACAAGCCACCAGAGCTCAGCATTCTGCTTCCAGACTCAGTGGTTTCCTGAATACACTTTCATGGAGACTTCCAGAGGAAGCAGAGGATTCTAGAAGAGAGGAAAGAAAAAAATGACCCCTCCATAATACATAAAAAAGTATTAAGTTAATGCCTTTGTTACAGTCAGAATGTGTTGGGATTGAATGCCATTCTAATTACCTTTGCTGGACCTCTGACATCCTGGATGCGGGCCTCGTAAGGGAATGCACAGAATGATTATAAAGAAACTTCCTGCCCACTGACATTCCCGGGGAAATTGTGGTTTACCGTGTGAAAGTATTTTTTCTGGGTAAAGGAAGTTTCTGTGCCTCAGAGGCTCCATTATAGGCACCGAGGCACAAGTTTGTGGTTCTAACCCAACTCTAATCTCTCTGGGGCCTTCCAAGAGATGCAGTCTGTAAATGTCTCCTTGCCCTTCTGCCTACCCACCCAGCCACCCCCCACATTCCCCAGAGTGACACCCTGTTTCCTCCGTATTGTAGAAACAGGCCAAGCTTATCACCCACCCCCACCCTGGTAAGCCTCCCTCTTGTCCCCTCACAGGATGAGATCATTATGCTGCTGGGGAGAGAGGTCAATCGGCTCTCTGATTTTGAAATGGAGTCCAAGTACAAAGATGCAGTAATAATGAACCTGCAGGGCGAGGTGGCCGAGCTGAGTCAAAGGCTATCAGAGACCGCCGCCGCCGCCGCCACCGCCAGGCAGAGCGACAGGTGCGTCCACAAGTTCCAGGGCCTGGACGAAGACGATGATCTCAGGCAGAAGGAGATCGAGAGTATGAAAAGCCAGGTAGGACCGGGGAACAAGTCCGTCAGAGCCTAGAGTCCCCACCGTCAGAGTACAGATGGGGGGAGCTGGAAGAGGGGCATCTAGGGGCCCTGCTTCCCAGTACGGCGTGTGTTGGGCCCTGGAGAACATTCTTTAGATGTGTCACAGTCCTCTGACACACCCCACAGAGAGGCTGTGGTGGCTCCAGAGATGCTCAGGAGCTGCCCGGAGCCACCACAGCTCCCTGCTGATGCCAGAGCACTGCGGACTCGGATCTGCTCTGCCTCGTTGAACCCACACCCTCAGCCCAGCTCCGCATTTCTACCCCACAGCCTGGTTTTCTTGCCTTACTGACTGCCCATCACACCCATCCTGCCCCACTCCCAAAGAGCTGCAGCCAGTTAGCCCGTAAGTGAGAATCCCCAGCTCATGCAACTCCAACACCCCCTCAAACCCTGAAGGTGGCCCCTGGCTCCATAACGGGCTGTGCCGTCAAATGAAAACTCTCCACTTAGAAGGTCCGCAGTAACCAGGCATCTTCCATTCTCTGGAACCTAGATCCAAATTCTTGTTTTATTTTATTTTATTTTTTTTGGTTTTTCGAGACAGGGTTTCTCTGTGTAGCTTTGCGCCTTTCCTGGGACTCACTTGGTAGCCCAGGCTGGCCTCGAACTCACAGAGATCCGCCTGGCTCTGCCTCCCGAGTGCTGGGATTAAAGGCGTGCGCCACCACCGCCCGGCTTTTTATTTTTTATTTTATTTTATTTTTTTGGAAAATTCTTGTTTTATAATAACAGCAATTGGGCTGAGGAGATGGCTCAGCTGTTCAAGTGCTTGCTGAGCAAGCGTAAGGACCTGAGTTCGATCCCCAAGCCCGTGTAAAAAAGCAAGGCATGCAGTGTGGGTGGGAACTCTTACAAGGCCCCACCCTTTGATGAAGAGCTACAGGCAGTCAATGGAGTGGGTCAGCCAGAAACACGTGTGCCTGTGAGCAACACGAAATGGACTTAGGATGTGTGTGTGTGTGTGTGTGTGTGTGTCTATATAACAATAATGTATAGTACATATAATATATATGCATAGATGTAACAATAATAATTAAAGATGAAGAAGCCATGAATTGAGAGGGAGTGGGATGCGGGAGGAGTGGGAGGAGGAGGGAGTGGGATGCGGGAGGAGTGGGAGGAGGAGAGAAGAGGTGGAAATGATGTAAATACAGTACTCATGTATGAAATTCTTTAAAACATTCTAGTTAAAAATATTTAAAAGAAGCAAGGCATGGCGGCCGCACTTGTAACGCCAGCACAGGTGAGGTAAAGGCAGGCCTTGGGGCTCTCCGGTCAGCCAGTCCATCCAAGAGGCAAGCCCCAGGTCCCAGTAAGAAGCCCTCTCAAAAAATGTGGTCAATGGCTCCCCAAAAATAAGGCCCGAGGCTAACCGCTGACCTCCACATGCACATGTCTACCCACACACGTGAACATGCCAGCATACATATGCCTACATACACACCTGCATGCATACAATACATTTAAAAGAAATAATGTGTGGCCACATTGGTTTTGTACATAAACTGTTAACGATTGACACAAGAGGCCCCCGTTCACGGTGGCAGTGCTACCCCTGGGCTGGTGGCCTGGCTGAGCCAGGCATGGTGGTGCACACCTTTAATCCCAGCACTCGGGAGGCAGAGGCAGGTGGATCTCTGTGAGTTTGAGGCCAGCCTGGTCTACAGAGTGAGTTCTAAGACAGCCAGGGATATGCAGAGAAACCCTGTCTAAAAAAAAAAAAAAAAAAAAAAAAAAAAAAAAAAAAAAAAAAAAAAGGAAATAAAGAAAAGAAAAGAAAAAGAAAGAAAGCAGGCTGAGTGAACTATGAAGAGCAAACCAGTAAACATCCTTCTTCCGTGGCCTCTGCATCAATTCACGGACGGCTCCAGGCTCCTGCTGGATTCCTGCCCTGACTTCATGGCGGACTGTAAACTGTCGAATAAAATAAACCCTTTCCTCTCAAAGTTGCCTTTGGACATAGTGTTTACCACAGCAACAGAACTCAGCTAGGAGCAGTGCTCACCTATCTTTGTCTGTGGCAGCAGGTCACAACTGGAGTATTGTTTCAAGTGACTAGTGATTTTTCCCTTGGGAACGATCTAGAAACAACCACACTCATTTGTCACACTTCTATCGTCCGTTGTAACTGAAAGGGGGATTTTATTTTGGTTTTTACGCGTGCGTGTGTGTACCACAGCACGCATGCGGAGGCCAAATGGTAACTTGCAGGAGTTTGATCCCAGGGGTAAAATGCAGGTCATCGGTCTTGGTGGCAAAAAAAAAAGTGTTTTATAACGAGACCTGTGATGTTAGATAATGATTGTCCACTGGCCCAGATCTAGAGTCATCTAGGAGACCAGCCTTTGGGCATACCTGTGAGGGACTAGACGAGAAAACCCACCCTCACTGAGGGCGGCACCATCCCCCAGGCTGGAGTCCGGGCCTGAATAAAAAGGAGAAAGCGAGCTGGGCACCAGCATCCATCTCTCCCTGCTTCCTGACTGCAGATGCCGTGTGGCCAGCCGCCTCCTGCTCCTGTCACCAGGGCGGTCTGTACCCTCAAAGTGTGAGCCCACACAAACCCTCCCTTCCTGAAGCTGATTTTGTCACAGCCTGCCTGAACCCAAAGATGCGCTGGATTTAAATCCGAATCCGGTTCCACGGGCTCCTGTTTTAGCTCCTGAACTATTTTATTGCCAGCAGAGCCCTCGGGCAGAAGCCAAAGGCGCACAGCAGGTTAATTAATGGCTCTGATTACTTTATGTGTTATGGGGGTGGGTCCCCTGAAAGCATGTGCCTGACGACTCGCTCTCAAAGCTCTTCCATCCGCCACCATGCCACTAGAACACGCCCGCTTCCCCGCGCCTGTGCTAATTGGCAGGCTGGTTATTACCTCTAGGCAATCATCCTTCCCAGCACTGTTAACTTTCTTATGATCCAATACCCGTTTTATTATGCAGCCTAACCAGGCAGTAAACATCCTGGGGTTTGCGCCAATGAGAGACCGTCTGGATATTTATTTGGGTAATGAAGGCTATGAAGACGTCTGAAAACTGTTTGCAATTTGAGACCCTGAAGCTGTGGGGCTTGATTGAAATATCTTCTGTCAAATGGCCTTAAACTCTTAGGGGCATCCCTTCCCATCCCTCATCCCCATCCCTCATCCCCAAGCTCATCTTCAGAGAATGTCTTTGGTGTCCTGCATAAGAAAGATTTAGGCTAAGACTTAGGCGTGTTTGGTTTGGGTTTTGAACGTGTGTAGTGTATGCCTGCACATGTGAACAGGTGCACACACCTGTCCCTCTCAGTCTCCTTCCCCTGAGGCAGGATCTCTCAGCCTGGAGCTAGACTGGAAGCCAGCAAGCCCAGGGACCTCTCTGTCCCCCACAGGGCTGGGCTTACAGGCTTCTGTGCCGACAGTGCTGTTCGTTTGTTTTGTGGGTGCTGGGATCTGAACTCGGATCCTCCTGCTTGCGCAGCAAGCTCTCTTACCCACTAAGCCATCTCTGAGCCCCGTAGAAACGTTTACTTTTAATTGCACGTGTCTTTTACAGTAAGCAGGAAGAGGTGAGCTTTCTTCATCCATGGTTTCCAAGGCACACATCCCGGTGTGTAGCTCCAAGGATGGTGAGGAGAACAGCCTGTGCCCCCTACACACACACACACACACACACACACACACACACACACACACACACACACATACACTGGCATTTACCCTCCCTGGGTCTTTTCCATTATTTAAAATTTTTATTAGAAGATTTAAGAACTAGTGAAAGTGAAGGAGATTTAAATGTGCATAATAAAAATTAACGAAAAGGTAAAAGGGGCCAAGATCCAAACAAAACCAAAACTCCCTGGAAGTAGTTAAATGTGTAAAAATATGGGGAAACTACCACAGCACTTCCAGTGGCATTCTTTGCTACTAACAAGCACATCTGAGCAGCAATTCCTAACAGCCTAATGAGGAACTTAAGTCCTCCAATGATTGCTCTAATCTAACCAATCATGACTTTGGGGGGTTTAAATAAAGTGTACTTAACATTCACTGAGATCTAATTAATCGTTTCCTGCCTAAGGGAACCTTTCCCCTCTCATGGCCTCTTACCCTCCCCCACTCCCACATAGACAGTGCATACAAAAAAATTAGAAGCAGGCTGGAGAGATGGCTCAGCGGTTAATAACTCTGGCTGTTCTCTCAGAGGACCAAGGTTCAGTTCCCAGCACCCACGTGGCGGCTCACAACAGCCTGTAACTCCAGTCCCAGAGGGATCCAATGCCCTCTTCTGGCCTCCTAGGGCATCATGGACACATGTGGTGTATAGACAAAGATGCCAGCATACACTCATATACATACGTAAATACAAAAAAAAAATTAGAAGTTAAGGTCCCCACATTTGAGAGATAACAAATGGTGTTTGTCTTTCTGAGATCAGGCTAGGATACCTCACTTAATATAATGTTTTCCAGGTCCGTCCATTCTCCTGCAATTTTGTTTTTCTTTATGGCTAAATAAAATCCCCTGGTTGATTTTTTTTTAAACAAATTCTTTTTTTGTTGTTGTTTTTTTGTTTTTTTGTTTTTTTTAAGATTTATTTATTTATTACGTATACAGCATGTATGACTGCAGGCCAGAAGAGGGCACCAGATCTCATTACAGATGGTTGTGAGCCACCATGTGGTTGCTGGGAATTGAACTCAGGACCTCCGGAAGAGCAGTCAGTGCTCTTAACCTCTGAGCCATCTCTCCAGCCATATACTAAAATTGGAACGATACAGAGAAGATTAGCATGGCCCCTGGTTGATTTTACCAAGGATTTCCAATCAGGCGCAGAGGGAAGCCCAACACGGTCCTGTGGGCGCCATCTAGTGGTGAGATGCAGGTGCAGCATGCGCTGCTCCCCCCACCACCACCACCACCCCACCACTCCACCCACGCACCCCACCCCACCCCATCCGACACACCCCCAGTCTGGGTGGAACAGGACCTGCCCTTTGTCATTTTCATGCCAGGCCTGTGACTGGGCGTGACGGTCAGCAGTCATCCGGTAGTTAAGTTTGTCTAGACAGGATTCACAAGCACACACAAAAATATAGTCTGTCTTCCTTCCCTCAAAACAACCAGAAGCTAAAGCCAAAACAGCATAGGATGTAATCATATAATCATAGCTAATATCTATATGTTCATGGGGCATTGTCTGAGCACTTTTAAGGCTATTAACTTATAAAAATCTCTCCACAGCCCTGAAAAGTCGGGACTAGCATGATCATGCTCACAGAGCTAAAAGCTGAGACAGGACCAGGCATGGCATGGTGGCGTATGCCTTTAGTCCCAGTACTTGGGAGAAGCAGAGGCAGGCAGATCTCTGTGAGTTTGAGGCCAGCCTGGACTACATAGTGAGATCCAGGCCAGCCAGAGTTACGCAGAGAAACCCTGTCTCAAACAAACAAACAAAAAACTAAGACAGGACCCAGGGCCTTTTCTATGGCAGCATGGCCTGGAGATGGCAGGGACCAGATGTTGGCAGTCACCCCCCCCCCCCAAGTATAGGCTACATAGTATAGACTCCATCTCTCTCTCTCTCTCTCTCTCTCTCTCTCTCTCTCTCTCTCTCTCTCTCTCTCTCTGTGTGTGTGTGTGTGTGTGTGTGTGTGTGTGTGTGTGTGTGTGTGAATATGGTTGTGTACAAGTGTTTGTGTATGCATGCAGGTGTGTACATATAGAGGCCAAAGGTTAAGCCAGGTATCTGCCCCTGTCCCAATTAGATTTATCGAGACAGGGTTTCTCTGTGTAGCCCTGGTTGTCCTGGAACTCTGTAGACCAGGCTGGCCTCAAATTCAGAGATCCACCTGCCTCCACCTCCTGAGTGCTGGGATTAAAGGTGTGCACCACTACACCCATCTCAGGTATCTTTCACAATAGCTCTCCACTTCTGTTTCTTGGCAGGATCTCTTAATTAGCCTGAAAGTCATGGTCCAGCTAAACTGGCTAGCCAAAAAGCTTCAGGGACCACCTGTTCCCCCCCCCGCCCCCCCAGTGCTGGGGTACCGGGCACACACCACTGTACCAGGCTCTGTGACGTGGGTTCTGGAGATCTGTCCTCATGCTTACATAGCAGGAGCTTTACCAACTGAACCATCAGCCCCATCGCATCTGACACCAGTTCCTGTGGCCTGTGACAAATGGGGAGCCCGGCATCTGTAGGCTGGGCTTGAGTGAAGCCCCACAACAGGCCAGCTGTGAAGCCCGAAGCAGGCAACCTCAGCTCTCCTTTTTTTGATTTCAAGTGGGAACCCTATGGGGACATACTTCAGGGTGCTATGAGGCTCCATGGAAGGAGCCCGATCTGAGAATGTGTCTGGAGCGCCGGCAAGTGTGACCAGCTTGCTTTCTTTTTCTTTCTTTTTCTTTCTTTTTCTTTTTCTTTTTTTTTTTTTTGTTTGGTTTTTTTGCTTTTTCGAGACAGGGTTTCTCTGTGTTGTTTTGGTGCCTGTCCTGGATCTCGCTCTGTAGACCAGGCTGGCCTCCAACTCACAGAGATCCTCCTGCCTCTGCCTCCCGAGTGCTGGGATTAAAGGTGTGCGCCACCAACACCCAGCTGTGACCAGCTTTTTTACATTGACAAAATTCATGTGTAAGAACTACACTATTTTTAAAACTCTCAAAATAATAATAATGTCATGGGCTAGTGAAGGTGCTTGCTCCCAAGCCTCACCTACCTGAACTCAATCCCTGGGACCCACAGGAAAAAAAAAAAGAGAGCACCAACTCCTTTGAGCTCTACGTGTGCACTACGGTATGCCCATGACCACGCCCCCCAATAAAATTGTTTTAAAAACTCATAGTGTTTTCAATAAGTTTCTGGGTTTGTGTTGGATCACATCCATGGCTAATCTGGGGTGCACACAGTCTGTGGACTGCAGGTTGGACACATCTTCTACAGGAATCTGTGAAATATGTCCATTGTCATCGGAGGAAATTAAGGCTACGACCTGTGCCCTCTCTTGAACTCTGCTTGACATCCAGCCAGTGATGGCTGATGGGAAACCCCAGGGCTGGTCTATTTATGGCTGAGAGTTCCAATGACACAAGAATGCACATTAAGAGGACAGGTATCCCAGGGCAGCGGGGCAGTGGCACTTTTGTCAGCACTGAAACAAGATCATGTGACAGATCAGAATCTCTGCACAGGTTTGGGAAATGCCCATGTGTCTTGAACCTGGGCCAGGGCCCTCTGACTACGTGTTGACTCTTCCCACAGATCAGCGCCCTTCAAAAAGGCTATAGCCAGGTGCTAAGTCAGACCCTGGCCGAGCGCAACTCGGAAATCACATTATTAAAGAATGAAGGCGAGAGCTTAAAGAGAGACCATGCCATCACCTCAGGTGAGTTCTTCTGGAGTCAGGCTTAGTAGATGCTCCCCCACCACTGACTCTTGTGGCCCTGGCAGACATCACCAATCAACCCCCACACTCTTCTTCCTGAGCTTAGACAGAGCCTCAGAGTTCTTAGCAACCTTCAGGCCATACTGTCGGTGACTGGGGGTCTTTCCCAGAAGTGTGCTTGCCAACTAGCTTTAGCACAAGGTCTACCTCAAAATCAGCCATAGTCAACATCTGAGTGAATGTCATCTTTTAGCTAGCACCCATCTCTTCAGGGATAACAAAGATACTGAGTGGTCTGTAGTCCTGAGAACCTTTTCCTTGAATGGGCTCTTAGCCCAAGTGAAAACTGTTTGCTAACTGATCAACGAAGGTAATTCAATGCTGAAGAATGTGGAAAGGGGACAGTCAACTCATGGGCCACCTTGACAGCCACAGAAGTTAATTAGCATGGATCCATCCATCCATCCACCCCTGTATTACATTTACTAACAACTGCTGTGTCTAGTTCTGGACTCTGGGAGGAGAGCCCTCCCTAAGCAAGTCATCAATTCCTACGCTCCAGGCTTGGACATAGCTGAGGGTGACAGTGACGGGCATAGATAGGTAAGCAAGCCTGTCTGAGGGATAGAATGGTGCTGTAAAGAAAAGAAAATGGGCAACATGGTGGTGAAGGGCTTCGGGAGTAAGGAAAGGGATGCCGCGTGTGTCTGCAGGAGGAGCCCTGTGGGAACAGTGCACTGCTAGCTGCAAACACATGTGCAAAGGTCCTGGGGTAGGAACCAGCTCTAGCTCTGTTGAAGGAGCAACAGGTGAGTGTGTCTCAAGGAAAGAGAAATTGTGAGAGAGATGGGGTCAGAGGAGAAGGCAGAGCCAGATCCCACGGGGGGTTGGGGTCTTTGAAGCAGAGAACACATGTCTAGAGACTAGAAGAGAACAGAGGTATCAGGAGAAAAAAAGGAAGAGTGTCAAGAATTCCGGAACAAAGGCGGGGGGTTGGGGGGACTCAGTCAGTAAGGTGCTTGCCAGGCAAACAAAAGGACCCAAGTTCAGTCCCCAGAACTCATGTAAAAAGTCAGGCACAAGCCGGGCAGTGGTGGCGCACGCCTTTAATCCCAGCACTCGGGAGGCAGAGCCAGGCGGATCTCTGTGAGTTCGAGGCCAGCCTGGGCTACCAAGTGAGTTCCAGGAGAGGCGCAAAGCTACACAGAGAAACCCTGTCTCGAAAAACCAAAAAAAAAAAAAAAACTCATGTAAAAAGTCAGGCACAGGGGCTGGAGAGATGGCTCAGCGGTTAAGAACACTGGCTGCTCTTCCAGAGGTCCTGAGTTCAATTCCCAGCACCCACATGGTGGCTCCAACCATCTATAATGAGATCTGGTGCCCTCTTCTGGCATGCAGGCATACAAGCAGGCAAAACACTGTATACATCGTAAATAAATCTTTAAAAAATATATTGAGAGAGAGAGACCCCCCTGCTGGGGCTGGAGAGATGGCTCAGTGGTTGGGAGTGCTGGCTGTTCTTCCAGAGGACCCGGGTTCAAGTCCCAGCACCCACATGTTAGCTCACAACTGTCTATAACTCCTGTTCCAGGGGATCTGACACCCTCACACAGATATACATGCAGGCAGAACACCAATGTACATAAAATACAAATAAATAAATTTTTTTTTTAAAGTCAGGCATGGTGGTGCACACTGTTAATCCCAGCACTGATGAGGTGGAGACATGAGGATCCCTGGGATTCATTGGCCAGGCAGTCTAGATAATTGATGAGCTCTGGGCTCAGTGAGAGACCCTATCTCAAAAAACAACAACAACAACAACAAAACCAAAACAAAACCCACAGTGGAGAGAGAGTGAGGAAAGGCAGATATCAATGCTGAGCCTGGTATCTAGCAGGAGGAGCATCTCTGTCCTCCCCTGGGGAGTGATTCTGTGTGGAAAAAACGGTCACACACGTGGTCTGAGCCCCATTCCAGCTCTTGGGGTCCTCAGCGGCTGACAGTCATCCTCACTGTGTCTTTGGTCTCTGTCCTTGCTTTGTTTAAAACAGGGATGGTGACATCTCTACAGAAAGACGTGAACGCACGGAACGAGCAAGTTCAGCAGCTAAAGGAGGAGGTGAGCCAACTGAAAAGCCAGAACAGAGAAAAGGAGCACCAGCTGGAAGCCCTGGGCTCCAGGGTGAGTACCAGGCTCACCATCTCCTCAGTGCTCAGTAAGAAGGACCTACATAGTCATGTGGCATGCCCCTCTTCACTTCTCTTGGGCCTTGACTCTGGGTGTCACAGCCTCCTCCCATATTGTGGGTTGCAGGGACATAAGGAGGAGTTGCCCAGAGACTAAATTCTAAAGCGTCCTCCTCGAAAGACCAACATCAAGAGCCAAGTTCCCTGTGGCTTTTCTTTTCTTGCTAAGATTTATTTTCTTTTTAATTATGTGTGTCTGTGCATAGGTGTGTGCATGTGAGTGCAGCACCTGTGGGGGCCAGAAGAGGGCACAAGATCTCCTGGACCTGGAGTTAGAGTGTTTATGAGCTGCTGTGTGGGTGCTGGGAGTTGAACCTGGGTCCTCTGGAAGAACAGCCAGTGCTCTTAACCACTGAGCCATCTCTCCAGTCCCCTCCCTGCAGCTTTTCAAAGAACAGTGAGCCTCAGGCTCAGAATTAACATGATTCTGATTCTAACTCATACACATGTCCATTATGTTCATATGGTGTATAAGCCTGTAATCCTAGCACTTGGAAGATCAAGAGTTCAAGGCCAGCCTGGGCTACATGAGACTATTTCCAAAAGATATTAGGAGGGTGAAGTAAAGCACCTTTTATGTAAGCATGAGGACCTAAGTTGGGGTGACAGTCACATGATACCCTCAGGAAGCAGAAAACACACAGTAAGTGAGGCTGGGATGTCAAATCTCAAAGCCCACCCCCATTGACACATTTCCACCAGAAAAGCTCCACCTCCTGGAGGTTCTACAACCTTTCAAAACAGCGCCACCTGCTGGGGACCAAGTGTTCAAACACATGAGCCAATGGAGGATGTTTCATGTTCAAACCACCACACTGAGAACACAGTGAGGAAGGTCCTCAAGCCTTCAGGTTCACTGACAGCATCCAGCCACTGGCTTTAGAGTGCATTCTGTTCTAGTTTCATTTCTGTTGCTGAGATAAAATATCTTGATTCCCCCCTTCACCCCGAAAAAAGAAAAAAAAAGCAACTCAAGAAAGAAAGGGTTGATTGGATTTATTTGTTTTACAATTCTAGGCTATAGTTCATCACTGAGGGGAAGTCAAGGCAGGGACTTGAAGCATCCTGTCCACAGTCAAGGGCGGAGAGAGAATAATCCCACAGATCCCTGCTTGCTTTATCGTCAACTTGCTTACCCCTCTCTCACGCTGTTCAGGACCTCTTGCCTAAGGAATGGTGCCACCCACGATGGGCTGGGTCTTCCTACATCGATTAAGAATCACAACAATCCACCATAGACATGCACATAGGCCACCTAATGTAGACAATTCCTCACACTATTCCCAAGTGACTCTAGGTTGTGTGGAGTTGATAGTTAAAAAGAATCTGTTCACAGATTCTTAAGTGGAATCACAGGGTGGGACAAAGGGCACCTCTTTATGGTCCTGCTGCCTGCTGCCCAGTCCCCCTCCAAAAAGAGTGTTGCATTTCACTCTATGGCCAGATGGTCAGAACCTAAGGAGGAACAAGATGCAGCCCTTAGAGCCACCCAGGTTCCCAGTGGCGTCCCACACATGTTCCTTTACCCAGCTCTTCAAAGACGGGTTTTCCTCATGATTCGGATTGCTGGCTTCTGAAGAGGAATTTAGATCTCAGATCTCGAGAGAGGCAGGAACCCAGGGCCGCTGACGCATCTGTGTGCCTGTCAGACACCAGCTGTCTCCCCGGCTAAGCGTGGGTGTGTGATTGGAGTGGAACAGCACAAGTGCTCAGGGCCTGCTGGGTCCCCGGGAAGGCCCTCCCCCAGACACCTCCACGCCACCAGCCTTGGCCTCTTTCTTTGCTGTTCTTTCTCTTCTCAGTGTTCAGAGCTGAAAGATGAGCTAAGGAAGGAAGAGGCTCAGAAGGAGAGCAGGGAAGCTCAGGAGAAAGAGTTGAAATTCTGCAGAAGCGTGAGTCGAATGTCCTCGTCCATAAGCACACCTCTGAGAGTCTGTCCTTGACGTTCTCGGTGGGACTCGCAGCCCTCCCCAAAGCATAACGCTCTGGCTCTGTGCTGTTTGGAGGGAGCCACAGAGCTCTCTCCAGGGTTCTCGGGCCAGGTGGCTCTGTCTTTCTCATGGGTTTCCTCTGGGACCGAGCAGGGACAAGGATGGGTACAGGAGGCCACTCCTGCTGCTGTAACAGAAGTTCATTCAAGTCCCCTGCCCCGGACCTATGTTTACCTAACTCTAAGTTCCACCATCTTAAATGGGGTCACAGCCACAGGCCGTACTGTGAACACGAGGGTCTTGTGTGTTTCTAACGACAGAGATTTTATAACACTGAGCAAAAATGAAACAAAGAGAAAGGCCATCATTTGCCTTAGAGAGAAGGCAGCCAGACAAATAACTGCAGAGGGCTGGAAGGGGCTCAACAACAGAGAATGTTCTTGTCGAGGACCTGAGTTCACTTTCCAGGGCCCATATTGGGTGACTCACACCCCTGGAATTCCAGTTCCAGGGTACAGGATGCCCTCTCCTGGCTTTAAAGGTTATACACACACACACACACACACACACACACACACACACACACACACACACACTTAAAAATAAACCTTTAAAAAACTGCAATGAAGGTATGATCGTTGCTTATACACCCAGTCCTTCTTGCATCTCGCTGGCCAAAGAGCTTCCATTCTGCAGGAGGCACAGCTCCCTGAGCAGAAGGAGATGTGCTCTTCCACGTGCTGAGGACAACTCTTCTCTTTGCCTCAAATATAATAATAATAATAATAATAATAATAATAATAATAATACAATCTGCACTGCCCTATCCTTCAAATAAACCTTATCTCAGTCAATCTAAAAATATACTTACAAAGTAGTGATTCTAGTGAGTTAATGTCTCTCTTGCGTACTTAATTCAGGATTTGTGCTGGTATTTATTTACTTTATTTATTGCCTTTTTCCCATTTTCCACATTCGCGTGGCATGCATGTGTGTGGACGCGTGTAGGAGGAGGTACACACGTGTGTATGCCTGTGGAGACCAGAGGCTGATGTGAGGAATCATCCTCCATCACCCTTCCACCTTAGTCACTGAGGCAAGACCTCTCAATCAAACCCAGAGCTCCCCATATAGCTCTCATCCCTAGCGAGCTTGCTCTGGACTTGATTGAGAGGCCCTGTCTCTGCCTTCTGATGCTGGATTACAGGCCGGCTACCACACCCATCAGGCTATTATTTGCATTCTGGGGATCCGAACTTCAGACCTTATGCTTGCACAGCAAACACTCAACCACTGAGCCATTCTCCCAAACCCTTCTGCTGAGTTTTTTTCCTCCAAAGAAATTCTTTTTCTTCATTGAGCACTTTGAATACATTAACTGGGGAGGAAAATGGGGAAAGATCTGCTTTGCCTGCAGGTGTAGAGCAGAGAAGGAGCTTAGCTGGGATGGGGCTAGGATCCTACCTCAATGAGCCCCAGGAATAAGGGAGTCCCGAGGAAGGGGAGCTTTCCATTCAGGAGGTAACTCGTGCCACGCCTAGTGAAACTTAACTTCTCTATGGTTGAACTTTATTTTCAGCAAATGCAAGACATGGAGAAAGAAGTGAAGAAGCTCAGAGAGGAACTGAAGAAGAACTGTCCCAATCAGAGCACCATCTCCAAGACGCTGCGAGAAAAGAGCAAGGTGCGTGGTTCAGGGAAGCTTGCGTCCATGACCACAGGAGGTGGGGCGCTCCGGGTGCAGCGTCCTGCTCCACCTGCACAGCGCCTCCGTGTGGCCGATGTCCGCATCTGCCACTGCTCACGGGTGGGAGGAAGTAACCCTGAGCAGGATGCGCAGAATAAAATGGTTCCCGGTTTATCTCAGTGAGACTCGCCCCCATCTGCAGATCCTAGTAGGTCTCATGTTGCTTCCTTGTCCTGGGAAATGTGGCATCCATTTCAGTGGGTGGCAGCCACACAGGACTATCTATATTTTAAATAAACTAAAAGCCAATAAAGTAAAATAAAATTCAGGGCTGGGAGATGGCTCAGCTGGGAAAGCGGCTGCTGTGCAGGCGTGGGGATCTGAGTTTAGATCCCTGGAACCCGTGTAAAAGCAATGTGTGGTGGCACAGATCTGTAATTCCAGCACTGGGGTGGATGGAAATAAGCAGATCCCAGGGACCCGCTAACCAATCTAGAAGAATCGATGAGCTCCAGGTTCAGCCAGAGACTGTCAAAAAAAAAAAAAAAAAAAAAAGTGAATGATAAAGACACTCAGAATCCCATGGCTTCGGGAGGGGCTCATGAGGTCCCACCCCTTGCTAAGGAGCTGTTGGTAATTGAGGGCTGCTGGGGGAAGTCAGTTTTCTCAAGGATGCAAGCCCTGAGATGCTGTCCATGCCCCAGGAGCTGGCCCCACAACCATGCATATATTGGCAGCACTAAATGGACTCAGTGGGTTTTTCAAAAGAGCATGTAAAGTTGGGAGGGAAAAGAACAGAGCCTGGAAAGATGGCTCAGTGATTAAGAGCACTGACTGATCCTGCAGGGGACCTGGCTTAGGTTCCCAGCACCCATATGGTGCTCACAGCCATCTGTAACTCGAGTTCCAAGGGATCTGACATCCTCTTCTGACTTCTGCAGGCACTAGGCATGCACAGGAAAGCACTCATATACATAAAACAAGAAAAAAAAAATAAAGTGGGGGGGGGGGATAGGTAAGGAACTGGAGAGAAGAGAGTAGGAGCATGGATCCGATCAAAACATATTATATCCATGTATGAAATTCAAACAATATAAAGAAAATGCGATTGGAAAGAAAAAAAGACACCTCTGTCCTACACACACACACACACACACACACACACACACACACACACACACACACACACGTACATACGTGCATGTGAGTTCAGGTGACCCTGGAAGCCAGGAGAGGTGTCAAGTCCCCTGGGCTGGAGTTACAGGTGGTCGTAAGCTGCCTGACATGGCTGCTGAGACCTGAACTCAAGTCATCAGGCCCTTTATTATTTTTAAAATGACAGTGACCAGAACAAACTCTCTGTAAAATTTGCCCAGAAAAGAATGCATCTAGATAAAAAACGATTCCAAGACAATGAAAATGGAAACATTTGGAAACGTGCCGAGCCACTGGCTCAATGAACTTCACTGTGCAAATGATCTTTTCAGTGAAAATGGGCTGACTTGGACTTATCTCTCCATCAAAATCATTGTAGTCATGGTAACAGAGCCAAGCTGCTTTCTGGGCCATACATTTTCCTCTAAATGAGGCTTTGGCTGCACCCCACACGTTCTAGGATGTTTTACATTGCAACTCAGAACCCAGTCTTTTCCAATGCCCACTGTTAATTTCTTCCCTGGCATGTGGGGGTATTTGGGGTTATTTTCTAATATGTAATATATGAGGATGTCTTGGCTGCCTTTTGGTTATTGGTTTCTAGATTACATTGTGTACAGAGGTGTGCCCTGGTGATTTTAGCCCTCAGTATTGACTGAGGTTCTCTTGGTGGTCTGCATATGCTCTATGCTTGCTTCGCATGTGCCTACAAGAAGAACATGCATTCTGCAGAGAACACAGTGTTCTATGTGTATCTTTTAGGTCAGGGTTGACCATTGTGATGGTTAGCTTTTAACTGTCAATTTATCAGCTCCTAGGTTCACCAGAGAAGAGAGCCTTTGTTGAGGAATTATCTAAATCTGGCTAGTCTGTAGGGGTTACTTTGGTTGTTAATTGGTATGAGAAGAACCAGCCCACTATGGGTGAGATCATTCCCTGGGTTGGTCCCTGAGCTGTATAAAAAGATGCTGAGAGATTCAGTGCTGGAGAGATGGCTTGGAGGTAAAGAGTGCTTGTTGCTCTTTCAGAGGACCTGGGTTCAATTCCCAGCACCTATATCAGGTGGTTCATAACCACCTGTGACTCCAGCTCCAGGAATATCCAACACCTCTGTCCCCCAAGGCACCTGCACTCGTGTACACATACCCCCACCCCCTGCAACACACACACACACACACACACACACACACACACACACACACACACACATTTTTTAAAGAGAAACCTAGCTGAGTACCAAGTATCAGTGGACAGCATGCATGCATTCATTTTTTTTTCTGTTTTTGACTGTGGATATGATGTGGCTAGCAGCTTGTGTTCTTGCCTCGACTTCCCTCCATGATGGACTATAATTTGGACACTTAAGCCAAATAAATCTTCCTTGCCTCATGTTGCTTCAGTCAGGGTATTATTTTAATTTTTAAAATAATTATTTTAAGTGTATGGGTGTTTTGCCTGCCTATATGTCTGTGCACCGTGTTTGTGCAGTACCCAGGGAGTCCAGAAGAGGGACTTGGACCCCCTGGAACTGCAGTTACAGATGCTTGTGAGCTGTAGGTGCTGTGAGTTGAACCTCAGTCCCCTGGAAAAGCAGCCAGTGCTCTTAACCACTGAGCCATCTCTCCAGTCCCCCGACAAGATACTGCCTTTTGACCCATTGATAAATAATGCAATTGTTGGTGTATTGTGCCTTAAACTTACATTTTTGCTCATTATCAATTGTACCACCTGTTTGTACTATACTTCTTTCACTTTTCTTTCAAACAAACCAACCAACCAAGGTCTCACTGTGTAGTCCTAGTTTTCCCAGAACCCACTGTGTAGATCAGGCTGGCCTGGAACTCACAGATAGACACCACCACCGCCACCACCACTGCCTCTGTCTCTCAAGTGCTGGCGTTGAAGGTATGCACCGTCATACTCACCTCCTCGTTGATAATTTTCACTGGTTTATTTTCCCCCCATATTCACTTGGCATTTTCTCACTTGGCTCTCCGTCCAGTAAGAATAGCCCAAAAGCTATTGTGTCTCCCCACAGTCCAGTACTGACTGAGTTTTCACTCTTTAGATGTCTTTTCACAGTTATTCGAAACATGTGCTTTCAGCTTATCAAAACCCAGTGTCTGCAGGTGATTTCGCCCCAGTCCTGGATGACACAATGGCTACCAACATCCACTCCTTGGTATCACTTGTGACACACAGACTTACACGCTGTAATCATCACTGCCTACACCTCCCTTCATACACTGACATCCCAAGTGCTTTTGCACATTCTGTGTTCCCACCCACAGGAGCTGCGCCTTCCCTACATCCTGGGTATCCACCCAGGGCCTTCTTCTTCTGCCTAAAATACATCCTTAAGGATTTAGGCTCTACTGATGACAGAGTTTCTCAGGGGTGTGTGTGTGTGTGTGTGTGCGCGTGTGTGCTGTGTATGTGCTATTTATGCTTTGTGGAGTGTGGGGGAATGTGTGCGCATATTTTACCTTCTTTCTGGGAACATATTTTGATTGCACTGACTTCTCCGTTGACAGTGATTTCCTGTCTAGAGATCTATTGTCTCCCGACTGTACGTCTAACTGTTACGTAATTGCTCTCACTGTGTGATGGTTGTTATGTACTGGGTCTTCCCTTGCCATTTTGGAGATTCCCTAATGACTCCTAGCTCCTGGGGTGAGCTCATTTTTCCTTACTCGGTTCGCATTCCTGTGGGTTTCTTGCATCTTAGACTTGACGCCTTTATTATTTTGTTTCTTCATTAAGCTTGGAGCTTGGGCTGTGTACTGAAGCCGGAGAGGAGCTACTGGAGGGCTCTGACCCAGGCATTGACCACACTGGCTTCGTGACTAGTTATGACGGTGGAGATGGAGCTGCATCTGGCATTGCAACGGGCATTCTGTCTTTTCACTTAGCCCACTCAGATCTGGGAGCCGTGGTGTCCATGTGACAATGAGGGAGTGAGGGCTGAGGACGCGTCCCAGAGCAGAACAGCTCATGTGAAATCATGTGCTCAGAAAGGGGCAAAAAACGAAGCCAGAAGCCTCATTGAGGTGACTCATCACTATGGCACAGCCCCTAGCCCTGTGTGACTACTGAAACTGAAATCAAATTTGTTTTAAAATTCAGTCCCTCCACATTCATATTTAAAAATAAAATGTTATTTTTAAATTCAATTGAAAACCCACATCCTCCACTGAGCAAGGATGCATCCAACGTCCTTAATCACATGTCATGTATAGCCAGACATGGCCAATGGACAGTGCACCAGGCAGCCCAGGTCATCCAGGCCTCATGGAAGGAAACTGCCTCAGACACCATGAATCACATCTGGTGATTCTCAGCAGTATCCTAAAGAATGCACTAAAAGGAACTAAATTGGAAGCAAGGAGACCATGAATTTCAGGCCAAAGGTCCCCAGTGCCCAGCCTGAGGCTGTGTACAGGATAGGGACCTGATAAGCCTCTGAGGACTAAATGCACCCCTAAATACCTTCTCTGTACCAGTGATGGAGGAACAGGGCAGGCAGGACACTTGAGGGTCAGGGTGAAGCTGGGCTGTGGCTGAGGCTGGCTCTGGGGCTTTGGGCTGGGGAGCAGGGAGGAGGCCACTAGGGTGAGCAGTACAGAGCAGGTCCAAGGCCAGGCATGGAAGTCCAGACTTCTTAGACCTAGGAAGACCTTCGGGGAGTGAGATGAAGACCACAGCTATGACCAGGCTTCTCAAGCAGCCTTGGTCTGAGAGGCTCTTCACTGCCCCACGGGGCTCTGAAGAAAGTTCTGAAGGGTTTGAGGTGTATGGTATTTGTACACCCCTCTCCAGACCCCAATAAGAGGTTTGTGAGGCTGCTTCATCATGAAACCCCTTCCCTTAGAGGAGCACTCCCCTCCCCCACCTCCAATCTACGCTAGAGCTGAGGTCCTCATGAAGGGAAAGGGTCAAGTCAGGAAGAGGAAGGAGCTGCCATGAATGAGGGCAAGAAAGGATAACGAGGAGTAAGTGTGTTCTGAATGAATTGTATACATGTTTGTCCGTGCCATCAGGAAGCCCATTCCATCTAATTAACATCTCATTTGAAAAAAGTAGCTGTGTGAATAGAGATGCAGCCGTGTCCCACAAAGGCCAGCAGAGGGCAGCATTGAGCACTCTCAGGCTTACTGAGAGGGAATAAGTATCAGGCTCCTGTCCCCCCATCCCTTTTAAATGCCTTCTGCAAGTTCCAGCTCTTTCAAAGTGTTGCTTTGGCTGACAATGTGGTCCCCACTGGTGATGTGGTCAGGATAGTATTCCTAATAACAGTATTTACCAAGCCCCCTGTGGACAGGTCACTTGGGGTGTCAGAATAATGGGTGGGTGGTTTATCTTCCAGCTTTATAAGTGACAGCAAACCCTAACAGACATGTAGAGCCCTTAGGAAATACCATGGCTACTCCAAAACACTCTTAACCCCACAGTAAACTCTTCGAGGCAGCCCTGGTAATGCTTCCCCACCCCTCATGGAACACTGACTCACAGACCAGCAAAATAACTCTCTGAAGTCACATGACTTATTAGGGGCTGTGCTTGGATTCAAGCCTGGGGTAGGACTAGCATGGCTGAGCCTGGGGAGTAAAGTCTGGTCCCCAGGGGACAGTGCCTTGCAAGCCTGCTTCCACAGGAAACTCACTGTCACATGGGCTGACCCTCCCCCCCACAGCAGCCATCGGATATCCTAGAGGGGTCTCCCCAGACTGCCTCATGACCACGTTAGCAGCAGACAGCACATGCTTTCATCATCCTTTCAGGTTGAAGAGAAGCTTCAGGAAGATTCCAGAAGGAAATTGCTTCAGCTGCAAGAAATGGGGAACAGAGAGAGTCTCATTAAAATCAATTTGGAAAGGGCAGTAGGCCAGGTAGGAGCCTTCCACAGCCCTCCTTGATGGGCCATGTGCCCCCGGGGGGTCTCCTATACCCAGGCAGCCAATTTTGGTGTCAGGGTGTGGTGGGGTGGAGTGGGGTATGATGCCTAAGGCAGGAAGATGGTGCCATTCTGTCCATCTTCTCCTGCTGGGCAGCTCTCACTCAATAGTGTGCTACAACCCAAGACCCTGGCAGACAACCAACCCTGCCCCGGATCCCCTTGTCCCGTATTCACCACTCCCACCCCAAACCCTCTTCTGCTCTGGAGTGTTTCTAGAACTTTCTCCTTATATTTTCAGTTGCTGACATTTACTCCGATCTTTTCCCCTCCAGCGGCCCACAGCAGATTCACAGCAGCCTTAAGGAAATGCCTTTCTTTTTTAATAAATAAGCCCTGAGTGTCCAAAGTCCACACTAGACAGAGAAGATCCCAGGCAGGGTAGTGAGAGAGTCCTTGCCTGGCTGGGCACGGAGGGCCATCTTCCATCGCTCTGGTCCAAGATGGTCAATGGGGCCTTCCACTACACAGGGCCCGAAAGATAGAAAATGTCCCAAGACTTTACCCAGGGCTTGGGGAGAGCCAACGAAAAGCCGAGAGCAGAGGCCTAAGCCACCCAGGACAGCCACCCAGAATTCTCTGTGGAAAACTCTCCTGAAACCCCGCCTGGCTCAAGACACTTTGTGTTCCGAGGTGTTTGTGCTTCTGTGTCTGGGAGGAGGGACTACCGTAGCACATAGCAGGTTTTCAGAAGGGCTAGGAGCGACCCCCAAAAGGCTAAGAAGCGTAATTCTCTATTGCCCAGCACCAAGTCTACAACCATTTCTACTTACTACCATCCAAACTGTAACCAGGTTGGGTAACCAGGTGTGGCGCCCACACTCAGGACATGTGGAGGCATACTCCATTAAATGGCGCTCACCATTGGACAGCTGTTAAAGCCCTTCATCAAATAACCCATCACACCTGTGACTTCCCCAGCAGGTCCTCAGGCCCTTGTCCCACCACACGGACTTGCCAGTCTGTGTCCCTGAGCTGCCCCTTCATCTCCCCCGAAAATACACCTGATCCGAGGGCATTGCTGCGCTCCTTACCCAAAGCCCTTCATTTCGGCTCCGAGCTGGGTCACCTAAAGGAACCTGAGACTGCTCCATGCATGGATTCCAGAGGGCGGGGACCAGCCTTCCTCCTCCCTCCTGGCCTCCTCACTGCCCCCTTACCTCAAGGCCCTGCCCAGAGTCGCTAGCACCCAGCACACCGTCCAAGCACCTGTCACCATATCCCTCTCACCGTAGGCAGTCATTCCCATGGACAGTCCCTCAGTGGCACCAGGGGGCCCTGGCATGCAGGGCCTCCCCACATCACCAACTTCTTGGGCAGCTTGACCCCTCCTCCGGCCAGTAAAGTTCAGAGCTCTTGGCTTGAAGGTCCTTGCTACTGTCGCCATGTCTGGTTTCCTGGAGTCCGGAAGTCTATGAACTCCTTGACTCTGGCTTCATCCGGTGGCCTTCCATGTCCCCTTGGGGATGTATGTTAGTCTTTAATGCCCACATCTGTCCAGTGGACCACAGATACAGGTCATGGGCTGCCGTGGGAGTAAATTCTCAACCAGGCTTCCTCATAGGAGGCACTGGGTACCAGCTACAGGCCTGACCTGTATGTTTCCATATCTGAGTGCCCAGCAAACACCCACTGAGTGCCCATTCCATGCCTGCACTGTAATGACTCGAGGGACATAGAGATGAATTACAGTGGGCAGAGGCTTTGGGACAGTTGATGTCCAAGGCCCCTGGGGACAGAGTTACTTTCTCCTCTCCCATTGCCAATGCTGGTTACAAACTATTTGGGCTGGCAGCCTCCATATTTATTCCACAGCCTAGCGATGATGAGAAAGCACTCCTGGGCCCAGGCTTCCCATTGGATAATTGAACAGCAAGGGGCTCTTTGGAGGGCCTGAGACATGTTCGGGGACCGTGTGCCTGGGCCGGGCTGGGCACTAAGATGTACTTTGAAGCAGGCTGCTCTGTTCTGTCTGTGGCTTTGCACCCCAGTACTTCATAACTCTGAATTCAGGCATGTGGCCTGGACCCAGAGGTAGAGACGCCATCTGAGCCTTGCTTCTGTCTCAACAACCCCCGCTGACCTGTCACCCCCTCTGTGCCACAGCTAGAGCACTTCAGAAGCCAGGTCATCAAAGCCGCGTTTGGAAGAGCAAAGCCATTCCGTGACAAGCCCATCACCGACCAGCAGGTTAGTGTGGCTCTCCGACCACGTGACTCCTTCGCTTCTGTCTCCGGGGATCTGGATGCCAGACCCTGAGAGCATATGCTTCTGTTTTTGTTAGTGACACATATTTTTCACACTGTTGCTACACCATAAAGATTTGTTTTGATTTTAGGGGATTTCCTGGCTTTTGAAGTGAAAGCTGGCTGAACTCCCTTGAAATGTTACTAGTGGAAATCAAGTCCAGCCGGTCACGTCTGGTCACCAGACGCACTGATGCTCTGTGAGCTGAGGGGTGACTCGGCTTCGGTCCACATACCTTCGTTGATCCCTCCCAAAGGGGAGATAGCCACAGCAGTGTGGACAGGCCTCTGCGATGCTGCCTCTTATCTTTCAGCCCTTTGTGGCCAAGAGCAGATAAGAAGCCGCAGGTGGAGGCTGGAGAGGTGGCTGGTTAAGTGCTTGCCTTGCAAGTGTGAGGACCTGAGTTCGGTTCCTGAAACACAGTAAAACACAGCGGTCTGGGTAGTGTGATGCTTGTAACCCCAATGCTAGGGACGCATAGCGAGCAGATCCCAGGGGCCAGGGCTTCTCTCGCCAGCCAGTCTTAGCCTGCTTGGCAAATTCTAGGCTGGTAAGATACCCTGTCTCAACAAAACAAGGTGGGTGGCACATGAGGAATGTGTCCTCTGGCCACACGCACACGCACACGCACACACGCACACGCATACAAACACATACACAATGCATACCCTCACAGGTGCACCTACACATATGTGCACTGTATGTACACACACACACACACACACACATGCATACAAACACATACACAATGCATACCCTCACAGGTGCACCTACACATATGTGCACTGTATGTACACACACACACAAACACTCACACACAGAAAGAACACAGGCGGGCAGGTACAGGAGAACCTGACCTGTGAAGGCACACAGAACACCCAGCTTAGTGTCAAGAGTCATTGCTGCCAGTGTGGAAGATCTGGAACAAATTCAGAGTGGCAGTACAGACCTACAGTTCCTGGACAATGTGTCCTGGTGACAGAGCACCTGTTCCTTCAGAGCCAGCCTCTCAGGGCCTTCACTCTGGCCCACTGAGGCAGGACTTGTGCGGCCACTGCCTCACAGAGCATGCTGCCCTGAGACGTCTTCCTCCCTGTCCTCTGACCAGCTGATAGAGAGGATCATCCAGGTCACCGAGGACAGCCTCAGCTTCCAGCAGAGGAAGTGGACCCTGCAGAAGGATACCCATCTGGGCAGCTCCAAACGGGAGGAGACCGCACTGAACGTGGAGAAGCTGAGGGCGCTGCTCAACAACTGCCAGGTACTGTCAGGTAGCCTCTAGCCTCACAGGCAGCCTCACAGGCAGCCCACTAGCCCTTCCCCTCTCTGCTACTTGTCAAGAAATTGTCCTGATTTCTGGGGCAGGTTGGGCAGAAACATCTTTTTTAAATCCACCTTTGACTCAAAAATGCCTCCCAGGGAAAGTTGATACGGACAGAAAGAGATGGCTGAGTATTTTCAGGTGCTGTCAGCCCTCTCTGCCCAACGTCTCACATCTGAGGATCAAAAACATGAAGACAAAGAGTGTCACTCACATTGAACACGTACAGGTTTATTTTCTCTATCAAACTCAAAATATAGCTCAGTCAGTCATGTGCTTGCTTGCACAAGCATGAGGACCTGAGTTCGAATCCTTGGCACCCACATTAAAAAGCTGGGCGGCACATGCCTGTAGCCCTAGTGCTTGGGGAAGCAGGTGCAGGAAGATTCTGGGGGCACATGTGACACCCAGTCTAGCCAAATAGACTAGCTCTAGGTTCAGTGAGAGGCCCTGCCAAAAATAAGCAGGGCAGGGGATGGGTAGCTAAGACCTGGCATGCATGAAGCCCTGAATTGGATCCACATCACCACATAAAACTGGACATACTGAGGCAGGCCTATAATCCCAGTCCTTGAGGGGTGGAGGCTCCAGGATCAAGGTCATTCTCAGCTATACAGCAAGGTTGAAGCCAGCCTGGGTTTCATGAGACCTTATCTCAAACACACCAAAAACTTCCTGAAGCAAAGTGTAGAGTTGTTTGAGGAAGACCCCGACGTTGACCTCTGGTCTGCATACACATGCCCCAAAAGTCAGTCATGTGCCAGAGAAGTTTTGAGTTTGTTCTGGGTGGGCCGTTTGCTTTTGTAGTGCAAGGAATGGAAGCTTTGGCCCTGTGCACGGTGGGCAAGTACTGTACCACCGGACTTCCTCTCCACGCCGGCATTTTTCTCGTCACTTTTCTCCTAGCCCGTACATTGTGCTGGGTATTGTAAGTTGCCGAGACCCCATTTAAAGTGTACAGAAGGATGTGTGAAGGCGGTATACGATTGCCACGCCCCTTATTAACGGATGTGAACTTCCTCCAACTTTGGCATCGGTGTCTTGGAACGAATTGATTCCCCACAGATAGGAAGAGATGACTGCACCAACGCTGGGAAGTCCCCTGCTCTGGAATTTAAAAGCAGAAAGAGCAGCCACAGCTGGGGAGAGGGCTCAGCTGGCAAAGGGGCTGCTGCGTGAGCGTCAGGACCTGAGTTTGATCCCACATAAAGAAGTCGAGCATGGCAGTGTGTGCCCGTAACCCCAGCACGAGTGGAGACAGATGTATCTGTGGGGCTCACTGGCCAGCCAGCTGCCCTACCCAATGAGAGCCCCTAGCTCAAAAAACAAAAGGAGCCGGGCGGTGGTGGTGCACACCTGTATTCCCAGCACTTGGGAGGCAGAGGCAGGCGGATCTCTGTGAGTTAGAGGCCAGCCTGGTCTACAGAGCGAGATCCAGGACAGGCACCAAAACTACACAGAGAAACCCTGTCTCAAAAAACCAAAAAAATAAAAAAAATTAAAAAAAAAATAACCCAAACAAACAAACAAACAAAAAACCAAAGTGAATAGCTCCTGAGAAACCACACCTAAGACTCAGACCTCCACACCCACATGTGTACACGCATGCGTGTACACACACACAAATACGAGAGAGAGAGAGAGAGAGAGAGAGAGAGAGAGAGAGAGAGAGAGAGAGAGAGAGAGAGATATGTTTCTGCTCAAAATCTTCATTTTTGGCCTGGCAGTGAAGGCTATTTTCAGCTCATTGCCTTCCCCTCTAGAAGAGGCAGGACGAAGGTCCAGGGTGCACCCTGGTGCCCCCACCCTGAGCATGTCAGAGCACGCAGCTGCTTCTGCTTTCTCTTGCAATCAGAAGCTACTATTTGGGGAGTTTTGTGCAAATGTTGGCTTGTCAGCACTCTTTCAAACAAGTCAGGAAACCGCACTTTCTGTCCAGCTTGTGCGTTGATCTTGACAGGAATTCTGATGACTCCAAGTAGCCAGATTTGGTTCTCACGTCAGACAGATTGACGCGGCAGTTTGGCATTACACAGCCTAAAAAGGAGATCCTTGTGCCTATCAAAAGTCCTAACGGGGGGGGGGGGGCCTGGGGAGATGGCTCAGCGGGCAAGAGTGCTTGTGCGAGTGTGAAGACCTGAGTTCAAATCCTCAGCACCCATGTAAAATAGCAAGTGCCTATAACCCAGCACCGGGGGGCAAAGACAGGCCATCCCAAGAGTTCGCTGACTAGTCAGCCTCACTGACAGAGTGAGCTGATGGTTCACTGAGAGACACTGTCTCGGGGACACACACACACACACACATTCACACACACTCACCAAGGCCAAATTAAAGTGGGGGAAATAAAAGCTGCCAAAAGAAACAATGAAACTGGGACACGCCAGGGCAGTGATGGACGGCCATGCCTGCGTCCTCGCCGAGTCCAAGATCTCGTCCCTCGCAGGTCAGTCACATCAGGGCCATTTATAGACGCTGGGTCTGTCTGCCCATGACCTGTCTGTTCCCAGGCCTGCATGAGGGATTCCTGCAGCAGCAGTGACCTGAAGAAGGAAGTGGGACTCCTTCAGCACCTGCAGCTCAGCCCACCCCTGTCAGGGCTTCAGAGGGCTGTACTGGACATCCTGCGCGTCTCCCTGTCCTGGCTGGAGGAAACAGAGCAGCTGCTTAGGGACCTCAGCATCCAGCTGTCTGGTTCTGACAAAGGTACCTGGGCCTTTTTCTCACATACGGTTGCATGTGTCTGAAATATCACCATGAATCCTCCCGAAATAGAACATGTTGGTGAGGAGGGATTTGTGAATCATATGGGCTGGCAAGATGGCTCAGCAGGTAAAGCCACGTGAGCTGAGTGAATTCAGTCCCCAGGACTCATGGTGGAAGGGAAGAGCCAACTTCCCAAAAGTTATCCTCTGATTGCTACATATAAACATTCACACATAACCAACATGAAGTATCACTTAATTTTTTAAGTAGAGGGGCTGGAGAACTGTCTCAGCAGCTAAGAGCCCCGGCTGCACTTGCAAAGGACCAAGCTTTGATTCCCAGCATCTATATGGTAGCTCAGAGCCATCTGTAACTCCAGTTCCAGGGCATCTGGTCCCTTCTCCTGACCTCCAAAGGCACCACACATGCACACAAGTTTACATTCAGGCAAAACACTCATACACATAAAACTAAATAAACAAACAACATTTAAAGAAAAAACATTTTAAGTATAACCTGGTATGGGGGCCGCACCTTTAATTCCAGCACTTTGGAGGCAGAGACAAGCAGATCTCTGTGAGTGTGAGGTCAGTCTGGTCTACAAGTGAGTTATCATTAAATGTGACAGTGCCACACTAGAGTCAGGGTAAGGGTGGAGGGGAGAAAAGATTCTAGTGTCTTTAGGAAGTGGTAGAATTGAACATAGTTAACAAGTGTCAAAAGACATCTATATGATTGTTAAGTCTCTGGTATGCTGGATGCAGCCTCGGTTTGAGGGAAAGAATGGGTTCAAGGTGATGTGGGGCTCGGGAGGCAGCTCCACCTGGATGCTTGTCCAGAAATAGAGACCAGCAATTCATCCCATACACAGAAGAGTTCTGCCACATTGGGAGAGGTTCATAAATGGCTGTGGAAGAGAGATGGGGAGGGAGAAAGGAGTGAGTGAGAGAGAGAGAGAGAGAAGAAAAGGCAGATGGGAGGTGGCAGGGAGGAAAGATGGGTGTGGTAGATAGGAAGGATGGTAGATGGGTAGATGGATGGATAAGCGGATTGTGGGTAGATGAATAGATGGTTGAAACATGAAAGGATGGATGATATATGGATGGTAGTAGGTATAGGGATGGATAAATGGCAGGTAGGTGGATGGATGGTAGATAAATAGGTGAATGGATGGATGGATGATGGATAGATGATGGATGAGTGGGTCAGTGAATGATGGACAAATGGATGGATGGATGGATGAATAAAGCCATAGATGTGGATGGTATGTAAAAGACAATACAGAGTGAGTGGAGAGAGCTCCTGAGGACATGCTCACAGTAGCACCAACATTTTGGAAATTGTGACCATTCCTTGAAAAATTGCTTCAAAAAAAGGCTGCATAAATATGGCGTTCATACAGCCATGATGAGACTAGAGAGATGTTTGCATTCTGATACCGCTGTCTCCCAGACAGGGTGTCTCCAGTGTAATCCATAAGGCAGGAGAAAGTTCTTTAAAAAAAAAAAAAAAGCAAAAGTAAGAATAAGCTTGATTTATCTAAGTGTGTCCACAGAAATGAGAGATGAGGGCTGGGTCAGGGGGTGAGGGAACTGATGTGTTCCCACCCACCGGCGGCTCGCCAGCCAGAGTTGCCAGGGGAGGATGGTCCAGGCTTCCAGCTGGTGGTCCAGGCTGGAACCAATAAGAAGCAGATCCCGATCGCTCCCTCAGTAACAGTTGCACCAAGCCGTGTGTACACTGTCCCCTCCTCACTCCCAAGACCATTTCTGTCATCGCTGTCTGTGTCTGTAAATGGAGCCATCTGTTACTGTAAAGAAATATGGATGTGAAGTTAAGCTGTCGAGGCAGCCGTTCCAGAAAGGCTGGGAAAGACGGGCCTTGGGCAGCACTTCTCAGACCCGCCATTGTTCCCCCCTGGATTCAGCCCTGAGCTCTGAGCAATGCCATGCTGGCCTCTGCAGAACCCTCCTCTGTTCACACACACTGTGTGTGCAGGGGTATAGGATGGGAGAGTCCCCGATGCGGGCTCCTCTGTGCTCCTTATCCCCGGCTTGCTTTTTTATTTATTTTTTATTTATTTTGGAGAGATGGTCTGTGGATTGCTGGTGAGATGGGGTACGGGCTGTGCTTCGTGATTACAGTGACTAGGTTCTGCAAAGTTGAGAGGAACAGACCAAGAGGGGTAAGAGGAGCAGTGGGGAAGAGGAAGTGGATGGAGAAGTGGCTTTTCTCTCGCCATGAGAGGTGTTAGATTGAGATTCCAAAGGACTGAAAGGAACAGGCAAGCTGGAGAGCCCCTACTCTCTCTACCCTGCCTCTGTTTCCAGTACAGAGCCATCTGCACAAGGAGGAGTGGGGTGGGGGGGAAGAGGGAGGGTGGTGCTGGTGATGATGGTGGTGAGAGTCGTGGTGAAGGTGATGATGGTGGTGAAGGTGATGGTGGTGATGAAGGTGATGAAGGTGATGGTGATGATGGTGGTGAAGGTGATGGTGATGATGGTGATGGTGGTGATGAAGGTGATGATGTTGGTGGTGAAGATGATGATGGTGATGATGAAGGTGATGTTGGGAGTGAAGGTGATGGTGGTGATGAAGGTGGTGGTGGTGATGAAGGTGATGGTGATGATGAAGGTGATGGTGATGATGAAGGTGGTGGTGGTGATGAAGGTGGTGGTATGTTGCAGGATATTTGATCACACTGTGAACCCCAAGGTTGCGTTACTTACTGGAAAAACCTGTTTCTAATTCACACCTTTAACCCAAGAGCTTTCTGCTGGAATGTTGTAAACAGGATTAAATGAAGTCAACTGTAGGTCAAGAGGTGGAGCGAGCAACCAGTTGACAGGAAAAAACCATAGAGTAAGAGGGAGTCGGGAGGACGGACAGAGAGACGCACAGGGAGTGGAAGGGGGGACATAAAGTTTAAGGAGAGTTGTTGGGGGAAGAAGGAGTGTTCTGGGACGCTGACTGAGAAGGAAGGTCAGCGGGGCGCTTTCTCTGCCTCTCTAAGCTAGCGGGCTTTCACCCCACCATCTGGCTCCTGAGTGTTGATAAAATCAAGTGATTAAAACTTAGTTAATAACAACAGTCGTGGTTGTATTGGTGACTTTCCTGTTGCTGTGGTAAAGCAGCATGACCAAGGCAACTTGTAAAGAAAGGGTTTTGTTATGGTGTCAGAGGGCTAGAGTCTGATGGCGGAGCATCTGTGGTGGGAACAGCTCCTGTGGTGTGAGAGCTCGCACCTCAGACCACGAGCAGGAGGCACAGAGAGCACACTGGGGTGCTTAAAGACTTGTGAAACCTCAAAGCCGGCCATGACACACCTCCAACAAGGCCATGGCTTCCACTTCCTCCCAAACACTTCCACTAACTACAGGAACCAAGTCTTCAAACACACGAGCCTATGGGGGCCATTCTTACTCAAGCCGCCACAGAGGTGATGCTGATGATGTGGTCAAGGTAATGGTGTGAGTGACAGTGGTGGTGAAGATGGGATGCTGGGGATGCTAATGATGGTCGTGAAGGTGATTGTGGTGGTCTGAGAGAGAATGACCGCCATAGGCTCACAGATTTGGTCACCAGGGAGTGGCACTATTTGAAAGGATTAGGAGGTGTGGCCTTGTTGGAGGAGGTGTGTCACCGGGGGTGGGCTTTGAGGGTTCAAAAGCCCATGCCAAGCCCAGAGTCTCTCTCTTTGCCTGAGGATCAGGACGTAGCTCTCAGCTACTGCTCCAGCACCTGCCTGCCTGCACCATGCTCCCCGCCATGATGATAATGGACTAAACCCTCTATAAGAGTTACCGTGTCATGGTGTCTCTTCACAGCAGTAGAACAGCAACTAAGACAGTGATGGTGGTGGTGATGGTGATGGTGATGATGGTGGTGATGGTGGTGGTGGTGGTGATGATGGTGATGGTGGTGATGATGGTGATGGTGGTGGTGATGGTGGTGATGATGGTGATGGTGGTGATGCTGGTGATGGTGGTGGTGATGGTGATGATGGTGATGATGGTGATGGTGGTGATGATGGTGATGGTGGTGGTGATGCTGGTGATGGTGGTGGTGATGCTGGTGATGGTGGTGGTGATGGTGGTGGTGATGGTGGTGGTGATGCTGGTGATGCTGGTGATGCTGGTGATGGTGGTGCTGGTGATGGTGGTGATGGTGGTGATGGTGGTGGTGATGCTGGTGATGGTGGTGATGGTGATAGTGGCAGTGAGGATGGTGAGGACAGTAGTCATCTTCAAGCACTCACATTTGCTACAACCATCCCAACATGTCCTTGTGTACCCCTGCTCACCCTCACAACAGCTCTGTGAGGCGGAGCTTATGTTTGCCGTTTGGAAGACTTGCAAGCCGTCACTCAGAAGCAGTTCCTGTGATTAATCTACCGGCGTATAGTGATGAAGGTACTTGCCATCGATGAGACGAGTGAGGACCCACATCTGCTCACTGCCATCCACTAACGTGCAAGAGCCTGTGTAGTCACAGTCCCTGGGGAGAAAGGGGAATTGTGGGTCATCTGACACCTCCTGGGTACTTAGCACTGTGCTAAGTGGTTTACTGCTGGGTACTTAGCACTGTGCTAAGTGGCTTACTGCTGGGTACTCAGCCAGTGATATGTGTTTCACCCCTGGGCATTAAATGCTTGCTAGGTGTTTCATAAGCCACATGCTTTGCACCCTCCTGCCAGTTCCGTGAGGCAGGTATCAATGCTGTCTTTATTTTCACTAATGTTAAAAACAGGCATATGGTAGTCAGAACTCGCACTGAGGTCAGTGTGTTTTCTATCATGGCCCCCCACTTCCTCTGAAGGCCCAGCAGGGCACCAGGTCCTGCCTCCATCCTACAGCACAAGTCCTGCCATGACCCCAGGCAGAGACGGGTCTCCACTGTCATTTCCCGGGTGAACCTCATCCCACCCATATTTGAGTCATGCCCTAGTGTCTCAGCCAGATTTCCATTACTGTAGCAGACAGCTGAGTCTGGACAGTTTATAAAGAAAAGACACCTGTGCAGCTCTTTGGCCTTGAGTCCTTCCCTGCTCCAAGTCCCTGTGACCTCAGAGCCCTGCTCCGAATCACCATGCTTCCTGCTTCCCTTTACAACAGCGTTCCAAGAGAGAAAACAGAGCAAGTATATAAGTCCTGAGATAAATCCCAGGGCATTTGGGAGTGTGGGAGAGCCTAGAAGTCTTGCTGCTCGGCTTCCAGGGAGCGCTGCTTCCCATCTGATTGGCAAAGGGAATGCTGGGAACACGGGAAACATTGAAGGGGAAGCCTTGAAAGTCAGCTGCCCCCACTTGTCTTCAGGCTCCCTCGATAAGGGAAAGAAAGGACTGTTTAGAGCTATCTCTGCCAACCCGCTTGTCTGTGTTCATTTCTGCAACTGGGGGGAGAGGAGGGGACCCACGCTTCTAGAAGAGCTGAGCTATGCCATACCTTTAAGTGGGAAAAGAGAAGAGAAAAAACCTCTCCTCTGCCTCTGCCATCCTCATCACTGCCATTGTGGGCTGTCAGTTGACTGCGATGCTCTCCTGCCTCGGTATTCTTACAAGACATTCAGAAGCAAGGGATCCCTGGCCGAGAAACCAAAGCAAACTCATCCCACTGTCCCAAGGGTATGGACTGAAAACTAGTAACAAGGTCAGGCACGACTCCAGGAGAAGACCCTGGAGGAGACCCTGTGAAGGATTCACAGCAGCAAGGCTGTTCATGCTGAATGCCCAGGCCGATCTGGTCTACCAGACACAACTCCAAGTTTTTATGAATGGAGATTTAGGCTCAGCTGGGGCTGGGATCTGCTGTTCATCTGTTTTACATGAGTGAGCTGGTTAGTTCAGTAATAAGTATGTAGACTCTTAAAGAAAAAAGGAGAGAGAGAGAGACAGAGAGAGAGAGAGACAGAGAGAGAGAGAGACAGAGAGAGAGAGGATACACCAGCATTCAGGAGGAAGAGCAGCAGGTGTGAGACCCTGTCTAAAGAAGAAATTAAGAATCAAGTTGCAAAACAATATGCAAACTATGTTCCTTTTTTTTTTTTTTTTTTTTAATGTCAGCAGCTGACCAAAAGAAAAATCTGGGGGTAGAACACACAAAACTATGGAATGTCATGGCAATGAGCCAGATCACAGACGACCTTTGCTTTCGTTCAGTCGTTCAATGACTTTGTGATTGTTTTTGTTCTTGAGACAGCATCTCCTGTGACTCAGGCTGGCCTCCATCTTGATATGCAGCTGAGGATGACCTTGAACCTCTGATCCTCTCGTCTCCGCCTCCTGAATGCTGGGATTACAGGTGTGCACACACATCCAGTTCACACTGGTGCTGAGAATCATACCCAGGGCCTCCTACATGCTGGGCGAGCACGCTACCAACTGAGTCGCACCCCCCACCTCAGCAGCTATTGGGTGCCAGCCGCTGTGTGGACCACTGAAGACAGAGCCGTGAGCTCTTCCCACGACCAACTTCTGTAATCTTTGGATTTTTGTGATGAGCACTTAAAACTTTTGTAACTGAAAATATAATGAAATCTTGCTCTTGTCCCCAAAGGTAAAATCCCAACATTTCACCATCGGATCTTGAGACACAATCTGGCACTCCCTCTCCCCATGGTCCTCTGTAGATCCCACCCGTGATTTGGCCCTTCTCTGTCTCCTGGGTCACAGGGGGTAGCTGAGTGACAGCCTAGACTGGAGCTGGCCACAGGTAGTGTCCAGTTCCTCTCTGACTAACTCCCTGTGGGGGCCTTCCAGTAGTTCATTCCAGGTGTCTCAGAGCTGGCCATTGTCCCTCATCCTTTCTCTCAGCCTGCTTCTTGCAACCTAGCTCAGAACATCACCCTTGACCACCTGGGCTCGCCTTTGGCTACAAGCAAGTCCCCTGCCTCTAACTATGATCAGGAGCCTCTAACATCTCAGAGATATCTGGCCATGTCTAGAGGCCTCTTTCTTCTGATGATGGGCTGACCAAGAGAGATACTTCTGGCATCTGGCAGAGGCCAGGGAAGCTTCTAAACACCCTATATGGCAATGGTTCTCAACCTGTGAGTCTCGACCCCTGTGTGCGTGGGGTCACATATAAGATATCCTGCAGATCGGATCTTTACCTTACAATTCATAACAGTAGCAAAATTACAGTTATGAGGTAGCAACAAAATAATTGTATAGTTGGGGGTCACCACAACATGAGGAACTGTATTAAAGAGTCGCAGTGTTAGGAAGATTGAGAACCGCTGCTCTAGGGCATAAAACAGCCTTCATGTAAGGAAGGAGCTGGCCTACCATGGCAGCAACACTGTGGTAAAGCCGCCCTGTCAGCCTGCGCCTCTCTAACCCTCCCAGCTTTTATTCTGCAAACCTGCTCTTCCCGGAGCAGCTCACTGCTCAGTCAGGAGCTGAGCGGCTCGTGACTCAGACCCTGCAGTCACACTGACTAAGTCCTGGACCTTCCGGTGGCCAAGCTCAAAGCTCATCCATCAGTTGGGGTGATGACAGGCTGCGGCTGTGGTGAGGCCTTCATTGATTCCCAGAGCTCCAGGCACACGGGGGATGTGCTCCATTCATTTCCAAGATATTTACATCAGGCCTGCCAGAAGTGATCTTCAGGTCTTCAGCCTCCCATTGAGCTCCACCTGACATTCCTCCCCTCCACCCTTCAGCTGCCCAGGGAAGTCCCACCCCTCCCTGGTCCCCCCGGGTCTTGACCCTCTCATCTTTTGCTGTGTGCTGCCCGAACAGGTCACCACTACCCTTTGAACATGTTTGGACTCTCCCACTACACTAGAGGCCAACAGTCTAAACAGTTGTTACCTTGCCTCTGTCTCCTTGTTAAGAGTCTGTGTGATGATGCTGAGTCTACACAGATAACCCTGAATAATTTCGACCTCAGCATCCTTAACCTTAGCACACTGGCGAAGTCCCTTTCTCTGTGTACTCACAGGCCCCAGGAACAAGGACCCAACCTTGGGGGCATCATCCCTCAGCCAGCCTCAGCTTCTGTTCTGGAATACCCTCCCTCCCACCCCGCCCACACTAGAGGCTCCTCAGGCAAATGGCCCCTCTGCTGAGACCCTCACACTCTCCTGTCTTCCCCTTCTCTTGCATGCTACCCATGGTCCCTGTGTGTTTCTAATCTCAGCTTGGACCTGTCACTTCAGACCACACTGAGAGGGTGTAGCTTCACAAAATCCCCCACTCTCAATTTGTATACAGGAAATGTCTTTCAAATAGGTGCTTTATTGATAGGTTTTTAGTTTCTACCAAAACAAAGCCATCCACACTTGGGATCTGTGACGGGCCCATCTAACAACCATTTAAAAAAAAATGCTGGATGACAGCTTGTCCTGTCTTGATGAGAGGGCCATGGTACCTGTGTCCTCCTGTCTGCAGATCCCATAAGTCATGCATAGTTGGGTGTGGTGATGCATGTCTGTACTGTCAGCAGTTAGAACGCTGAGGCAGAAAGGTCACAAGTTGAAGGCCAGCCTGGGCTACATAGCAAGACCACCTCTCTCTCTCTCTCTCTCTCTCTCTCTCTCTCTCTCTCTCTCTCTCTCTCTCTGTCTCTCTGTCTCTCTCTCTGTCTCTCTCTCTGTCTCTCTCTCTCTCTCTCTCTCTCTCTCTGTGTGTGTGTGTGTGTGTGTGTGTGTGTGTGTGTGTGTGTGTGTGTGTGTATTTTGAGATAGAGTTTCCTTATGTAGCCCTGGCTGTCCTGGAACTCGCTCTGTAGACCAGACTAGCCTCCAAGTGCTGGGATTAAAGGTGTGTACCACCACCAAGGGGCAAGACCCTATCTCAAAAAACAAAGGAAGACATACTGTAGAAGTAACTGTCTTATTAAATAAGAAACACAGAGCCAATGTAAAGATAAAAGCCCAAGAGGTCAGAGCTAAGAGCCTTACCCTTCCTGCTTCAGCGATCCTCTTCAGCCAAGAGAGACCTACTTCGTGTGTGTTTGTCTTTATATAGACTTTCTGTTCTGCCTTCTCATTGGTTGTAAACCCAACCATATGACCGCCTCGTCACTGCCTGTCTGTACAGACCTCCAGGTCTTCTATGGTTGGTATTGAGATTAAAGGCGTGTGTCTCCAATGCTGGCTGTATCCTTGACCACATAGAGATCTACCTAGCTCTGCCTACCAAGTGCTGGGATTAAAGGCATGCGCCACCAACGCCCAGCTCCTCTATGGCTTACTATTAGCTCTGACCTCTTGGGCTTTTATCTTTACATTGACTCTGTGTTTCTTATTCAATAAGACGGTTGGTTACTTCTACAACATACAGAGGAAGGGAGGGAGGGAGGGATGAAGAAAGTGACAGGAGATAAATTGATGCTCACCTCTCTTCCTGCCCCCCTGTTAAGGGTTCTCTCTATATCTAATATATCTTCTGGAACATTACAAGAAAATCATGAGCAAGACCAAGGAACTTCAGGTGATTCTTTAAGTTCTTTTCTCCCCCTCTCCCACTGTGAATTTGAATTTGTTTTCATGCTGTGACAGGATTTTCCATTTGCACAAAGGGATTGAGCCCAGTGTCTGAGATGGCCCACAAAGGAATAGACAAACACAGAGCACCTTCCCCTGTCTGGCTTCCTGGGATAACCACAGTGCATGATTTCCTCTGAAAAAAAAATCTCCAAAAGAGGGACAGTGAGGTGGCTCAGCAGATCAGGGTGCTTGCCGCCAAGCCTGATGACCAGAGTTCAATCCCTGGGACCTGACTCCATGAGGTTGTCCTCTCATCTCCACATGAATGCCAGGCACATGCATGCCTACTCATACATGCTACGTGCCCCCCTCCAACACACACACACACACACACACACACACACACACACACACACACACACACACAAAGATGGTGAACCAGATATGGCCTATGAAAGGCAGTTTATCCACCCTATTCTACAGATGTGGACATCAGTGTTCCAAGAGGTTGGTGATAATCTGGCTACCACACAGCTATTTGGATAAAGAATCAAAAGCAGGAGCCTTCCAATGAGTCTGGCTCCTGTCTACTGAGCATCTACTACACACCACGCACTGTACTAAAAGCCCCCCATCGTCTCATGAGTCAGAGGCAGGCACAGTGACACCTCCTGTTCGGAGTGGGGACACACGTAGGATTAACTAGAGCGGGGATTTCTATCTAAAACCAGAGTGTGACATCTTAACATTCTTGCTGTCCTCACCAGTCACCTCTCTAGACCAAGTGTGGTTCAGCCATGTTCTTAAGGAACTTCTATGTTGGACTTTGCTCCCTGGAAGATAAACAGTTTGGAAGGAAGTAGGAAAAGGACTCCAGTCTCTCCCCTGTGGGATTCGTTTGGCTTTTCTCTCCATGCAGGTCCAGATGAGCACTTCGCAGGAAACTCAGCAGTCTCTGCAGCAGGAGCACCTGGCCGAGAAGGAGAAGCTGAACAAGGAGAAGCTGGAACAAGAGGAGAAGCTGAAAGCCAGAATCCAGCAGCTGATGGAAGAGAAGGAGGTAAGGTGGCCTGTGGCAGTTCCTTTGAGCCTGGGTCACTGGAGACTTTGGGTTGAAGTGCTTCCTGATTGGTGTACTGGTTCTAAGTGAGTTACATGGGGTGAATGATTGGGTCCTAAACCCAGAGCAATGAAATGGAAAGATGGCTCAGTGGTTAAGAACATTGGCTACTCTTGCAGGGGACTGGAATTTGCTTCCCAACACCCACATGGCAGCTCATAACCATCTGTAACTCCAGTTCCAGGGGGTCTAATGCCCTCTTCTGGCCTCTGTGGGTACTACACACAGATAGTACACATACGTGCAGGCAGAACACCCATACAAGTAAAAATAAATAAATCTTTGAAAAGAAAAAAAAGTCACAGAAAGATCAACTGGAAAAGGCAGGTATGCTGACATTTTGGGAAATGCTACACTATTTATTTTGTATTACAGTTGACTATACCAATAGGAGTCGTTACTGCAGATCCTGGTTTGTGCATGACAAAGTATAAGCAAAACCGATTTCAGGTCACACCAACCTTTTTTCTCTAGATATGTAGCTAGGAAAACAAACTGGCCCAAACTGTGACTCACCCTTCTAGAACCCAGGCCAATGAGAAAGCCCTGCAGCAATGTCTACACGCTAAGGTGCAGTGGACCATCTGAGGGTCTGTTTGAGATGCAGAGTCCAGGTCACAGTTCTGACAACCCCCTAGAGGGTCATGACACCCCAAATCTGCATTCTAGACACAGCATTGGGTACCTGAGGCTTTCTCAAAGATGTCCCAAGGAAAGCAACTCTAATCAGATGTTTTATTAAACATGGTCTATGTCACAGACCTGAACTCACAGCTGTGATCACCACAAAGTCTGTGCAAGACTGGGCCTGTAGACGTCCTGTTGGGGAGGGACAAGGAGCCCACTGTAGCCCAAATCTTAAAAGGTCTTATTAATTAAAACAAACCCGGAGCCAGGTATTGGGGTGAATGCTGAAAGATCAGAGAAGCAGAACAAGCCACAGCCAACCTCATCTTGCCAATTCCTCAGCTGATTTTGTTTCCTCAGACTGAAAGCCTCTGAATCCTCATCCGAATGGATCTCAGCTGAACTGCTACTAAAAGCTAAAAGCTTAAAAAAAGGCTCTAGTTCCTAGTTCTCATCCCTTATATACCTTTCTGCTTCCTGCCATCACTTCATGGGATTAAAGGCATGTGTCACCATGCCTGGCTGTTTCCAGTGTGGCTTTGAACTCACAGAGATCTGCCTGTCTCTGCCTCCAGAATGCTAGGATTAAAGGTGTGTGCTATCACTGCCTACGTTGTGAGACCCCCAAGCAAGACCACCACAGAGCCGATATCTGATGCAAAACACAAAGGGGTTTATTGATAACAAGCAAGCCCGGACTTGGTCCGTGTCCAACACTCGACACAGTGGGTGGAGGAGGACGGCCCTGAGCTCTCAGGGTGAGGGCTTTGTAAAGGGAAAAACCGCAAGCAGGGTGGTACAAGCCTTGGCGTCATATGATTGGGTGAGGGTTTGTAACCTTTGAATATACTGGTTGGGGGTTACAGTTATCATTTTGGGGCAGTCTTGAACAAGTCCCAGGCTCTGTCCTTGAGCTGCCATGGAGGCTGGCTGGCCTCGCATGTTCACACTGACCCATGCATGTAGCTCTAAGTTGGTGAGGGGTCCCAGATAGTAAACAACTGGCTAAACCTTGAGCAGTCAGAGAACATGCAGAAAGGGAGCAACTACAAGGATTAAGTCATGCCCCCGCCCCCAGAAACTGCTTGCTCAAGTTTCAGGAAACTGAAATTGAGGTCTGATCTCTGAGAGAAGACTGACAGCCTGTTACAGCGTCTGCTTGGTCCTTTTAAACCTATAGGTTTTTTTTGTTTGTTTGTTTGTTTTTTGTTTTTTTGGGTTTTTTTGGTTTTTCGAGACAGGGTTTCTCTGTGTAGCTTTGGAGCCTGTCCTGGAGCTCACTCTGTAGACCAGGTTGGCCTCGAACTCACAGAGATCCACCTGGCTCTGCCTCCCGAGTGCTGGGATTAAAGGCGTGTGCTACCACCACCCAGCTAAACCTATGTTTAGTATAGTGGCTTTTCTGTTCTTTGACCCCCGGTTGAGTTTATTGGGGTGCACAATATATCAACCACAGCACACAAGGCCTTGCCCCTCTCTGGGGATCCATAGGCAATTAATGATTGATGGGAGAGACAGAGAGAGAGAGACAGAAACAGAGAGACAGAGACAGAGAGAGAGGAAAAAGAGATAGTTTCTTCAGTGGTGTAGCCAGTGGGCCAGTGGACAGAGAGAGAGAGAGGAGTTTCTTCTGTGGCAAGGTGCCCCGCCCCGCCCCCCATGCTCCTGTAAGCAAGACCCAATGGCACAAATTGAGTCACAAGGAGAGAGAAGTGGCGGGGGGGGGGGGGGAGATGGGGGAGGAAGAGAGAGAGAAAGAGCGGGAGGGAACGAAGTACAATGGGGAGTACTTGAGAAGAGGAAAGGGATCCGAGAGAACAGGGGGGGAAAGAGAGGGGAGTGGGGGTGAATATGACCAAAACACATTATACACGTGTGTTTAAATGTTATAATGAAACCCATTATTATTCATAATTAATATGTGCTAGTAAACAAGCATTTGAGAAAAAATAGTCTGGGCCCGCACCAAGACCTATTGTGTCAGACTCTGTGGAGAAGGTAGAGAATGTGTTTCTGAAGCCAGTTCTCATCATTCTCCCGGGTCACACTTGAGGACCTGCCGTACGTTCTGATTCCTTCTTCGCTCTCCTCCTTGGTCAGTGGCTCGTGACCCCATGGCTCGGCCACATTTGGTCATTTAGGTTCTGAGGACAAATGTGGGAATGTAGCTCAGGCTCTGGGGTTGGTAACATTCCAAAGCACAGCCACAGTTGGTAGCCACAGTCAGAGTGGGTGTGGAGGGCCGTGCACATGGTACCCTTCTTCCTACCTGCTGCCCCCATCTGCCAGACCCCATCTTTTCCCAGTCACATGGGAAAGGTCTCCTCAGTGGAGGACAAGGCTTTCCACAGCATTGCCACCTCTGTTGGCTCCAGTTCAGTGACTCCCGACTTGGACAGTCCATCTCTGTCACATATACCCGCTCCCCACCCCTCTCTCCAACCTCCAGTTCACATCCAGCTCCATTGGGATATCTGTCTTCTCCCTCTTTGCCTTTCTTCTGCCTTTTCTTTTTATTAGTTATTCGGTGTGTGTGTGTGTGTGTGTGTGTGTGTGTGTGTGTGTGTGTGTGTGTGTGTGTATGTGTCTGTCTGTGTGTCTGTGTGTCTGTGTCTGTGTGTGTGTGTGTATGTGTCTGTGTGTCTGTGTGTCTGTGTGTCTGTGTGTCTGTAAGGCTGAGGACAGTGGCATTCAGTTCCCTCCCTCCACAGTGTGAGTCCTGGGACTTGAACTCAGGTCATCAGGTTTTGCGGTAGACATCTTTACCATCTCATTAGCCCCCTTTCTGCCTTTTGTGGAGTGAGGGTATAAAATGGGAGAACCAACAGCCGAAACTTGTGTATGACCCTTATAAAGGCAGGATTAATGATGGCTGCTGTGTTTATCAGCCTTCTTGCTGTGATAGAATGCCTGAGGTTTTTAAATTAAAAAAAGAGTCCTAAAGAAGGAAGGATCCTCAAAGAAAGGATTTTGTGTAAACAACAATGGGTTTCATTATGACATTTTTGTGCCTATATAACATTCTACTTTGACCCTGTTCACCCCATTACCCTTGCATGTCCCCTCTCAGTCCCCCTCTCCCTCAAATAGTCCCCTTGACTTGCATGTCGCACTCTACAATCTACATTCCATAGATGTGGGAAAACCATGAAATAGGATTGAACATGGTGACTCACGCCTTTAATCCCAGCACTTGAGAGGCAGAAGCAGGCAAATCTTTGGGGCTAGAGGCTAACCTAGTCTACATAATAAGATCCAGGCCAGCCAGGAATACATAAGAGGCCCTATCTCAAAAAAAAAAAAAAAAAAATCTCAGCCGGGCAGTGGTGGCGCACGCCTTTAATCCCAGCACTCAGGAGGCAGAGCCAGGCAGATCTCTGTAAATTCAAGGCCACTCTGGGCTACAGAGTGAGTTCCAGGAGCAAAGCTATACAGAGAAATCCTGTCTCAAAAAAAAAAAATCTCACCATGCTTAAAGTAAAGGTATAAGTTAGTGTTGGACCTACCTCATCAGTCCCACATATGAGAGAAAACATGATGTTGGTCTTTCTGGGTCTGGTTTCTTTCACTTAACATGGTGATTTCCAATGCCATCCATTTCTCTGCAAACACTATAATTCCATTCTCCCGTATGGCTACTTTATGCATCACGACACATTTTCTTTCCATGCCTGTTTGCCTGCTGAGGGGTGGCCAACCTGTTCCGTGTCTTGGCTGTTACGAACGGTCCGGCGACAGATGTGGATGTGCAGGCGTCGCTGGCTTCGATTCAGAAGTTGGATCATAGGGTAGTTGTGTTTAGCTTTTTCAGAGGAAGGAAGGGTTTGCATGTTTACTGGACCCTGTGCACTCAGCAGAACATTATGGGGTCAGGAGCATGTGGCAGAGAGGACTCCGCACTTCACGGTGGACAGGAAGTAGAGAAAGGAGAAAGGATGAGGAACTAGTATAGATGCCCTGCTGACCAACTTTCTGCTGCTAGACCCCACATCCTAAAGTTTCCAGAACCTTCTAAGACGGCAGCACAGGTAGGGACCAAACCCGTTCAGCAGGAACCTGTGTTTCAGATTCAAACCACAGAAGCAAAAATCACGGTGGTAGATTTTTGGAGAACAACTGGATGAAGGAAAATAAATCAAAAAACAAACCTTTTGTTCCACAGAGAGAAGTAAATCCAGAAAGGACCTAAAGTCTTCAAAATCCTCCTAAATGCTCCTTCTTGCTCCTGCCTCCTGACTGACATCCCCACTTAGCGCCAGCCCTTCCCAGCCCTGAGGCAGACTGTTTGAATTAGGGTTTGGCTGTTTCCCTTTGGGGACGTGAGGCCTTAGCCAGCATGACACCCACCCCCAAAGTCACCAGCCTGCTCCCTCTCAGCCCTTGTTGTAAAATTGTTCCTGGAAGATGGCGTTTGAAGTGCTGCTTCAAACCCCTTAAACTTAGAAACCTCAGACAGAGTACCAGCCAGACAGAGTGACATCCCCACCCAGACGGACTGCCACTGTCATGTCCATCCTGGCTCCCAACCAGCTTGACCCCAGAGATTCATCTGAAAGAAACTTTGTGGGTCTTAGTCCTGGTGTGTGTGTGTGTGTGTGTGTGTGTGTGTGTGTGTGTGTGTGTGTGTAGACATGCTCATGACATGGCCCATGCTGGAAGGTCATAAAACAACTTTCAGAAATCAGTTCTCTCCTTCCATGTGGCTCTCAAATACTAAACTCAGGTTGTCAGGCTTGGCAAGCAAGCCTCTTTACCCACTGAACCATCCCACCAGCCCCTCCTTGTTCTTTGAGACAGGGTCTCTCTCTGGCCTAGAACTTGCCAGATAAGCTAGACTATCTATGTGGCCAGTAAGCCCCAGGAATCTGCCTGTCTCCTTCTCCGCAGGACTGGGATTACAAGGGCACACCACCACGCCTGGCTTTTTTTTTTCTCTTCTGTGTGTCTCTGTATGTGGTATATATGCCTCTGGCTATGCATATTCATATGCATGTGGGGGTGTAAAAATGTGTGCGACTGCAAGTGCCTATGTGAGTCCAAATGCGTGCATGAGTGTGCACTTAAGTGTGGAGGCCCAAGAGTCCTCCGTGATCACACTCCACCTTATCGACTGAGTCGGGGTCTCTCAGTGGAGCCCAGAGCTCAGAGAACAGCTAACTCCAGCTTGCTCCAGGGCTCCCTCTTCTCTGCTTGCAGAGCTCTGTAATTACAGGCAGCCCGCCACACCCACCCAGCACTAATGTGGGTGCTGGGACCTGAGCTCTGGTTCTCTCACTTGCGAATTTCACCTGCTGTGGGGGTCTCTCCAGCCCCACAGCTGTTTCTAAGTGAATATTGGGCATCAGCTCAGCTCCTTATGCTTTCGAAACAAGTGCTTTGCTGACAGACCGAGCCGTCTCCCGTCGCTGTCCTGGCTTTTAAGTGACCCTTCCTCCTCTACTCTGTCTCTAAAAATACACGAGTTTCAGCTCATCCCAGAGCCTCCCTCCCATGAATCCTGGATGCTCCGGGAACTTTTAAGTGGCCAAAGAAATGCCAGGCTCAGTCGTCAATCCAGCACTGTCCTTCAAGGCCTGCTGTTGTCAGGGTCCCTCTGAAGTTCTCACGCAGACCTGCTTCTTTGGAGACCACTGAGTCACCGGCTCCTCTGCCCGGACCCGGGTGAGGCACGCTAAGGACGGAAGAGCAGACCAGGCAGAGCCCAGGGAGAGGTCACTTCCTGCCATGGCAACAGGTAGACTCAACAACAGGGGTTGGCTTGCAGGCTTTGGAGGAGAGCGTCACTCGGGAGAAACACGCAGCACAGGAGGCCCTGGAGAAGGCACAAAGTCGAGTCTGTGATCTGGAGAGCCACTTGGCCTGTCAAAAGGAGGTACACCCAGCTGGTGGAGGCCCGCTAAAGGGACTGTGGGGAGATGGGAGAGGGGTGGGGCATGGGGGCGCTGTCCTGTGCTGTTTGTCCTGGCCTGGGCTTTACAACTGGGAGAAGGATAGAGGACTTGGAAGGGAGCCATGGAGATGTAGCCTTGCCGACCAGTTGAGGAAAAAAAAAATGTGAATGTGATGAGCCAGGTATGGTGGCTCCCGCCCATCACCCTGACACTAGGAGGCTGAGAGGATCACTGTGAGTTTGAGGCCAACGAAGGCTATTGTACAAAGGCTCTGTCTCGTGGGTGACAGCATAAAGTACAGGCTGAGACAGGCTGGGGCAGCGTTCACACATGTCTGCCCCGAAACATGGAATGGAGAATGACAGGATCTTGAGAGAACAATTCAACAGCATCCTAAACTCACCCATCTTCAGAACCAGTACCCAGAAGTTTTCTTCAGCCCTGTACAGAAGGATGCCCAGGGCTTGCAGGAAGTCTTTCTTAGGCTGGGGTGAGTCAAGCTCTTTCTGGCCAAAAGGTGGCCACCATCAACCCATCTCAGGCTTCCTCTTCCCATAACAGTCCAGATGTTGAAGAACCAGGCACCAGCTCCTATATCCTTCCCAGCCACCACCCCACTCCACCCTGGTCCCCTGTCGTGCACAGCAGGATGGGAGTAGCCTGGCTTGCATCACCTTCCCATGCCCACTCTATGCTCCAGAAGTCACCGACCTGTAGTTCATTGGATGACAGGGTCTGCAGATCTGTTGTTATACCTAGAATGTTTTACTTTGGACTCCGAAAACGTATTTGAAAATCCAGATCTCCATTCTCTCTTGAAAAGTCAAAAAAACTCTGGCCTTGGGGAGGAAAAGGGGGTCTGGAATAGATCCCGGCAGCCGCGGTTGGGTGGTCCTCTGAGCTTCCACCCTCTCCTAAGCTTTGAAGTTTGGAGTTCACCACCTGTCCTCTTCCTAAAGTCCAGTAGCCAGAACCAAACACCATCCTCCAGGCACAGAAGTCTGGGAAAGGGCGTTCCCCTCCCTCGTGAAAGATGCTGTTTCTGTGAATGTGCCCAGACTCTAGCTCACAGGAAAGCTCCGTTACATCGTCAGTTTGCATTTAGCCTGTGGTCAGTCTCAGACCCCTGGTCCGTTGACACATGTGCCTTCGATAATTCCTCAGTCCTGAAGGGCACAGGCTCTGTAGCCACACAAGATGCGAGTTTGAGTCTATCAATACCTCCCTTCTTGGAAGGGAGCCATGAAGGCTAGAGATAAAGCACAGCCAAGCGTTTGACCCAGAAGTGTCACTGATCTGTGGCAGCTGTCATTGTTATCACTACAGCCAGGTCTCCCGGCGCTTGGGCATGCCACCCTCCCCCACCCTCCCCCCACACCCTCCCCCACTACCCTTGCTTCCTGAAAACCCACCCTCTTCAAGTAGAGTGCTTGCCTGCCCTCCACGAGAGAGAAAGTATTCCCCTACATACAAGTCCACCCAGACAATCAGATGTGACCCAGGGAGATGTTTACATGTGGTTTCTCACACAGCGGTTCCTCAGCACTCTGTAAACAGTGTCACCAAGGTTTGCCTTGAGTCCTGTCTCCAGGCAGGGTGAGGAGGTGCTGGTGGGTGCGTGGGTCTCCATGGAGTCACTTAAGTCAGATGGCATCCAGGAGTCAACGAGGGCTGGCCAGGCCCTTGAATTTAGAGATTCCAAGGTGACGGACGGGGTGTGTCAGAAAAATGTAAGCCTCTGGGCCAGGTGTGGTGACACACACCTGCAATCTCTACTCACACAGCAGAGACAGATGGATCTCTGTGAGTTTGAGGCCAGCCTAGTCTACATGCAGAATTGTAGACCAACCAGGACTACAGCATAAGACCCTACCTTAAAAAAAAAAAATTAAGCATCACGCAGAGGGGAGCTGGGGTTGGTTGCACCAGTCCTTGGGGGTGGGGGTCAGGCCACCTCTGATAAGGCCTGGTGGTAGTTTCTTCCCAAAAAGAATTGAGTCACCTCCAGTGGGGTCTTTTGTTCATTTGTTTGTTTCTTGGGTTTTTGGTTTTGATTTTTGGTTGTTGTTTTGTTTTGTTTTGACAAAGGATCTGTTAGCCTAGGCTGGCCTCCAACTCACTGTACAGCCAAGGATGACCTCTGAACTCCTGATCCTTCCTCCAACTCCAGGTGCTGGGATCAGAGGCACGAACCACATAAAACTGTCTCCGTGTAGCTCCTGGCCATCTCCTGAGATTAAATGCCTTCCAAAGGCTAATCCCCTCCTCTTATGGACTCTAGTAGAAATCACGTTGCAAGTTCCAAACACCTGATGCCCAGCTGGGCCCTAGAGGGAGGCTCTGTGAAAGCCGAGGCCACACTTTTCTCGGGATCTCAGATACTGTGCCAGGACCACAAGTCTCGATCCTCAGGGGGTGAAATCTGCAGTGAGTCCATTAGCAGAGTAACCGCAGCAAGAAATGGACCAGATGAAATTCTGTGGCTAGGGACCGCAGCATACTAACCCAGAGCTCTTCCCTGGTCCCAGCGCGCCCCTGCAAGGCTCATGAACCTTCCGGGAGGAGGTGACTGGCTCATTCATCCCCTCACCTCCATTCTTCAGAAATTTGCTTCCCTAGTTGGAGAGTCCACCATCCACGGGACTCTTCTCCCTCAGAACTTGGGCCCCCCGCCTGCTGGTCTCCTCCCAGAGCCTCTGGACATAGCCTGTGTGTTGGCTCTGTTCAGGACCCTGACCTCCCTGTTGACAGACCGTGTGGCCCTGAGCCCTCATCTCTTCTGGCCCCTGGTTTCCTTGTCTATAAAATGGGTTCCTAGCAGCAGCTTCTGGTAGGGTTGCTATGGCGGTGAGGTCATCCTGAGGGTGACATCCATCTTAGTTATTAGTCTTTTTTTTTTTTTTTTTTTTTTTGGATTTTTCGAGACAGGGTTTCTCTGTGTAGCTTTGCGCCTTTCCTGGAACTCACTTGGTAGTCCAGGCTGGCCTCGAACTCATAGAGATCCTCCTGTCTCTGCCTCCCGAGTGCTGGGATTAAAGGCGTGCGCCACCACCGCCCGGCAGTTATTAGTCTTAGCTTGGATGCTGGGTATTGTTGGCCGTGCCTTTCAGGTCTTGGAGAACAGTGTGGCTCACGAGAAAAGGAAAATGCGGGAAGTACTGGAGGCAGAAAGGAGGAAAGTACAAGACCTGGAGAATCAGCTGACCCAGCAGAAGGAGGTAGGAGCAGCCAGGGCCCTCCGGGAGGACAGCCAGCCAGGTGTGCCTGACAGCCCAGCAGTCCCATGGTCACCCTGCTGCAGCACCTGTGCAGGAAGTGGCCAACACCTGCCACTCATTAGCCAGCCAGGGAGGATCCCTGGAGCTCAGACCCAGGGCCTCTGAAAAATGGAAATCGAAATGATCTCTTTGTGGGACAAAAGTCACTGTACGTAAAGTACATACCGTTCTTCTCTGAAGCTGCCAGGGGTTGTGGCTGCTGGAGTTGGAAACATGTTCCCAGCACTGTCACTTTGTCCCACCTCCCGAAAGCCAGGGACTTTCCAGGGTAAACCTGTCCTGGTGCCAACACCTGCCAGGTTAGACAGTGTCAGCACCCAGGGGTGGGATTGACACCAGCCTGGGAGCCAGAGAGGAAGAGCCCCTCCTTCCTTCATGCTCCTGTGACTGAGATGCGGCTTCCTGCTCCCCAGCCTCATCACTTCCTCTCACCTCACATCCCGGCAGGCACCTTGTTCCCTGAGTTCTTGTCCCAGACCCCAAGTCACTGGTTCTGATGGTGACTCACCTTGGCTTCCCCTTCCAGTGAGTCTGCACTCTGTCTTAGTCACTGTTCTGTGACTGTGAAGAGGCACCATGACCAAGGCAACGCTTGTAAAAAGAAAACATTTAATTGAGGGCTTGCTTGCAGTGTCAATGGGTTAATCCGTTATCATCATGGGGCGGGGGGGGGGGGGGGGGGGGGGGGGGGGGGGGGGGGGGCATAGCGGGAGCATGGTGGCACTCACCACGGTGCTGGAGCAGTAGCTGAGAGTTACAGCCTGATCCAAAGGCAGAGAGCAAGAGACTGGGCCTGGAATGCCCACAGCCAGTGACACACTTCCTCCAACAAGGCCACACCTACATGAGCCTATGAGTGGGGGGGTGGGGGGTGGGAGGTGGGGGTGGGGGTGGAGGTGTGGGGGGGTAAGTGGGGGGGTACTCTTACTCAAACACCACCCTCTTGCTTCTGCTCCCCCTCAAACCCCTCTTTGACTTCCAGATCTCAGAGAGCATCACCCACGAGAGACTCAAAATTCGAGACACTCTAGAGAAGGAAAAAAGGAGAATACAGGACCTGGAGAATCGCCTGACCAAGCAAAAAGAGGTACGAGTCTCAAGAGTCGAGAGACCCATTGCTCCCATGGAGCTGCCAGGCCCTGCAGCCAGGCAGTCAGGGTTCAAATCCCTCTTCTGCTGGGGGACTTTAGGAAAGTTACTTGCCGTCTCTGGACCGTGATGCTCCCACATATGAGATACAGTCAACCTCACTCTGTGGTGAGACACAACTGTTGATCATAGCACACAGACAGACCCACGCAGTGTGCGACTGTTACAAGTTCCTGGCTCAGAAGTGGGGGGGGGCAGGATCTGAACCCAGAACTCCCAAACCTTTCCTCTTCACCCACTTCTTCCACTGTACTTCAGCTTTGTGTAGAGTAAGGCAGGGGTGACAGAGAGGGGACATCCAGGCATCTCCATGTCCCTTCCTGACAGGCTTGTCACAGCAGTCATGACCTTCCAAATCTGTTAAGATCCACAATTCTGACATGGTGGGCAAAGAGGAAGTGACTTCATAATCTCACAAACTGCAGATATTCACTCGTCCTGGGTTCCCATCATGTAAAGGACATGCGTGCGTGCACGCGCACACGCACGCGCACACACACACACACACACACACCTTGGCCAATATATTAGTCAAAGTAAGTGAGCAATACTAAACCTGGCAATTGTGAGTTAGATTTAAATAGGTAAATATGCGTTGAAAGGATCTTCAGTGCCTACTGATCTAAGAAGGTGTCTATGTATCCATTCTGTGTGGTTTTCTTTAAACAGAGGCACCCACACATTGTCATGCTTGCGTTTTGAGTGCCCTGGATATAGGGTGGATCTGGAATCTGTATTTTGTTTGTTTTTGTTTTTGAGACAGGGTTTCTCTGTGTAGCCCTGGCTATCCTGGAGCTCCCTCTGTAGACCAGGCTGACCTCAGACTCACAGAGATCCACCTGCCTCTGCCTCCCGAGTGCTGGGATTAAAGGCATGCGCCACCACCACCTGGCTGGAATCTATGTTTTTAAGAAGCTACCAGAATGACTCTGGAGCATTTGGAACACCACCACCTAAGGAGAAACAATGTCAACAAAACTCTCGGGATAGCACAGCTGCTCTGGACCCCACTTAGATGGGAGGCCTTAACTGATGGATGAGTGTCCAGAGGAGGCAGAATCCAGCAAAGTAAGGCAAGCAAGGCCCAAGAACTCAGGGCTGCCACACTCCCATGTGGGGGCCTGGAGCTCAGACTGAGAACTGACCATGGGAGCGGTCTCTTCACTTTATTTCCCAAATAATGCACCCTGGAATGCTGGAGAATGAGTCAGTAAGTGTGGGTGAAGAAGAGAATTTAAATTGTTTGGAGAAGATAGGCTAGTAATGAGACTAATGTAATATATATATATAATGAAATACATATACATGTATACACATATACATACATATACATACCACACACACATGTGTATATCAGGGCTGGAGAGATGGCTCAGCAGTTAAGAGAACTGGCTGCTCTTACAAAGACCCTGGGTTTGATTCCTGTCACTCACACGGCAGCTCAAACCATCTGTAACTCCAGTTCCAGGGGATCTAACGCCCTCTTCTGGCCTCCACCGGCACCAGGCACACAAGTAGTGTACAGACATAAAATACCCACACATAAAATAAAAGTAAATCTCTTTTAAGTATGTCATGAATCAATATATAAACTACAATTTTATTCCAGCAGTTACAGGGCAAGGAAAACCTGCTGGTTGTGCGGTCACCACACAAAGGTCACAGAAGCGCAGCAGGGCTGTGAGTGCAAGCCTGCAATCCCAGCTACTCAGGAGGCTGAGGCAGTTCAAGTCCAGTCTGGGTTTCAGTGAGCTCAGGGCTGGCTTGGAAACTTGGAAAGACCCCGTCTCAAAATCAAAAGTAAAAAAAAAGCTTAGAGTTCAAAGATACAGTGCTTGCCTAGCATGTGCAAGACCCTGGGTTCGAGCCCACAGCAAAATGTCAAACAAGGAGACAAAGTCCTTCCAGGTGCCAGCCCCACCAGGGCTCCAGCAAGGGCTGTCCTAAAAAGAAATCTGCAAGACAAGAAACATCTGTAGGGGCAGCCCTCACGATTGGGACGCCGAGGCAGTTGCTGGGAGACCTCAGTTGGCGGGTGACAGCAAACACATCTGGAGGAGCAGTAACGCCCCACCCCAAAGGGAGCCACCATGCACCAGGACAGAGCACACCCTCGAGTGTGGCTCTGGCGGGTGTTCTGGAGGCCAACTCCCCCACCCCAAACCCAGGAAACAAAAACGAAAACGGACAGGTTAAAGTTTCCACCGGGCAGAGGGAACAGTGTGCAGATGCAATGCTCAGATTGGGCAGGAAAGACTTGCAAGACACAGGTCTGGTTAATCTCTAAACCATCTGAGGAATTCAGATGTCAATGGAAAGACAGCCAGCGGCCCAACCGAAACACACAGGTACCTGACAAACCGGCTTGTTTTGTTTTATGGTACTGGGGAGTGGAGCCCAGGACCTCACACAAGCTGGCCAGGTGCTCTTCCCCTGAGCCACATCCAGCTTTTTTATTTTATTTTGTTTTTGAAATGGGGTCTCACTAACTTGCCCAAATTGACCTCAAACTCACTGTGTAAAATCCAGGTTGGCTTCAATTCTACCATCCTCCTGCCTCCCAGCCTTACAAGGAGCTGAAATTGTAGGCTGACACCACCACACCTGGCCTGAATAGACATTTTTCTTTTGTCATTTTATTTTTTATGTGTGTCTGGGTGTTTTACCTGCATGTGTGTCTGGTGCCAGCAGAGGCCAGAAGAGGCCATTACTGGAGTTACAGATGGTTGCGAGCTACCACATGAGTGCTGGGAATCGAATCAAGCCCGGGCCCTCTGGGAAAGCAGCCAGTGCTCTTGACCACTGCACTACCTCTCTACCCCCCTGAGTAGACGCTGTTTTCAAAAGGAAGATGAAAAAAACAAAACTAGCAGATACATGGGAGGGAAGACCCCAAGGCTGTCAGAATAGCCAGTTTCAGAAAGATAACCAGGGCATTTAGCTCAGCTGGTAGAGTGTTTGCGTAGAATGCCTGAAGCCGTGAGTCCGTCCCAATAGCTCATAAACCTGACTTGATGGCACACACCTATTATCCTAGCACTTGGGAATTAGAGGTAAGAGAATCAGGACTTCAAGGTCATTCTTAGCCACTGAGGGAATTCAAGACCAGCCTGAGCTACATGGGACCCTACCTCAAAGGAAAAAAAAAAAAAAAAAAAAAAAAAGAAAGGAAGAAAAACAAAAACAAAAACAAAAACAACCCTACTCAGACCTAGAGCTTATTTGCACACAATTTTCTTTGTATTCACAATAGAGCAATCAAAAAGTTGATGTCAAGCTGGCCAAGGTGGCACACACCTTTAATGCCAGCACTCAGGAGGCAGAGGCAGGTAGATCTCTGAGTTCCAGGCCAGCCGGGTCTACAGAGTGAGTTCCAGGACAGCCAGGGATATACAGAGAAACCCTATCTCAAAAAAAAAAAAAAAAGTTGATGTCACAGGCAAACAGATAAAAGAGAGAAAATATAAAAGAAAAATATCTCCAGCTCTGTGGGTGTGGAGCAAAGATGGCCAACACCGAGTCTTCTCTAGACCTATGAGCATGAAGTAAAGATGGCCAACATGGGTCTTTACCGTGTCTATGAATAATGGAGCAAAGATGGCTGAGAGCCGTTCACCTCACACTGGCCAGCTTCATGGTGCAGTACAGAAACAAGTGGGTTTTCAGGGACACCTGGAGCAATCTATGAGCATCAGGTGACAAGTGGCTCTGTATCTCCGTCCTCTTAGGCAAGGTCAGTTGTCCCGGACACAAAGATCAGGAAGTGATTCCCAGTGGAGTACAGGGACAGCCTGGGAACAGTAGTGCCTGCATTTTTCTTTTTCCAAAGAGTGCCTGTTTTCTTTTCTGATCACAAATGAGCTCCGTTCCCTCTAGAGTATTTGACAAATACAGGAAATCGCTCAGAAGAGCCTCAACATTGACGCTGCTTCTGCAGAGCAGAGCTATCACCGCGGACATTCGGATGTGATGCTCTCTGGGATACCTTTGTGCCGTTACTATAGACGTGGGTGATGCTAACTCATTACCAGGACAGTGGCATGGGGCCTACTGCTCTGGGAACTGTTTTGATACATTAGGTATTTCTCGAACATCTCCATGTCACTGAAGACAGACCTTGGGTTGTTGGTCCCTCCCTCTGTTAGGTTTGGGTTCTTTCCCACTTTTCCTGGGTATAGGAAATGATTGGTGGCATGTGCCAATGATTCCAGCACTCAGGAGGCCAAGACAAAGACTCATGAGTTTAAAAACCAGCCTGGGCTGTTGCAACTTTGTCATTAAAAAAACCATTATAATAATAACAACAATGAATAAATACATAAGTAAAAGATGCTTGGCTGAACAATTGCATGTTCCGCTCTCCATCCTTAGGAGAAAGTGCTGTCTGTGAGGGTAGCTGCTGGTCCTCAGGATGTAAGCATCCTCGCTCACAGTCCCCACTGCCACTTAACCCTCCCCCCCCCACCCAGAAATGATAAGCTGATCCACACTAGCAACAGCAGTTTGTGAGAGTGCCCAGGACTGTGTCTCAAGACTATATTCATGGGGCTGTGGTGGTAGCTCATCCGGTAAAGTGCTTGCCAAGCGAGCATGATGACCGGAGTTCAGTCCCCAGAAACCATCAAAAAGCCAGGCATGGGAGAGCTCTGGGAGTCAAAAACAAAGATTCTTGATGTTCGCTGCCCAGTTAGTCTAGCCTGATTGATAAGCTCCAGGCCAATGAGAGTCCCTGTCTCAAAAGACACCTGAGGTTGTCCTGGGGCCTCCATGCTCACCACACACACACACACACACACACACACACACACACACACACACACCTGTACATACATGTGCACCCATGCATACTCACAGCCACATTAAAAAAAAAAATAATGTTTGAGATCTCAGGATAGGGCCTGGCAGGAGCCCATACTCCAGTCCTTGGAGGAGGGTCTCCAAGGGGACAGTAGGATTATGATAAAGATGGCTGCAGGGGTTTCCAGGGGATGCATAAGCTATGCCAAGGACTTGGCAACTGGAATCTTTCTGGCCAGGGACCTGGAGTGCAGGGGGGAACAGAGTGTCTCCAGGGCAGGTCATGTGGTGAAGGGTGAAGGCACTTAGCACATTTATCCTGGAAAACAGATTTAGAGAGAGACATGCCAACCCTCCTCAAATATTTAAAGGGCTCTCTCATAAAAGAGAAATAAAACTGAGTCAAAGGCTCCGGGTGACAGAATGGGGCTCAGAAATCAAGGAGACAGATCTCTGCTGATGATTTAAAAAAAAAAAAAAAAAAAGAGTTCTGCAGTAATTGGAACCTTCCAGAAAATCCTTGGGCTTTGGACTTAAGAAGCACCAGCAGACTGGAGTCTGTGTCCTTGCTGAAGGCTCAGGGAGGAAGGGGGGGAGGAGTAAATATTTAATTCCAGACGTTGTTAATTTGGTGTTTGCTGGTTTTCTAGGAGATAGAATTAAAGGGGCAAAAGGAGGACATCTTAAATACTAAATTAAACGACGCCCTGGCCGTGCTAGGCGAGGCGCAGCAGATGAAGACAGCCGAGAACCTCAAGGCCCAGAACCTTGCCCTCAAGTTAAATGAAACGTTAGCCGAGCTGGAAACAACCAAGACAAAGATGGTGGGTTGACCTGAAAACGGTGAGCTTCCCCCACGGAATCGCAGCATGTGCTAGGTAGTATTCTATCAACCTGACACACGTGCCATCTGGGAAACGGGAACCGCAGTTGAGAAAATGCCCCCACCAATGACCTGCGGGAAAGCCTGGGGTGCGTTTTCTTGGTTGATGATTGATGGCTGATGTGCGAGGACCCTGCTCAATTGTAGCAGTGCCACCTCTGGTCCTGGGCTCTATAGGAAAGCAGACTGAGCAAGCCATGGGGAGCAAGTCAGTAAGCAGCACCCCTCCATGGCCTCTGCATCAGCTCCTGCCTCCAGGTTCCTGCCCTGCTTGAGTTCCTGCCCTGACTTCCCTCAGCAGTGGAGGGTGACCTCAGAGTGGTGAGCTGAAATGAGCCCTCTCCTCCACACATCACTTTTGTCTGTGGTGTGTCAGCACAGCTATAGAAATCCTAACTATGACACAGTGGCAGGAGAATGCAGGGGTGTGGGGGGGGGGCGGGGCTGGGGAAGGTTGAGACCTGGCCTGCCCAGGCTCCGGCTGCTGACATTCCGGGCCAGGCACCTTTTTTCTCAGGGACTGTCCTGTGCTTTGTGGACAGTAAACAGCATTCTCCCCACCCCCAGCTGAGAAAGACCCTGCCAAATGTCCCTTAGAGCCAAAAATCACCCCTGTTGAGAAAGATCATCTTGATGGACCTGGTGATACAGGGTTGTAATCCCAGCTACCCTGGAGGCTGAGGAAAGAGAAACACACATTCAAGGTCTGCTGGGCTACAAAGTGAGGTGAAAGACCAGCAGGGCAACCTGATTAGGACTCTGTCTCTAAATAAAATAAATGTAGGGATCTGGAGAGATTGCGAAACATCCACGCTTATGGAGAGCCGGGAGGCCGCTGTCCAGCATATCCACTAGAAGGGAGAGCAGGGAGGAAGACAGGGCTGGAGGGACTGGGGTGGAGACATCAAAAGGGCTCAGAAAGCAGAGGGTGGTCACAGGTGGTGTCTGTTTTTCTGTCCAAGAGGCTTGTTGGTAATTTTAGTTGATAAGAATTGCGTGCATGCTTGTAATCTCAGCAGTGGGGAGACAGAGACTGTCAGATCCTGGGGCTCAGTGACCAGCCAGCCTACATGGTAAGTTCCTGGTCAGGAAGAGACCCTGTCTCAGTACAAGGGGTGGATGGCCGCTAAGGTTGTCCTCTGACCTCCACACACAGGACACACACGCATACAAAGAAATACACATCAGTTTGCTTTTTTTTTTTTTTTTCTCATCCAACATCTGCGTCTAGATGCTGTGGGCAAGGCTTCTGCTATGTGGGGCTGAGGGACTCTCAGGGGAGAGAAAACAAGAAACCAAGACCATTTCAGGTGCTGATAAAGGTCTTGGGAAAAAGAAAACAAATAAAATAGAAATTGCCTGGGACTCATCCATGAACACATGTCCAGGAAGATTCCATGAAGGAGGTAATGTTAGCTAGAGCTGAGACCTGGAAGACAGACAGGTCAGCCATACAGGGAGGAAAGAGAGAAGGATGCCAGCAGGAACGTGTGTGCAGAGGCTCTTGGGTAGGATGCCGTCTAGCACCGGTGCGTGCAAAGGTGGCTGCCGTCTAATTCCACTCCTGAGGCTACGTCTCCCTCAATGCTCCCCCAGATCATGATGGAGGATCGGCTGAGGCTGCAGCAGCAGTCGATGAAGGCCCTGCAGGATGAACGGGAATCCCAGAAGCACGGCTTCGAGGAGGAAATCATGGAGTACAAAGAACAGATCAAACAGCATTCGCAGACCATCGTGAACCTAGAGGAGAGGCTCTACCAAGTAACTCAGCACCACAGGAAAATAGATGGGGAGATCGCAACGCTGAAAGACAACGAACCAGGTAGGGCTGGGGCTGTGGGAGAAACCTGGTGTCCAGATGCGCCTGCGTGGCCGCAGGCCGGGCCCCATCTCAAAGCTCCCTCACTCTCTGTCGGCCCCTTTTGCTCCTCAGTGCACATGATGCTAGAAGCCCTCCGAGGCCTAAGGGAACCAAAGTAACAGCAATGAGTTAGGACATCCTTTATGCTAACCCAGTGAGCCGGGGAGGAACACGGGCAGCCAGAACTATTAGTGGAGTTGTCTTTTCCACATGGAAACATCAATCTGGGGCCCTCTCTGTGCCTCTGGCCACTGGGACCTTACTAACAGCTCTCCTGGGCAGCCAGGACTGGCCTCCTACAAAATAAACCCAAAGAGGCAAAAAACAGCACTCAGAGTTATGCCGCTCACTCACCCTAAATGACCTGGGTCACTTATGACAGACACTAAGCTCTGGGTGGAAAGTTCTGGAAGCCGAGGCCTCAGGCCCTAGGTCTCAGCGTCAGCACTGTTGGTGTTTGGCGCTGGATAAGCTTTGCTTGGGGGCAGGGTGCCTGCTTTAACTACATCCCTGACCTCCGCAACTGGCCTCACTCCTCCCCTCACCACACAGCAAGTGTCTCCAGACATCACCAAAGTTCTCCCAGATGAGAGCTAGCCTCCGGTGGGAGACACGGAGGTGAGCTCAGGCTTGCCTCGTGCACCATTCCTGTTCTGTTCTTATTTGAGCATCTATGATGCCCCAACTTCCTATCATGGAGATCCATGATAGACAAGCCAACCGCTATCCCTGTGAGTAACTGAGTTAGGGCCCTGACAATGACTTGGGGTAAGTGGGGGGGGGGGGTTGCTGGAGAGCTTCTCTCCAGGTCCCACCAAGCCCTGCAGTCCTACAACCCACGTATAAAATAATCACTCAGACACTTATATTACTTATAAACTGTATGGCCATGGCAGGCTTCTTGTTATCTACTTTTTCTATCTTGAATTAACCCATTTCTATTAATCTATAAGTTGCCACGTGGCTCATGGCTTACCGGTACCTTACATCTTGCTTCTCATGGCGGTGGCTGGCAGGTCTCTCCCCCTCAGCCTTCCACTTCCCAGCATTCTCCTCTCTCCTTGTCCCGCCTATACTTCCTGCCTGGCCACTGGCCAATCAGTGTTTTATTTATATAGAGCGATATCCACGGGGGGGGGGGGGGGGGGGGGGGGGGGGGGGGGGGGCGGGGATCTGTCTCCTAAGCCAGAATCCAGGTAACAATGAGGATACTCAGTGGGTCCTGAGGGTGACAGCGTCTTTGTCATTTCCGCCCTTAGATAAGTGTCCGCCATAAAGCAGGCATTAAACAAGCGTTTGTTGAGTGAGTAAACAATTGAGTAAGAGTTGAAAAGCAGAGGACAGTGGACCAAGGAGTGAGCGGGGAAGATGGGAAGCCAGAAACCATGAATTCTTTAAAGATTTTTGTCTAGAAAGAGAAAAGGGCAGGTGGTGTGACCCACCAATAAGGCTGCAGCTCTTGAAGCTTGGCCAGGCCATTGCCGTCAGATCCCTCATCCTCATATTGCTTCCTTGTCTGTAAATGTCGCTGGTGACTCCTGCCTCACTCAGTAGCCAGGAAGACCTCATTGTTGTATTAGCCCATTTTCCATTGTTGCTGGCCCAGTTCTATGAGTGGGCAAGTAAGGAAAGAAGTTTAGTCAGAGGTTAGGTTCAAGGTGGAAGCTCTGCTTCTGGTGATGGCCTTGCCAGCAGAGTCCTGAGAAAGCCCCGGGGGTCACATGTCAAGAGACAAGGGGTGTGCAAAGTTGGGGGTGTGGCTCAGTTGGTTCAGTCTTGGCCTCTCATGAACCTTGAAACTCTAGGTTCAATCTGTCAGCACATAAATGGGATCCAGTGATATATGCCTATAATCTCAGCACTGGGGAGGTGGAGGCAGGGGGATCAGAAGTTCAGAGTTATCCTCAGCTACATAGTGAACTTGGGGCCAGTCTGGGCTACATGAGACTCTGTTTTTAAAAATAGGGGAAGATAGAAAAGAACGAGAGACAAGGAGTGTGAATGTGTCTGGTCTCTGTCCCACTTTCCCCCGGGGCTCCAACATGATGGTCTCATCTAATCTATTCACTCTAACGCCGCAGTGAGATCAAGCCACCACCTTCTTAAACCTCACAGTGGGGATTAAATGTTAACACGTCATCTCAGAGAACACAAGCCACATCCAGACTTTACACACAGACACAGGCTTACCTGTTAACGCTACACATTTAGGGAGTCTGAGGGCAGAGAAAGCTGCAGGAGTTGTGAGAGACACAGGTGTGTTCACGGGACAGAGAAAGGGAAAGTCCACTATGTATGAGCTGTGATGATGTTGACATATTCCTCTGATGCAGTTCAAAAGGAGGAAGTGCCCCAAGAGCCCGCAGAAATACCCCCGCTGGACAGCAGTACCAAAGAAGTAGCGTGTGACCACCTGATGTGAGTACCAAGGAGGGTCCCAAGGCACTGGAGGAGCAGGGACATGGCCAGATTTGTGTTCTCAAGGTTGCTTAGATTTCCCAGTTCCTGTTGCAAGTGAGGATGATGTGGTGGGGAGATCCAAGCAACTGTCTGCTCAGATCACAAGTCCACCCTTGGTGGTCTTGTAGTCCTGGGGGAGTCGGGCTGCCTCCCTGAGTGGCGACATTTGTAGGAGGTACATGCCTGCAGCTTGGTGACTGTGTGCAGGCGCTGTGATTTACTTTCCACCCTGAACCACCACCCCGACCCCCAGAAGAATCTCTTTCTTATGATCCATGCTGACAGTGGAGACCACTTACAGGGGAGAGTTCTGGAAAGGTTGTGAGATGGTAAGGGCACTCACTGCCAAGACTGACAACCCCATTTTGATCCCCAGAACCCACACGGTGGAAAGAGAGAACAGTCTCTTGAGCTGTCCTCTGATTCCCATAAGCACAGCGTGACACATACGCACATACAAAATGAATAAAATATAAGGAGGAAAAAAAGGATTGCACTAAGTGACCCTAACTAACGAATTCTCCTCTATAACCTTAACAGTCAAGGAGTCTTTGGAGCCTCAAGGAACTAACAATTTTTGAAAAAACAAAGCCTATCCATGTCCAGGCGTGAAGGCACACACCTGTGGTCCCAGTGCTCAGGAGTGTACACAGGAGGCCAGCCTGGGCTATGGAATGACTCAAAAACACAAAACAGGGCCTTGGAATGTAGCTCAGTGATAAAGTACTTGCCTTACATGTGGGAGGCCCTGGGGTGGGTTTAGTACCACCAAAAATGAAACAAGCGATGAGGACAACAGTTCAGAAGGCTACTGCAGAGCAGCATGTGAACAAGGAGGTGTTAAATCTTCAATCCAAGAAAAACAGAGGCACCCATGGGTGGTGATATATTGTGTACCCTAATAAAATTTGCCTGAAGATCAGAGAGACAAAGGAACAAGCCACACCCACCACCTCTTACCTCTAGGACTCCTCAGTCTGAAAAGCCTTCCTCAGTCAAAAAGCATTAGTTCCAGTCTCCTCACACCTTATATATCTTTCTCTGTCCACCATATTACTTCCTTTCTAGTGCTGGGATTAATGGCATGTGTGCTTCCCAAATACTGGGATTAAAGGCGTGTGCCACCACTGCCTGGCTGTGTTTCTCTCCTCGACTGGGCCAATCTCATGTCGTCCAGGGTGGCTTTGAACTCACAGAGGTCCAGACAGATCTCTGCCTCCCAAGTGCTAGGATTAAAGGTGTGTGCCACCACTGCCTGGCCTCTATGTTTAATATAGTGGCTTGTTCTGTTCTCTGATCTTCTGGCAAACTTTATTAGGGTACACAGTATATCACCACACCCATATTATGTGCGTGTATATGTGTGTGTGTATATACATATATAAATATATATATTGGAGCTGAGGATCGAACCCAGGGCCTTGTGCTTGCTAGGCAAGCACTCTACCACTGAGCTAAATCCCCAACCCTAAACAAATTTTTTAATGGGTGCCTCTGTCTCACATATATGTGTGTATATGTGTGTGTGTGTGTGTGTGTGTGTGTGTGTGTGTGTGTGTGTGTGTGTGTGTGTAAAGCCTGGGCCACCAAAACCTCTGCGCTCACTAGAGACTGACAAGTGACAGACTTCAATACTGCCTTCTACTCAGTACATTCTTCCCCTAATACAACTGCACACAGAAGTGTGTGTCCCATCCAGGTCCCTCAAAAACACAACCCAACTTCCATTAGCTTTCACCTCCTTCTTAGGCCTATAAGCTGTGGTCCCTAAAGAGTGCCTGTCCTGTGGAACACCCCTCCAATGAGAACAGCAGTTCTCATGGAGTCTAATGTGCCGTCTGTCCTTACCATTCCTGCATCTCCTTCGTTCTGGTCCGGTGCCCAGGATCTCAGCATGCCAGGGAACAAACAAAGCTTTCGTTGTCTCCTCCTCTCCTTCCCCATCCTCCTGGAAGTCCTGAACCCCGACCCTCCGTGGTCTGCCACCCTCTTTCCACAAAACCACTGGCCTGTCTATGCTGACAGGTCCCATGCAGGACCAGATGACACCCTCACTAGAGACACAGTGGACCTCAGCCCAGCCCAACCAGACCCTTTGTTCTTTCTCAGAATGTGCTAAGTACACCAAAATGATGTTCTTTTCGAGTATTTAAAGGCTGCCTGTCCCCCAGCTGGGCTGGGGTCCCAAGGTCCATCCCTGGACATTTGGAACCTTTTCTCTGGGCTCCTTCTCAGCCCACCCCCCCTTCAGGAGTCACCAGGGAAGTTGTGTACATCTGACTCGGCCTGTTGTTTTGTTTGTTGGTTTTCACTACAGAGATGACTTACTAGCTGCTCAGAAGGAAATCCTGTCTCAGCAGGAGGTCATCATGAGGCTGAGGACAGACCTCAATGAAGCCCATGGCAGGATGTCAGACCTGAGAGGTTGGTAGGAGTTCCTGGGTCACTTGACTCCCTGACCCTCTCAGGAAGGAAGTGACAGCAGGGTCAGCAGCCTTGGTCTCAAAGCCTCTTGTGGACCTGCTTTCCTGTGTGCCTGCGGCCCCTGTCACCCCGGATCACACTCACCTGGTGGACCTTGAGGGTCAACATCGTCTTCCACTGCAGCTTATTCTCACCCTTAGGAGGGCAGTAGTGAGGTTCTCCCAGGGCTGGGCCCTTTGCAGGAGCCTGGGTGCTGTGTGAAGGGGCTTCACAAGCCTCCTCTTCATCATGCAAAAAGACCACACACCTCCTTCCTCATCAGCCACCCAGGGTAGGGAAGAGAAAGCCGGATGTCACACACACCCTCCTGCACAGACACACAGCCTAGCTCAGCCCCTCCTCTCGTGTGTTTCTCTGTCCTTCCTCTTGCTTCAAACGACTCCTTCTCTTTTCCATCCCCAGCCTGTGGCAGGACAAAAATCCAGGCAGATAGGACTTGAGAGGTAACAAAACTAGATTCCAGAAGTGGAAGATGGAAAAAGGAGAGCAGGTGGGAGGGAGGGAGGGAGGGAGGGAGGGAGGGAGGGAGGGAGACTGTTTCACACAGCCTCTGACATCCCCAAACCCTCAGGCCTGTTCGCTCCCTGAAGCTGTCCCAGTGGTTTTCAATAGGAAGGAAAGTAATAATAGAGAATACAGTGAATCAGAACCCAGTTCCAGAACCCGATCACCATTAGGTCCTTGACAAGACTCTACCTTTCTGAGCCGCGGTGTCCGAATCTGTGAAGTGGGGGTGCCAATGGTAATTCCCCTGTAATGTGCAATTCAAGACTTAAGGCAATGCAAAGGTCTTAGTGTGGGTTCTCCCAACAGCGGACCCTAAAACTGGAACTCCACCACAGCCTGTCTATTCAAGCCATAACCCCAGTAAACGCCGACAGTGAGCTAGAGCTTGAGCCAGAGGGAAAGAAAATGAAGTGTGGTAGGCTGTCAATCACGAGGGCACTGAGGTACCCAGAACTAGTTCTGCCAGAGAGAGCTAGGGGCAGGGGCAGCTGTCTGTGCCAGCTGTGGATGGGACACTGTTGTACCCAGTGTAGCCCAGAAGACTCCAGGGGCCTGAGAACACCCCTGGGCAAAAAAATACAGAGGCAGCTGGGTATGTGGTTCAGTTGGAGTGCTTGCCTAGCCTACATTGAGGCCCTGGGTTCAAGTCCCAGCACTAAATGAAAGTGAGCTGGTGCCACACGCCTGTGATCCCGCCACTGAGGAGGTGGAGATGGGAAGGGTTAGAAGGTTGAAGGTCATTGTTGGCTATAAAGAGTTGGAGACCAGCCTAGAATCCACGAGACCCTGTCTGAAAACGAAAAAGTAAACAAAAAGACTCAGAAGCAAGTAGCTGAACGTGAGCCGGAGTGCCCTAAAAGACCAGGGGGACATGGGTAGGGCCCTGACAGCGGCTGCTGGTGTAACACTGTAGTGAGGCAGAAGCAGGGGGCTTACTGTGCCACCCACTGTCACATGCTGAGGCTCTGGCAGAGCTCCTGGGGGCACCTGAAAGCCCTGAGAACCCTGGGACAGACCTGCCCTCACGGATCTCATAGGGCTGTCACATAGGCCATGACAGAGGTCTGAGGTGGAAAACCAACTTCCTGTCACTCCCAGGGGAGCTGAATGAGAAGCAGAAGATGGAGCTGGAGCGACATGTGGCCCTGGTGCAACAACAGAACCAAGAGCTGAGCATGCTCAAATCGAAGGTGGCGCAGACCAGCGGCCTGGTGGAGAAGAAAGACAGGGAACTGAAGGTCCTCAGGGAGACGCTCAGGTGTGGGAAGGGGTCCGTGTGGCGTGACCATCCCAAGGCCTCTGGCACAGAGAAAGGGCTCAGTAAATGCTGGTTGAATTGGGTGGGTGAATGAGTGATAGTGTTTCATTGCTTCAGAGACTCATTAATGAAAACAGGGCTGTGCTTTGTTCTGGAATGGGCATTCTCCCAGGTGACTGGGCTCAGCTTAAATGCAGGAAGTCTGAAAGAATCCAGTCACCTGTGAAAATAGTTTTACTTCCAGGTTACGGAGGGATGCAAAGGTCCGTGACCCCGGAACTGCCTGACACCCATGACGTCCCTCTCTGCCCCAGGACTTCCCAAGAGAAACATAGACCCCACCTGAGCGTGGAGCAGAAGCCTAGGATTCTGAACCAGAAGTGTGACATCTCTTTGCAGATAGAACCAGTTCACCCAGATACATTCTCCAGCTTCCAAGAGGTCAGTGTCTGTGACTGGGGCTCCGGGCAGGTCCAGGCTTTGGGTGGCAACCAAAAACCTAAGGGTTAAAGGCTTCTAAAAGTATTGCTCATTCCCATGAAATGACAAAGTAAGACAGAGTCCTGCCCCATGATCACAGTCTCCATGGTTACACTGTCAACAGTGGAGACAGTGCCAGCTGTTCTCTCCTCTGAGACCACCAGGTCTTTCTACAATCATGAATTGTAGTAGTGGTTGGGTAGTGGTTGGCTGTCCACCTTGGATCAAGTTGTCCTGGGTTCGAATCCCAGCCCCTCCTCATAGAAAGTCTGTGGGCCTAAGGAGGTCACTATACACCAGTTCCCTCCTCTGAGAATGACAGTCCCCCTTCAAAGAGTGGTTGGGAAATACATTTTATTTATGCATACCCACAAACGCATCTGGTAGGAAATTTCCTGCTATTTCTTTTATTTGTTAATCTCTCTCTCTCTCTCTCTCTCTCTCTCTCTCTCTCTCTCTCTCTCTCTCTCTCTCATGTGTGTGTGTGTGTGTGTGTGTGTGTGTGTGTGATATGCATGTGTGGAGTCCAAAGGAGGACATCAGCTATTGACTCTCTGCCTCTACTGTCTTACCACACTTGAGACAGGGTCCCTTGCTGAACCTAGAGTGTACCATTTTATTTTTCCTACAGAGCTGGTGAGCAAGCCACAAAGATCCTCCTATTTTATGCCCACCCACCCCTGATCCCCACCAGTTTGGGGTTACAGGTGCATGCAGCCATGCTTAGCTTTTTAAAATGGGTGCTGGAGATCCTGAACTCAGTTCCCTAATGCTTGTACAAGTGCTCTTAACCACTGAGTCCATCTCCCCAGCTCACAAACACTATCTGATGACATCTTGTCAACTAAGTCTCTAAAAGTCCACTTTGTTTGTGTAAATGGCTGCTTAGAATTCCATTTTGTGTCCGTTTTATCCAGTCAGTCCCCAGAGGATGGCGATTTCAGCTGTGTCTCCTTAACCTGGTGCTGTATTTAGTCTAAGTTGCCCATATGTAGAGCTCCTGTTTGGCTGTGAAGTTGCTGGGGCCAAGGGGCTTCCTAAACTGTGTGGCACGGAACCAAATGACCTTCCCAGAGAACCGTGCGGTTAATGTGACCCCCGCCCCCCCCCCCCCCCACACACACACACACAGACCATGGCAGTCGCTGGATAAGGTCTCCCTGTGTGACTGACCGGAAGTCCCAGATGCTCACCCAGTAGGAAACATGCCTGAGTGAGAACAGCCTCTACCAGGTGGTCCTCAAGGCTGATTCACACTCTGCCCCCATGCCCAGTGCCGAAGCATTTGCCGTCATTGTGGGGCACGCTGGTTCCTTGAGGCCTCCGATTCCTAGAGTCCAGTCCAGGACAACCTTTTCTTTTCACTTTGGGAAGCCAGATAATGAATCATCTGCAAAAGACACGAGGCCAAATGTGTCAACCAAGACACTAGCCCTGCCAGACAGCAGCCGGCCAGGGCTTCGGACAGCCAGGATGAAAGGGCTTGAGGTCCAGCCAGCTGCCCCTGGCACTGAGTGCTGTCCAGAGCACTTTAATAGAAGGGGCTCCCGTTGCTCAGGGCAACCAGGAGGAGGAGGAGGAGGAGGAGGAGGAGGAGGAGGAGGAGGAGGAGTGCAATAGCCCAGGTGGCTGGAGGCTCAGCTGGGCAGCAGGAAATGTCAATCACTCCTGTTGGAATCCTGAGCCATCAAAGCAGGACCTGACCCACAGCGACTATTGAGCACCTGCTGTGTGCTTTGTGCTCAAGACAGGGAAAGGTTCACGGGTGCCCTACACACACCAGCACACACACACACACACACACACACACACACACACACACACAAACACACACACACACCCTGCATGTGTTCCATGGAGAGACCTGTTGAATGGTGACTTTTAGTTTTTGTCTCAAAGTTGAGGCTGATGGGGGAGGGAGGACACAAGATAAAAGACAAAAAGCATCCCTTCTTGGAACAGTGGTCCTCACCCAAGCTACTTCCTGTTTCCGACGCCAGCGTGGGTCAGAGGGCTCAAGAGTTGTATGAGAAAGAATCCGTGTCCTCTCTCAGTAAGAGAGTTCCCAGAGGAGGGTGAGGAGGGGTCACATGGTGCTTCCTCTCCCATGAAGGACCAGGGGAGTCTGGCCTGGCTGCTGAACCTGTCCTCCTGCCCAGCGCAGCATCTGTCTGCCTCTCTCCAGGAGGGAGCATTCAGCTGGCTCCTTCCAGGACAGACAGATGCCCTCCAGCAGATGAATGAGACCTATACAGAAGCAAGCCCTGAGGTGGTCCAGCTTCAGGGCAGTACACCGGACTAGTTAGGTCCCCTCACCCACCCGGCAGCCCTGGCACTATCAGAAGATGGGGAAGGCTCCTCACTCCTTGCAGACTTTGCACATCTTGAGCACCGTGCTCAGGCCTGGGAAGACCATAATCTCCACAGGAGGCACACTTTGCTCTCATGGAGCCTGTGTGTGGGAAAGGAGGAAACAGAAAGTCCATATAGAATAAAATGTCCTAGGGATAAGGCGGGGCCAAGTGATTTGAGGAGCTATTATGGCAGGACTTGAGACTGTCCCAGATAGCTTTCTATCGCTGTGATTAAAAAAAAAAAAAACACTCTGACCAAAAACAACTTAGAGAGGAAAGAGTTCATTTCATCTTACAGCTTAGAGTTCATCGTGGAGGAAGTCAGGGCAGGAACTCGAGACAGGAACCTGGAGGCTGGAAGTGAGCACAGGCCGTGGAGGGGTGCTGCCTCCTGGCTTGCTCACCCTGCTTTCTTATACACCCCAGAACCACCTACCTGCCCAGCGGTAGTACTGTCCGCAGTGGCTGGACCCTCCCACATCAATCATTAATCAAGAAAATGCCCCCACAGACTTGCTCACAGACCGATCTGATAGAGGCATTTTCTTAATTGAGGTTCCCTCTTCCCAAATGACTATGGTTTGTGTCCAGTGACCAAAACAAACAAACAAACCTGACCAGAACAATAGATAAGAGCATCCTGGGAAAGAGGTTCCCTCAGACTTGTGGTAAGAGGCTTCCACAAGGAGAAGTTTGAAGCAGCGCCAGCAGGATGCAACAGTGTGACAGAAATGTCAGGGGAGGGGAGCATTCCCATGAGGGCCTCGGACAGCATTGCTGAGCCCCTTGAAGGGGGCTGTGGGCCTTGAAGACCCCCTAGGGAGCCAGTGTGACTAGCACCAAGCCTGGGACCCACCAGCAACCAGAGTCAGCCGAGGAAGAACAGATGATTCTCTTTTCCTGGCCTCTGCTCCGTCTGTGGGTGGATTTCTCACTCGCTGATGCTAGGGTGTCTAATGCTGAACTGCTCATCATCCGTCTGGTGCACCAAGTTCAGATCCACGGCAGAGCTTAGCTTGGGTCTTCGATGGAGGTGCCTGGAATAGTGTCCAGCGGAGGGGAAGAGGGGGTGGGGAGGCAATGAATATGAATGAGAATATGGATTGCTAGTGATGGTTTGGTAGGCAGAGGCATATATACCTAGGAACAGAGACGGGGCTGGGCATGTGGCTCAGTTGGTAGAGTGCTTAGAGAGCACACAAAGCCTTGAGCCCAGACCGTAATACCACAGAAACTAAGCATGGTGGTACATGCCTGAAATCCCAGCATTCAGGAGGTGGAGACAAGAGGACCAGGAGTTCAAGGTCATCTTTGGCTACATAGAAAGTTTGAGGGCAACCTGGGTTACATGAGATCCTGTCTCAAAGAAAAATTTCAAAAGGAAAAAGATTTAAAAAAAAAAAAAAAGAAAGAAAAAGAAATAGAGACCGAGCTGCCTAGCTATATAAAATGTTAATAATTTTAGTTCACTTCATCTTATGTATATGTTGTCTTCGTTATCTATATCTGTAATCTAAAAGGAACCAAAAGTTGCTATTTTAAAAACAGTTATAAAGGAGAGACGTTAGTCTCTTCCCATTCTTGCCAGTTTGGCTGAGGTCCCCTAGCAACTCTCTGACAACTGAAAGTCTCTCGCGGCACCCCATCCCAGGTCCCCACTTAATTATCTGCTTAACATTCGTCACTGCTCACTGTGTCTCTCCCTGTTTACCCTTCCCACTGTCTGTCTCCTCATACTGAGGCACAAAATCCAGGACAGCAAGAGTCGCTCACTGATAGAGCCTTGGAGCCTAGAGCAAGCTTAGCAGTCCAAGGTGTGGCATGAATGAATGAATGATTGAATGAATGATGAGAGAACCGAGACAGGATCTCATGTCACCCAGCCTGGCCTCAGACTCACTATGTAGCCAGGAAGGACCTTGAACTTCTGATCGATCCTTCCATGTCTACCTCCCAAGTGCTGGGATCGCAGGCATGTGTCCCCTCACTCAGTTTCTACAGTGCCGGGGATGGAGCTCAGGCCTTTGTGTATGCTGGGCAAGCACTCTGCGTTACTGGGGTGCATCTCCTCATTTTTCTATAGGAAAAAAACCCTAAATTCTTCTGAATTCATCCTTAAAAGGAGCATGACCTTCAAAGACCTTCCTTGTCTGTGCCCTGGGTAAACCTCTCTCTAGTCTCTAACGGTCCCATGGGGTTAGGAGTTATCATACTGTATGAAGCAGGTATGGGACATCCTGTTGTCACAGAAAGTTCTGCTGGACCTGCCACTCTAGAGATCCTGGAGTCGCAGAGAGAGATCTCTCCAGACCAATCAAGTGCCAGGCTGTCCAGTCCCCCTCAAGCAGACAGGAGAAAACCATCCTTCTTACCCGTGTAAAAAGAAGTCTCATCTAATATGCCCTTCTGGGGCTGGGCATACAGCTGAGCAACAAAGCGAGAACTGGGTTCCAACCTCAGCACCACAGAAGGATAACAAGGGAAAGGAAACAGTAAAAACCCCCCTCCCCCGGAGCAGAACTGGAGAGGCTGCAGAGACGGCTTAGCAGTTAAGTTCACCTGTGGCTCTTGCACAGGCCTTGAATTCTATTCCCAGCACCTACATCAGGCAGCTCACAACCACCCATAACTCCACCTCCATGGGACCTGATGCCCTCTTCTGGCCTTCAGGCACACACACACACACACACACACACACACACACACACACACACACACACAATTTTTGAAGTAATAAAAATAATTCTTGCTGGGCATGCTGGCACATGCCTTTAATCAGGAGGCAGAGGCAGGAGGATCTCTGTGAGTTCGAAGCCAGCCTGGTCTACAGAGTGAGATCCAGGACAGACACCAAAAACTACACAGAGAAACCCTATCTGGAAAATAATAATAATAATAATAATAATAATAATAATAAATAATTCTTTTTTAAAAGTTACTATTCAGAACAAGATCAGATTTTTTTTAACACATGGAGACCCAAAGCTGGACGTGGTGGCACACACATCTTTAATCCCAGCACTCAAGAATCTGATGGATCTCTGGGTTCAAGGCCAGCCTGATCTACATAGTAAGTTCCAGGACAGCCAGGGCTACACAGAGAGACCCTGTCTCAAAAAGAAAGAAAGAAAAGAAGAGAAATGGAGATGCAAGCATGAAAGAACATTAGAAAAAACATAACAGGATGCAGAGAAGGGAATGCTTTATTTATAGGACACTAAGTAGGAAGGAGAGTTGGAAATCCTCCTACATGGGACTTGATATTTGCGATGAAAAGTTTAAACCCCTTCTCTACTGAAGCTCTTAGGATATTTTCCAGAAGTGCTGAATGACAGGGTTTCTGCTGAGCAGGAATTGTTCATGTCCCTGGGAATCTGAGGGACATATCTGGACCCTTATGGAGCTCCTGTCTGTACCGCCCTGTCTCCAGGAGCAGTCCTTCAGTGACCTGGGGGCCAAGTGCAAAGGGTCTCGACACGAGGAAGTCATTCAGCGGCAGAAAAAGGCCTTGTCGGAACTCCGGATACGAATCAAAGAGCTGGAGAAGGGCCACTCTCCCAGTAAGTCCTCTGCTCCTTAGTCCCAGCATGGGGGCCCCAGAGCCTGGTGGACACCCTGGGGACTGGCTGCTTGGCCAGGATGTCCCCGTCATCTCATAATCGGAAGGACATTGTAACACTAACAATGATGGGCCAGCCCCCACCCCCCACCTCCGAGTCAACCGCAGGCCCTGATGTTAAATAAATAGGACATGAAAAACTCACTACTGTCCTCCTTCTTATTTCGCTGTGACCTGGTGGGAACTTTGTCATGGTCTAATGTGACCTGAAGATGAGCCCTGGCGGTGCCTCTTAGAGTACCCCATTCAGAAAGGCTGGAATTGGCTCAGAACGGGCAGCTGGTGGCTGAGCAAGGCACTGGGCACCAAGTGTCCCAGTACAAGTCTCATCTCCATCTCTGTGCCTGAAAGGCCTTAAGTGAAGTTCACCTCTGCAGTGACAGCTTTGTGGCCAAAGCCTTACACTGACTGTGTGGATTTCAGCAAATCATTTAATTTCTCTAGGCCTGGGTTTCCTCTTCTGCCAGGGAGGTCGTGAGGAGTAAAATGGTCCTGTGGTAAGTGTCCCGTAAGTCGTAGCTACAGTGATGATGTGAAATGATGTCTTCCTGAGTCTAAATTATTTCTTTTGTAGATCATAAGGACCACGTGAATGAATCGTTCCTAGAACTAAAGACCCTCAGAATGGAAAAAAATGTACAGAAAATATTATTAGACGCAAAGCCTGACCTGACGCCTCTCTCAAGAATAGAGATCCGATCGGTAACCAAAAATCATTTACCTCTGGCAGTGACTGACATGAGAGGGTGGGCGTTAGGGCTGATGTGAGCTGAGCTGCAAGTCAGTGTGTTGGAGGTTCAGGGCCAGGGCCTCCCCAATGAGCAGGTGTCTGTCTCCATGCACTCGCCAGTGAGTCACTGGATATTGGCACAGACAGTGGCCTCCATCTGCACAGTACAATATGTCATTGCTTTGACTCTAGGCCAAATCGGTCACTGAAGCACCAAGGGCTTGTCCCCTTCCTAGGAGATGTTCCATCCTGCAGAAAATGTCCAACAGGCTGATGGATGAGGCTATGCCATGAGTTTGCCAAAGGCTGCTGTTCCCTCTAAACTGAAAGACATGAACTCGTACAAGCGGAAGGAAGTGGAGATGAGAAGGCCAGAGGGTCCTGTGACAGAGCCCAGCCTGAATGCTGTGTGTCCTCCAGCGAGGCTGCCAGGTGTGGCAACACACACCTGTAATCCCAGGACTCGGGAGTATAGGCATGAAGAGCAGAGGTGCAGGTCATGCTTGAGTACATGCTAAATTTTAGGCCAACCGGGGCTACTTATGACCCTCTCAACAACAACAAAGATCAAGATAACTCTGTGAATGCTTCCCTCCAGTGCCTGACTCAGAATTTATACTAAATAATCTGTAGCTGTTAATCCTAAATAATACAATCCAAGGAAGAAGTAGGACCTTAGATGCCAAGATTCTCAGGAGTGAGTAATTGTGACTTTGGAAGAGACCTTATAACCCAAAGGATGTTAGACTGAGTAGTTAATGGACACATGACAATGGACAGCTCAGGTCGGTGCCAGTCACAGGACCCACTGGCAGACACAACTGGGAATGAAGCACAGGAAGGTTCTAGAATGAACAACAGCGTTACCTTATGTGAGCCAGTATCCTGTCTAATTCTCTTTCTGAGCATTTACTAGCATTGGAGCTGAAGGTCTTTGAAGGGAGCTGGTTTTCTTAATAAAAATCACACACCCAGTCTCCAGGGTTGGGTGTGGCGGGACAGTCTCCAGATGGGAGGTCAGCTAGATCTCATGGCCTGACTCTGCTTCCCAGACAGGCCTTCCCCTTGCTCATGACCCACCACTGCCTCGACACAGGAGGGAGCCTCCCAACTCAGTTTTTTAAAAGCCTTGATCCTCCAAGGTTGGAAGCATTTGAATTATGAGAGTAGGGAGGAAGAAAAGCCCCCACGGATTGGGTGCTTGCTGTGTGCTGGGCTTGAGCTGAGCCCTTCACCTGCTCGGTGAATCCTTGCAGCAGCTGGCCTGTAGCGTGTCCACGGTCCCTAGTTGACAGTTTATGAATTAGGGTTTCAGAAGCCAAGTGCCTCATCCAAGGTCACAGAGATACAGAAGGATGGAGCCTATACTCTGTCCCTGGCTGTCTTCTTCTGGCACCCTGCCAGTCTACAGAGAAGGATGAAAAGGGGAGTCCTGGGGAGGGGTGCAAAAGACTCTGCTTAATTTACTGTCATCTTCAAAGACTCTCCCCTTGTCAGGACTGGGGAGACAGCTCAATGGGTTTGCTTTTCAAACATGAGGATCTGAGTTCAAATCCCCAGTGCCCATGGAAAAAGCCAGGTATGGCACATACCCACCTCTAACTCCAGCATTATGGGAGATGGAGACAGGAGGCTCACTGGGGCTTGCTGGCTGCCAGCCTAGCTCCAGGTTCAGTAAGGGTCTCTCACTGGTAAAGAGTGACAGAACAGGACAACCAATTTCCTCTGGCCTACACACACACACACACACACACACACGGGTTACACATACCTGTACATACATACATCATTCATATACACACACACCACACCATATGCATGTGCACAACATACACACACACACACACACACACACACACACACACACACACACACACACACACATACACAAACGTCTTTTCTTACCTCAATATATAACTGTGTCAGGCCACACTTAGCACTGTAAAACCTTCCTGGTTTATGGTCAGGGTTTTTTGGTGCTATTTTGGTCTTCAGGGGTCACTTGGCAGCACCTGCAGATGCTGAGGGTCACCAGGATGCCCATGATGTACCTGCTGGGTACTGAAGTCCACTTGGATCCTGATGAGGTCTTTTACAGTTACTCATGGCGCTCCACATCTCTGCCTGGCCTGGTTGCTGTCCCAGGCTTCCAGTCAGAGCTTCCAGAGGTCAGCTAACTGATGCAGGGCATAGCAAGTGCACAGCTGGATGGCCCAGCCTACATCATCTCAGGAAATGGTCCAAGGGAGCCTCACCCACCCAGAGAACATTTGAGCCACATCTTCTGAAGGACTCATTTCTGCTGTGTGAAAATGAATTTCCTCCCCCCCAAAAAAAAAAGGAGAACACATCGTTCTTGTGTAGCCTTCATTCATTCATTCATTCATTCATTCATTCCTCAGACACATCTTCTGCCCCTGTGTGACCAGTGAGTGCCACACTAGGCACGGGAGTGGAGTATACACAGACAGCAGCATGGTCCCCATCTCTATGGAGCTTGTCACTTTGGCCAAGGATTCTCAACACTGACACAATATTTGGGGTCAAAGGCTGGGATACCTTAACTGATAAAGTAATTGTCACACAAGCATGACTTGAGTCTGATCCCCAGAACACACATTAAAAAGAGGGAAACATGCTGGCGCACACCTTTAATTCCAGCACTTGTAAGGCAAAGGCAGGTGGATCTCTGTGATTTCTAGCCCACATAGTAAGTCCACATAGTAAGTCCAGACCAGCCAGAGGTACACAGTGAAACCCTGTCTCCAAAAAAAAAAAGAGAGCTGAGCACCATAGTATGCACTTACAATCCCAGTGCTGGAAAAATAAAGACAGAAGGGTTTCTGGGGATTAACAAGCCTCAGGGCCTGGTGAGAGACACTGGATCAAAGAACAAGATGGGAAACAGACAGCTCCTGAGAAATGGCGCCCCAGGTTGGCCACTGGCCTCCCTCTCCACACACACAGCATATTTGGGGTCAGATGACTCCCGTCTAGTTTGACTGGGGACTGTCTCGTTCAGTGGCAGCCTCATCATCCTCCTGTTGGATGCCGGTAGCATGTCCTCTTCAGATAAGCCTCGATATCACTAACAACCTGGGAAAGTGGGGTGCAAACTTAACCCAGCTGAGAAACACTATTCTAGAGTAGGGGCAAACTTGGCTCAGCTGAGACCCTGTTCTAGAGGGAAGACATCAGAGGAGGAACCAGCAGGCATATAACAAAGCCGATGACCAAGAATTCAGACTAGATGGTCAGGAAGAGAGATAAGAAGCCTGTGGAGGCCCTCTTCCAAAGTCACACAGGGTCCTAGCTTCCCCGTGCCTGACACCGACACCAGAACGCCAAGAGAGTATTCGTTTCTCTTTTATTTCAGCCCCAGAATGGCCTTTTAAACTCGGGCTCCAACTTGGCCATCGAGAAGTCGATGAGAACAGATGCTACAGAAGCCTTAGAACTCAGTGAGAAGCTGGTGTGTGCATGCGCCGTCCCCTCCCTTCCCCTTCCTTTCTGCCCAGCATTGGTCCCCACATGTCATCACCGTTAACCACAGGGTCTTTTACTAAGTCTCAATCTCTGAGCCGTATTGAGTTGTTCGAATAACTCGGCAAGACCCGCTGCTACCCAGCATGGGTCAGAAAACAGCACATAGCCCAGTTCCTTGAAAGCTCCATCATTAGAATGAGTGTTAATTTCTTTTGTCGTTTTCCACCCGTTCCGGAAAAGACTTATTGTTCATGGCTGTGGGGGAAATGAAACCTAACTGCAGTCGCTTCCAACATGCTCGTTTGATTCCTATGGCTGCAAAGAATGAGCTGGAATCAGACGTCAGCCTCCTGATGGCCTCCACGTAGCCTCGGGCGCTGCTCTTACCAGCAACCCATCTCCTTGCAGTACATGGACATGAGCAGGACACTTGGCAGCCTGATGAATATCAAGGACATGTTGGGCCATGTGAACTTGAAGCACCTCTCACCCAAAGAGCGGGAGGCGGTCAACCACCTCCGACAGAAGGACCTGGACCTGGTGTTTGATAGGATCACTCAGCTCAAGAACCAGCTTCAGAGGAAAGAAGAACTCCTGAGAGGGTGCCAGTGGGAACTGGAGCAGCTCAGGTACCGCACGGGTTCCCTGCCTAAGCACGGACAGCAATAGGCTGCTGGGTCGGGACAAGACAGAGGCCGGGACTCAGATTAAGTACAAACACCATTTGGGGGACATGACCTCCTGGAGCCTAGCATGCATGAAGCCCTGGGTTCCATCCCCAGCAGTACATAAAACTTGCCATGGTTGTTCGCATCTATAACCCCAGCACTCGGGAGGTAGAGGCAGGAGGATCAGGAGTTCAAGGCCATCCTCTACTACACAGCAAGTTCAAAGCTAACCTGGGCAACATACGACCCTGTCTCAAAATAACAAAAGGCTGGAGGTGATTCTGTAGGTAAAAGTATGTGTCCCACAGCTGTAAGAAGCTGAGTTTGAATCCCCAGGCTACGCATAAAAGCAGTAGTAGGAATGTCTATAATTCTAGTATTGCTATGGGAAGATGGGAGGCAGAATTAGGATTCACTGTTCTGGTATACAAAACAGAAAAGCAACAAAGAGATCCTGCCTTAAACAAGGTTAAAGGCAAGGACCCACACCTGAGCTTGTCCTCCGGCCCCCACACATGCATGCCCACATTCTCACAAACAAATGGGTATTCACACACACACATGTGAACCTTGACTTAGCACTTGTGTGACTTTGAAGGTCCATCATTTCCCAAAGACTTGCAGGTCCCCACCCACACCCTAGGCCCTTGGAAAGGCCAGCAGCACATGCTGAGCCATCCAATGCTGTCCCCGTCCAATGTGTCCTGCACATTCTAGTCCCCAAGTCTTTGTCATAGTCTCATAAGTCAACCCCATATGGAAGGATCTAGAGAGGTCAGGGCCTTCAATGGGGACGGTGAGGGGGAAAGGGACTCTGTCTCTCCATGCACCCAGGCATAGCAAAGTGTCCATTCAGATGTACCAGACGCAGGTGGCAAAGCTGGAGGATGATGTCTACAAAGAAGCCGAGGAAAAGGCGCTACTGAAGGAGGCCCTAGAGCGCACAGAGCAGCAGCTGTACCAGGAAAAGAGACTCAACAGGGCCCTCAAGCAGCATAAGGTGAGCCACTCGGCCCCTTAGAAAGACAGGACAACTGGGAATGGCAGCGCACGCCTTTGATCCCAGAGCTTGGGAGGCAGAGACAGGTGAATCTCTGTGAGTTCAAGGCCAGCCTGGTCTACAGAGTGAGTTCCAGGACAATCAGGGCTACACAGGAAACTCTGTCTCAAAAAAAAAAAAAAAAAGAATGATATAATAATCCCAGGAAGACCCCACAATGCAGATGGTAGCAGAATAGCTTTTATGGTCGACAGACCTGGTTGGGATCTGTACTCTACACTCTACCACCTGCTTTGAGATCTTAAGCAGGCTCTTAACCTCACTGACCCCCAGTGTCCATCTGTATTGTTTTTTATTACATCTGTTTATTTCATTGCCCACACGTGCGTGAGTGTGCGTGTGCTACAATATGCATGTGGATGTCTGAGGACAGTTTTCAGGAATCAGTTCTCTCCTTCTGCCATGTGGGTCCTGGGGATCAAACTCAGGTTGTCAGCCTTGGCAGTAGACGCCTTCACCCATTGAGCCATCTCGGCAGCCCCCTCAACTCTTGGGGAGACAGAACAGACCTCAGTCTCGGAGCAGGCTGACAAGAAAATTAATCACTGCCACCATCTATCTCTTCATGACTTTCCATAGGCCCAGGGCTCGGTCTGTGCTGTGCAGACATGGCCATTTAGTAATGCCATTAAGGGGCCTTCCTGGTGAAGGACATGGTCCTGAATTTCCTTTACAGATCAGGAAATGGAGCTTCGGGGGGTTGAGAGACCAGGGCTGGGGATGGGATGAAGCTCAGCTGGTTGAGAACTTGCCTAGCACTCACAAAGCCCAGGTTCAGATCCCCGACACTGCATAAACTAGGTGTTATGGTGCCTGCCTGTGAGCCCAGTACTCAGGAGGTAGAGACAGGAGGGTTAAGAGTGCAGAGCCAAGTTTGGGGCCCACCTGAGCCACGTGAGATGAGCTCCTGTCCAAAAAAGAAGAAAAAAAGTGAAAATAGAGGGTTGGGAGGCTTGTCTAGGTTCGCACAATGGCTGGCAACCAGGGCTGCACCATGGCCCCAAGCATCTCCCCTGATTCCTGTGCTGTGTGCTGGGCTGGCCCCCAGGATCTCCGTGGTAACTGTTACCTTTCTCAACTTTGGAGATGCATGTTTATGTGTGCATGCATGGATGTATATGCACATATATGTGCATGAGTGTTTGTATGTATATGATTGTGTGCAGAAGTGTTCAAATATGCACGACAATGGACATGCTTGCATATGTGTTTAAATGTGTGACTGTAACAGTGTTTGTGTCTGAGTTGGCATAGGCATACGCATGACTCTTCTGTGTCCATCAACATCAATGTGACTTTCTGTGTGTGTGTGTGTGTGTGTGTGTGTGAGAGAGAGAGAGAGAGAGAGAGAGAGAGAGAGAGAGAGAGAGAGAGAGAGAGAGAGAGAGAGAGAGCGCGGAGAGCACTCTGATGAGGCCAGGTCATGAGAAAAGGATGTCCCTCCCCATCCAGGAAGCTCTACTGGGGCAGGGGTCATTGTAGAAGCCAAGTCCCACCCCAGCAGTGAAAGCAGCCCCGAACACTGCTGTTCACACTCACCCTCTGAATTAAATATCACAAGCCTCCGCATGTGTGTGCCATGGGCTACCTCAGGCAGAAAACCGGGGCCTTCTGCACTGAGCTGTGTCAGGGCAGCTGAAGCAGTGATAGGAGTTTGGACTTGCCAGGGTGCCCACTTCTTCCCAAGGTGCCCCCTGGAATTTGGCAGCCCAGATCCTCGAGAACAGACTCAAAACCATAGAACAGGAGCTCAGAGGGCCCCCAGCAGCCCATTGTGGTGTGCTGGCTGAAAATCTAAGAACCTGAGGATTTGCATAATCAGTGTCACATGCATTATTCATGATCTGCCTCATTCATACACAATGCAGCCGCCCAGGCCCGTTGGCACCAGACATCCTGCATGGACGACCTGAAATGGCCCAGTTGAACCTGCATCAGGGGTCCCAGCAGAGCTAGGGCTGGGGCCTTGCAAATTCTCAGGTTTTACAGTATGGAGGAATAGCTGGAGCTGCAGCATGGCCACATTGTGCTGATAAATGTCACGCTCCACTCAGGCTCACGTGTGCCTGCTGGCTGGGCGCGCCTACTCCATCCTGCACCTGCTGCGTCCCACAGCTTGCAGGGGGCTCATCCTGGGTCAGCAGGCTCAGAGGGGACCTGAGCCTGACAAAGGGTCACAATGCTTGGCAGCCCAGCAACAGACACAGAGCTCCCATCAAGCCCCCTGCCTCACAGTCCCGTAACCTCTTCACCCCGCTGATTGCCAGGGTGGTGGGGGTGTCATTCTAGGGCTCTGGTTCTCATATAAGGCCTGTGATGCTACATGTTAGAAACTCCTGTTTGCTAGGGGAAAAGAAATTCTAAATCATCTGTCCATCCTAGGAGGGTATTTTCATTGAAAGGAAGGAAAGAAGGAAGAAGGAAGGAAGGAAGGAAGGAAGGAAGGAAGGAAGGAAGGAAGGAAGGAAGGAAGGAAGGAAAAAAGGAATAGTTGGTGGGGTGTAGAGGCACACACCCTTTTCATCCCAGCGCTCAGGAGGCAGGGCAGGTTGATCCCTAAGAATCTGAGGCCAGGCTGGTGAAACCCTGTTTTTTTTTTTTGGTTTTTTTTTTTTTTTGGTTTTTCGAGACAGGGTTTCTCTGTGTAGCTTTGCGCCTTTCCTGGAACTCGCTTTGGAGACCAGGCTGGCCTCAAACTCACAGAGATCCGCCTGGCTCTGCCTCCCGAGTGCTGGGATTAAAGGCGTGCGCCACCACTGCCCGGCGAAACCCTGTTTTTAAGGGAAAGAGTCTTAAAGGAAAATCAGTTGTTCTTTAAATTTTGTGTTTAATTTTTTTCTCAAGGAGGCTTAACATTTTTTGAAGTCTCCCGTATAATATCATAAAGATAGACTGTTTGGGGCCCTGGGGAGGGAAATTTCTCGTCTGGAGCTTCAGAACCATGTTCCTCCACAAGAGACAGACAGACAGACACACACACACACACACACACACACACACACACACACACACACACACACACACACTACATATCCATGCACATGCATACACCAATGTATTTTAATGTTTGAGCACCTCCTCACAATACAGAACTTTGCAGAATCAAAAGCCATGCCCCCAAACTAACACTCTTTTTTTCTTTTCTTGACTTTTCATTGATGTATAGGCCTTGCACACGGCACTGGGTTATGTGAGGACACTCTCATGCATATATATACTATACATTATGCACACACACTCACTCTTTCCTATACTCCCTTTTCTCAACCCTACGACATTTCTGCTCCTACTCTCCTGTCTTATGTACATACACAATTTTATAATCTGTGTCTACGGAAAACCTAGGAAGTGCACGTGAGGGACTATTTGTCTTTCTGAGAGGGACTTAACTGTACACTAACACCTTTGACTGTGTGGTGAGACACTAAGAAAACCGTGGTGCTAGACACACACAGAGCCTGGGACCTCAGAGCTCTCTCTGTGGGACAACAGGACCATGACAACACCCCTGGATGCTCAGTTCTGTCCAGTTTCCACATTCCCAGATAAGGCACCTGTCAGAATTAAGAGGTCAACTTTGGAATCAAACGATGGGCTCTGTGCCCACTTCTGAGACCTAGTGACAAGCAGGTGACCATCCCATGTCTCCCGCTTCTCAATAATGGTGGTGGCACACAGGACCCACTTTGCAGGATAGTGGGGAGGGGTACATGGCAGAAGGCCAGCAGCACCCCAGAAAACTCAGTACTAGAGGGAGAGACAGGCAACTCCATACGGTCGGGGCTGGTCCTGCCCCCTCCACAGCTGAGAGCCCAGCAAACCCTGAGGCTTTTCCTGCTCCTGCAAAGCTGGCAGCTCCTTTGTGAAGCATTCTTTTCTAGCTGGTGAATGCAGCTGGGGCCCGGGCCAAGAAAGAGCAGATACTTTCCGTGAATGGCTCAGATGGGAATTTTCAATAGAAAGCTTTTAAACACTCGGGAGCTGCCCTCTGAGAAGCCTGTGAGCCCTTTCCCGGCCTTCATCGGCCTGGAAGTGTGAGAACAGCTGCTGTCAGTGGCTGCTTGCACTCCTTTCCAGGCTCCAGCCTGTCAAATCCCAGCCCCGGGGCCTTGGTGGCTGCTTTCAGGAGTGGTCTCAGCTAGCTGGAGCCCCAAGCCCCTCCCATGTAACTACCTTAGATTCCTTGTCTCAGGGTGAGAATATAATCAGGCCATGGCCCCCAGGGTTCGGTTCAACAAGAGTGTGGGTACAAAGCCTGAGCGAGTAGGATGTCCAATGATGCTTTTGGTCACCATCGTCACCCTCATCTGTTTAACTCACTGCTTCCTAAGATTGGCTTGGGCCCAAATATTGTCTACATCCTCTTTGCCTCTGTCCCACTGTGGCCAAGGAGTAAAAAACAATAGACGTTGGGCAGGTGAGGTTGGCTTGTCAGATAAAGGCACCTGCTGCCCAGTCTAACTATGTAAGTTCAATTCCCAGGACCCATAAAGTGGAAAGAGAGAACAGACTCTCTGGAGTTCATTCTCTAACCTCCACGTGAGCTCATGGCTCCCACAGACACTAGATAAATAAACAAATGTAATGGAAAAAATTGAAGAAGTCAGTAGATACATTGGATCGGGATGGATTGAGAGCCACAGGGATGGAAGGCCGAAAAATGAAGCGTAGGTAGTGGTGCAGAGTGTGGATGCAAAGTGCTGAAGGGAAAGGGTCCCGCCCTCCCACATGCCTCTTCTGAGAGTGTTGGGCAGTGAACCGTAGCATCTCCCAGAAGCCCTCCTAGGTATCCTCCAGACTAACAGGACGGACTAAACGTTCTCTCCCTCCCCTGGTATTTTCACTCAGGACCGAGTGGAAGATCAAGAGCAAAGAAACACATCCTGCAGCTGTCCCTTCAAAGACAGTGAGAAGCAGGTATGGCGAGGGGAGAGCAGGCAGTCACATGCAAAGCAGCCCGTTCTCCTCACAAGGATGAGAACCCTGCAGCCATGAACAGCAGCCCGCACTGCCCAGGGACACAGGCACCCCTCCCCAGCCTCCCTCCCAGCCTCACCCTGCCCACTGCCTACTGGCACTTTGGCAAAGGACCTAGGAGACAGGCAAGTGTCTACCCCAGGGTCCCGAAGTGTAGGAAATCCCAGTGCACTTTTGGCTGATGACACAAAACATCTCGGACACTAAATGGCTTAGAGATTTGGAGACAAAGTCGTGAGAAAAGAGGAAAGGGAGAGAGTGGGGTATCCCGGGACCTCTGTCCTGAGGATGAAGGGTAAGTGGGTACGAAGTGGGACCTGGAATGGAGATGAAAGTCCCTGACTATAGCAGCCATGACACTGGCATCAGCTCTCACCTTACTCCAGGCTTCCTGGCGGCCAGGAAACGGAGATCCATCCAACTTGGTCTCCAGTTCACGCTGATCCCCAAATACAGTACATGAGCTGTTCCCAGTGTCCTCAGAACAAGGATCATGCAGCGTATTCCCCTAGGGGAGCCTCATGTGACATGATGTGCCACATCCCTAAGAGCAGCACACAGTGTCCACTGAGTTACACCTGAGAGCATCTCTTGATGTCCTCACACCCCATGAGTCCAACTCCTGTGCACTGCCCTTCAGGGCTCAGCTATCTGCCAGTTGGCCTTCATTCACAAATGGATTTGGGATCTGTGAGCCAGGGTTCCTCAGAATCCTTGGGTCTTGTGGAAGGGATGACTCTTGGCACCCCCAACCCCACATTAACCAGAGTGGCTTTACTGCATATATTTTATATGCCAGCATGCTCGTGGGACTTGGACTGGGTAAAGGGTTCTGCTGTAGAAAGAGGAGAAAACGGGGAAAGAAGAAGGTACCCAGACAAGGCCTGGGCCTGCAGGTCAGTGGTAGAGTCCTTGCCTAGCATGTAAAAAGCCCTGGGTTCCATCCCAAAAACAAGGAAGGGAGGGAGGGAGGGAGGGAGGGAGAGAGAGAGAAGAAAGAGAAAGAAAAAAGAAAGAAAGGAAGGAAAAGAAAGAAAGAGAGAGAGAAAGAAAGAAAGAAAGAAAGAAAGAAAGAAAGAAAGAAAGAAAGAAAGAAAGAAAGAAAGAAAAGGAAGGTTTTAAATTGCCACTTTATAATAGCGCAGACTCTGGATGGTGGTCATTGTCCAAGCATAGGCCCTCTAAGCCAGGTTTGTGACATGCGTGTCGGCACGTGCGTTTTTTCAAGCACACGCATGTGTGTATGTGGCATGAGAACATGTGCAATTGCTCTTGGAGGCCAGAAGGCATGGCATGTGTCTTGGAGTTGGAGTTACAGGCAGTTGGTCCTAAACCTCCAATGTGGACCCTGGGAACCATGCTCAAGCCCCTGAAGGGCAGCCAGCACTAACAGTCGTCTCTCCAGCACCAACGTGATAAATATTGAACAGCTGCACGCTCAAGGCCTTCTAAGTACAAAATGCCCAGAGGGCAACTGTCAGCTACATTCAGGCCTCAAAGAGTTCTGGGGACAGCTGTTTCCAGAGGATGGCAGAGACTGACAAGCATTCACTCTCCCTGTCCCGAGAGACAGCCCCACTCCCTCCCCCCACCCCCCACCCCCGTGGGTGTTGGGGAGAGCCTGTGGGGCTGCCAGAGTAGGAGGGGAAGGTAAAACAGGACACCCTGTTATAGCTCAACTTCCTGTTTGTTCTTCCTTCAGTGTTGGGGACAGAACCTGGGGCCCCTTGCTTGCTGGGAACAAGCTCTACTACAGAGCTACACCCTCTGCCTTTCGAATTCAGGGAAACAACAACTAGTAATTTAGTCTAAATATGTCCCAAACACTGGATGGAGAGATATTTTCATAGAGATGTGATTTCATTACGAAGTTTGAATGGACTTGGGCACTGTTTTCTCTGGCAGTCTACCACTGAGTATTGACACCAGCTTGCTGCCAGGGTGGGATGCTCAGGAGCAGCATCACAAATAGCTGGCTCATGGGATGTGTTTGGCTTTGAGGTTTTGGTGGTGGTGTTTTGGGGCTTTGGGGTTTTTTTGTTGTTGTTTGTTATACTTTTTAAGTAATATCTTGATAGGCTGAATTTCCAGCTTCTCTGAGAAATTTGTGAGACAAGAACACAAGACCCACAGTCCATCCGCCACCACCTTCCCAACTCCTTAGGAAGGACCAGGCTCCCGGTTCATAGCTTACTCAATCCCTCTTCCTTTTCTTCCATCCAGAGCTCTGAAGGCATCAGTCTTTGTGACCCCCGGGTGTTCAGAGCTCTCTGGGAACTCCCTCTCCCTAATAGCACCTCAGGTTTACTTGCTGACATCTGAACAGGAGGCCCCAGCTCGCTCCCTCCCACTGGTACCCCTGAACCTCTAAAGGGTCTCTCTTCTGGGAATTACCCCTAAGAAGGGTCTGGATGACACCAAGGCCAACACTTCTGAATCAGAACAGCCTGCCAAACTTGGGTGACAGTGGCTTCCCAACAGGCGATCCCCGACAAGCAGGGCAGCCACTGTGGGCTTCTTACACCTGCACTGTGTGGACCCCTGAGCCCTCTGTCCCCCTGTACTGCAAGGCCCTACCACCAACAGAAGCAGCTTTGCCCCCTGAGAAGGGTCTGTGTTCTCTGGGAGAGCCCTCAGCCAACTGGTCTCCTCCTACCTAGAATCTAAGCAGAGATCCTTAAATGGCTATGCAGGACCCCCTATTGGAAGCCTATGTGTCACTTCCTGCCCCCCCCAAAATGGGCCCAACCTTCCAAATGAGCAGCATTTTAAAATAGAGAAGAACCCATTCCTCTTTGAGGCAAAAGGCAGTATGAGTCTAAACTAAATATTGTCACTGTCCTTTCTGTATTAAAGAGACGCATATTTGTAGAGATGGTCAAGAACAAGATGCAGAAGTCAAGTCTCCAGGTGAGTCAGAAAGAGAGGAAGCAGTTAGCAGTTACCTCACTTCTGCATTTGCTACTGGCATAACATCTCATTCACCTCTGGGGCAGGAGTTAACCTAGCCCACAGAGGGGGGAATCTGAGGCTCAGAGACTGAGGTGTCCCCAGACACACAGTTAATGAGGAGAGCTCCGTGGAGCCCAGCGCAGGTGGGAGATATTGAGTGTACCACGGTTTGGATAAGCATTTCTCTTAAATTCCGAGAGAACACCACCTAAAATATTCTTTTTTAAGATCTGGAAAACAAGACTGACATTTTAAATATACTGAACGATCGCAGTTGTGATCCAGCCCTTCCTGGAATTGCCCCAATCCGCACTCTGCCTTGCCGAAAGCAGAGGCGAGCCTGTGGAAGCCTGGAGGTAGACTCGCTTCCTCTGTACATGAACAGGGAGATAAGTTTGTCAGCATTTTAGGGGTACAGCTGAAGGAGGCATAGCACCCCCCAGTATAGCCTGGCCTCCCCAGAGCTCACATACACACACACACACACACACACACACACACACACACACACACACACACACACATACACACACACACACACACACACACACACACACACACACACACACACTCACAATGTCACCCTTGAGAGCTTCAGGGACCTCAACTCAGGCTAAACTGGGATTCGGAGCATCAGTGACGAAAAGCATTTCAGGGCAGGCCAGTTTATAAAGCAGAATTGGAGATTTTAGATTTTATTCCAGATAGTTTCTTATAGGCACAAGGGTTATGTCAGACATACCCAAGTGTGGGTGTGGGCTCCTCAGGGGAGAGTCAAGGCTCTCCCCATGTTTTATGATAGTCATATATTGGATTTGGGGTGGTGTTTGAATTGATGATCTTATCAGTGGATGTTCCCTGAGAGGCAAAAGACAGGATTACAGTTGATAAGGCTGAAGTCTAGCCTCCAGGGTGCAGGAAGGTAGGCTGTCTTGCTGTCGCAGGCAATGTCTGGGGAAAGCATGAGAGCCAGCTAGGGTCAGACACACTCAGACTTTTAGCTGCTTTAACGTTAAATGTCTATGCACGAGAGGACTGTGGACTCCGGGTCAGCAGCCTTTATAGAACGGTTAATTATGCTAGCTTCTTGCATCTCTGCTGGTGAGCGGCTTCAGACCCTCGGGTGAGATGCTCCTGTCCCTCTCATGTCCCCATAATTTCTGTCTCTTCTTGTGCCCCGGGTCCCTGAAAGGCTACATTAGTCTAAAACAACAAAATTAACATTGGAAAAAGCATAACGTCTGTGTAGGGAACTTTTTTTTAGCCAGGCTCTCACCATGTAACTTTGGCTGGCCTAGAGCTCACTATGTATACCTGGCTAGCCTTGAATTTGCAGAGATCTGGCCTGCCCCTGTCTCCTAGTATAGAGGCATGCATATGCTACCATGCTTGGTCATAAAGGCCTTTTGTTTTTTTTTTTTTTGTTTGTTTTTGTTTTTGTTTTTGAAGACAGAGTTTAACTGTCCTGGAACTCGCTCTATAGGCCAGGCTAGCCTCAAAGTCACTGAGATCTGTCTGCCTCGGCCTCCCGAGTGCTGGGATTAAAGCTGTATGCCACCATTGCCTGGCCAAAAGGAACATTATTAAAGATCAAAAAAAGAATCTCTGCTTCAATATCTTTATGCCAACACTAGACAAGGTAGATGTTGGGAGGACAGAGAGCGTCCTAGGGTCCCTTTGACCTGAGACCTTTGCCTGCTGTGAAGAGCAGACTTGCCTTTCATCCACAAACACGGGAGAGACGCCGTTAGTTTTTGTCTGAGAACTGCCTGAGGACGTAAGCAGACAAAGACATCTAGGGGGCCCAGATGTCACAGGAACATTGTGCTTCTCTGATATGGAGATCCAGGAATGTCGGGTGTCCTCTGGGCTGCAGAGTTTGGGACAAAGTGTACTTCTGCTCAGAGTGCAGCAATCTCATTTCCCGGCCATGAAGGCATCGCTTCAAGCTTTGGGGTCTAGGACTCAATGGCGCAGAAAGCTTTGCTCCAGGCTTCTTGCAAATTTTTGCTGGGTCCCCTCCCTAACACGCCTGGAGTTCTGAGGGAGACAGAGTCAGCATGGTCTCTGGGAAAAAGACGGGGCCTGCAAAGTCTCTTCCAGGCTTGCCCACTCATAGGTCCCCCCTAATAGTTTCAGAAGTGTCTCCACTTGTCAAGGCTCCATGACCTTTGTCTTCTGCCCTCCAAAATGTCACAGGCTGATTCTCGTTCCCTTGCAGCCAACAGTCTTTTGTCATTGTTTGTGGGTTGTATGCCAAAGTGGGCATGTTTCTGGTTTCCTATGGTCTAAAAGACCTCTTAGCCACTTGCTGATTGCTTAGGCTGGGCTACCATACTGCTTTGCATGGGGTCGGAAGCATGAGCCACCAGGTTCTACCGTGTGACAGACATGAACTGAGAACCTGGGACGTGGCAAGTGAGGACAAGTGTGGAGGTTAATTGTGCATCCCCAAAGGGGCAATGCCACCTCCAAGGGGGCAAACATGAGTTCTTTATGTATAATCACATACACCAAACACACACACATGCATGCATACATGTGCCTGCACAGGCTGGGCATCCCTGATCTAAAGATCTAAAATACAAACTTCCTTAGCACTGACATGTATGTATACATGTGTGCACATGCATAATACATATATATATATATATATACATGAATATCATACATTTTCATATACTTAAGGGAGGTTAGGGAAAGACATCCACAATGTCAGCAAGAGGTGATAATGAATGAAGGGTTCACAAGGGAACTAAACCAGAACACTCATAAAAATCCTTGCCTTCCTGGCTTAGCCTTGGAACTATTTTTTTGTTAAGCAAATGCAAGTGCTAATAATTACTTTGGTCAAAGTGCTGGGAAGGCAAAGGTTGGTAGGCAGAGCTCTAAAGCCTCTTTCAAGGGGTCCCACCCAGTCTGAGGCCACAGAGGTCTGTGGGGAGATGGCTAAGGCACCCGTGGCTGCTTGGGAACGGCTTGGGCCTTGCGGTTGGCCAGGAAAAGCCAGCCCCGAGTATAATTTCCACCTAGCAGCACTGTTGCAGACTGGGTTCTGTCCCTTAGGATGTGGTCTGTGATCCCAAAGATGTCAAACTGAACACTGGGTCCTGGCTGTCTGGAGGCTGGCTCAGGCTGGGCTCTGCCAGGGCTCCACCCCTTCCTGTTTGCATCAGCGGGTCCAAAGTCAGCAGCTGCCTCCTCTACCCAGGTCCATGGACACATCTGCCTTCTGCAGGGCCTTTTCTTGTCAGGCAAATAGACACCAGACAGTCCCTTCTCCCCCTACTCTTGGCAGACATGGGGGTGGCACCACCTGGACCTGGGAGTCTATTTTTGATAAGCGTCTTTCTGGCTCTGGTGCCACAACAGGTTGGGGCAGTGACATTTGGGAACCATCTGCAGATGGCAGTTTTATTGAAAAATCCGGTGAAAGAAGTATGAAGGGAAGACCTCGCAGAGGGAAGAGGATCTCGGTTGCTATCTGGTTTCTTCCTCCCTGGTGTGAGGTCAATAGTGGCTGAGTGGCCTACTGCACCTCCCTGGTGTCAGGTCAATGGTGGCTGAGTGGCCTACTGTACAGGCTTTCCTCCCCTGAACGGATTCTGAATGCAGGCTCTCAGAACATGTTCAAGGGCCAGGTATGGTAGGTAGCATATGTCTGTAATCTCGGCACTTGGGAGGTACAAGCAGGAGGATCAGGAATTGAATGCTAGCCTGGCCTATCTCACCATTTCAAGGTCAGCCTGGACTACATAAGATATTGTCTTAAAAAAAAGAAAACAAAAAACAAGGGGCTGGAGAGTCGGCTCAGCAGTCAAGAGCACTTGTTGCTCTTGCAGAACACGTGGGTTCGATTCCCAGCACCCACACGGTGGCTCACAATCATCTGTAACTCCAGTTCCAGGGCATTCAACACCCTCTTCTGACCATAGCAGGCATCAGGCATGCATGTGGTCACATACATCCTTGCAAGCAAACCACTCGTACACATAAAATAATAAAATCATTTAAAACAAACATTTAAGGCTCCCATCTGCCACTGGTCTGGGCCTCCCAAGGCTAATTTCAAAGCTGTCCCATGCACAAAGAGATCAAGATATAGCATTCCTGTTAAGACATTTCCAGAGACTGGAGAGACACCTCACATGTTACAGCACTTGATACCAAGCCTCATGACCTGAGTTTAGACCCCAGTACTCACAAGGTAGCGATAACAGACTCCTGCAAATTGTACTCTGACTGTATGCATGGCATGCACAGACATGCACACGCATGTACACACATGCATACACATCCAATTAAATAAATTATTTATTAAATTAATTTAAAATTAAATTAAATTAATTTAATAAATAAAATTAAAAAACAATAAACCTTTCCAGAATGACTCGACGAGTCTCTGAGGAAGACAGGCCCCATAGCCTGATATTCATCTGACAGAGGTTGTGGGGGTGTCGTAGAGTGACAGCTGAAACTCACCATATCAACCAGCTCCCCTTAGCCTTGGATGTATGTGTATACTAATTTCTGGAGTCACACATGTGTAGGAGACAGCGGGAAGCATGCATCCTGTTAGACAGGAGCTGAAAAGGCCAAGGTATCTACAGAACACAGAGGACCATGTGCGAGAGGGCTTCTGGAACTGTGGTCATCTACCCACAAAGGGGAGATGTGTAGGTAGAAGCAGCGATGGGTGTCCTGTAAAAACCAGAGAGGACTGGATGCTGTTCACACACACACACACACACACACACACACACACACACTGTCCACTTCACTGCCCCATTCCTCTGCAGATCTCTTCCTAGTCACGTGACAGGAAGCAAGTGAATGACGCCTCAGGGTCCATAAACACCAGTCCTTGGAGATCATCATTCAAAAAGCCTAGCTGTGGCCTGGGAGCAGCACCAGGCCTGTGGCTACCATGGTGTCCTCTGCAGAGGGAGTGAGGGAGCAGAAAGGAGCGAGGGCCTCCTGAAGAGTCAGCCATGTTCTCTTGCCAAGCCGTCAGAGCCACAGGACACCTTCAGACCTGTGACAGCTCAGCGGGAGAAACGCCACCCCGAGGAGTAGGAAATGCCACCCTGAGGAGCAGCTCCTATCACACAGCTCCCATTATCAGACATACCATGTAAACTGAGGCAGGAGGAAAGCAGTCCGCGTGCAGCAAGGATGCATCCAAGCACGAGGCTTATCTTTGGGGAGCATGGCCCTGACCGATCGTTGCACCCCCTGTTCCTAGCTGCATGTGTATGTATTCTACTTTATTTCACGAACAAAAGCTGCACAGGATCTGGCATTGCTGACCCATCGGCAGAGAGCTTGTACTGCTCTGGCGGAGGAGTGGAGTTTGGCTCCCAGCACCCACGTCAGGCATCTCACAAACGCGTGTAACTCCAGCTCCAGGAGCGATCTGCTGCCTCTGGACTCCTCAGGCACCTGAACAAGCATGCATGTCCTCAGACACATACAGACACGTACACATAATTTAAAAATAAAGTAAATCTGCCGGGCGGTGGTGTCCACACCTTTAATCCCAGCATTCAGAAGGCAGAGGCAGGTGGATCTCTGTGAGTTCGAGGCCAGCCTGGTCTACAGAGTGAGTTCCAGGACAGCCAAGGCTACACAGAAAAACCCTGTCTCAAAAAAAAATTTTTTTTAAAAGGTAAATCTTTAAAAAAAAAAAATGCATAGGTAATTTGGGTCCCTGACTGTACTGACAAATTTTGTGTATCTGTTCTTCTTTGTTCATTGAAGGTTGGAGCCAAGAAAGCCACCCTGAAGACAGGCCAAGAAAGAGAGACAAAGAAGGAGGCATGCAGGTCTAGCCAGAGTCTTTCGTTTGCTAAGCTGGGTGGAAAGAAATAGAAAGCACCCTGTCCCAGGGCCTCAGATGGTCCTGAGTGAGTCACTTTGACTCTCCAGTAACTGAGGGATTTTTATAGCACTTTAAAGATGATTTGATATTTTCACAGAATGTATTTTGGATTATGTGGAGAGAGGATTTTTTTTAAATATCTATAAATGTATATACATGCAGGTATATAAAGAATATGTCTATAACCCAAACTCCTAGTTTTGTGGACACAGTTGTGTGGTTCACTTTTGGGTTACAGTGTACCCAAGCATCGGCTCCTCTAAGGAGCTCCAGGAGACCCAACTGGAGCCACAGGGCAAAGGGGAAACTGAATTTATATCTGAGTTTATTATAATAAATTTAGAATGCCAATCAATTCCATCGCTTCTGTAATCCTGACTGACATTTCTACAGCACTTTGCAGTTCTCAATCACTTCTCGAAGAATCCTTTCCCCAAGCCCTTCATTCCTCCATTTCACAGAGCTGGATGTCAAGCCCCAGAGAGGTTGACTGGCCTGCCTACAGTCTCTCAGCCGGTACACTCAGGAGCTGGGCTCAGAGGCTGGCTGTCTAATTCTGTCACATTGTCCATTCTGCTGGACCGAGTGACCCTTGTCTTCCCAGTCTCTGGCTACAGGACAGACCAAGAACTCAGTCACCAAAGAACACGTACTCGGTTTCCATGGTGTTCACAGAGACTCTCTTTCTTCTCTGGTGCCCTGCCTTCTGTTTACCTCCTCACTGACATTCTTTCTTGGCCTTGCAGCCAACCACACCTAGGTGGAGAAGGAGCCAAAGGACACAAAATTGATTGTTGTTGTTGTTGTTTATTTTTAAAAGCCACAATAAAAATATTTTCATATTCTGTTCTAGTTTCATTTCTGTTGCTATGATAAAAATACCCAGACCAAAAAAGCAACGTAGGGGATAAAGGGTTTATTTCAAGTCATTTTGCCAGTGTCAAGGCAGGAACTTCAAACAGCCAGTCATGTCACACCCACAGTCAAGGGCAGAGAGAAATGCGCGTATGCATGCTCACTCGCTGTGCTCAGCTCAATTTCTCTACTCTGCTGCAGTTCAAGTACCCCTGCCTAGGGAATGGTGCCACCTATGGTGGGCTGGGTCTTCCCACATCAATGAATTTCATTAAGGCGATGCCCCATAGCTATGCCCACAGACCAAATGGAGTAGGCCATCCCTCCTTGAGACTCTCTTCTCGGGTGATTCGGGGTTGTGTCAAACAGACAAGTAAAGCTGACCATCATGTATTCTAAAACCAAATGTATTCTTTATACTTGTTAAAACTTGGGGAGTAGAGGATAAACTCTTTATGTAGTATTCCATGACAGGTATATCCAAAATCAGAGAGGTGAACTGTACTTGACCTTAAAAATGCTTCTGAAGGGCTAGAGAGACTGCCCAGTGGTTAAGAGCACTGGCTGCTTTTTAGAGGACCCGGGTTTAGTTCCCAGCACTGGCAAGGCAGCTCACAACCATCTGTAACTCCAGCTCCAAGAGATCTGACACCCTCTTCTGGTCTCCACAGGAAACCGCATACACATGGTGCACATAAGCACACACATAACAACAAAAAATTTAAATATTAAAGAAAGGCTTTTTTTTAAAGCTCCTGAAAAATCTCAAAAATATTTTTCATGAAGAACCTGAACTGAGCCATACCTGTGATCCCAGAACTCCAGAGTTAGGGGGAGTGGGGGGCAGGAGTTCAAGGTCAACCTCAAGTACATAGCAAGTTTGGGGACAGTCAAACTTGAGACTCTGTCTCAAAAGGGGGATGCTGACGAGATGGTTCAGTGCTCAATCATGAGGACCTGAGTTTAAATCCCCAGTACCTATTAAAAAGCCAGGTGTGTCTGGACACTCACCTGAAACTGCAGTGATGTAAGCACAGAGACAGGAGAATTGCTGGGGCTTGTGGGCCACCAGCTTAGATCCGGGGTCAATGAGATACCCCGACTTAGTGGAATAAGGTGAAAAGTGATAGAGTGAGACACCAACAGCCTTCTGGGCTTCTGCATGAGTGCATATATGAGTGCTCCTATCCACACACATATGCACACATCAAACACACACACACACACACACACACACACACACACACACACACACACCAGAACTGAATAATTTTATTGGCCCTTGTCCTCAAACTCCCAAATAGCAAGTTTTCATCCAAAAACCAATACAGATCACTAAGTTCAGCCACAGTCAGAGAAGCTGGAGCATGCTTGCGAACCAAAGTATACAGACAGACACATACTGTTTGTCTGTTGTACATGTGCATAGGATTCACATGTGTTGAAAGTATGCCTGTAGAAATCTGTTGGATTTTGGATTATTCAAGGGTCATATTAGTCAGGATGGTGGCACATGTGTGTGATCCCAGTGCTCAGAAGGTGGGGGCAGGAGGATTGCAAGAATAAAGTCAAGCCTAGGTTACATAGTAAGTTCAAGGCTAGCCTGAGCTATGTAAGAAGACCTTGTTTCAAAAAAAAAAGAAAAAGACAGTAAGAAAGAAAGAGAGAAAGAGAGAGAGAAAGCAGGAAAGAAAGAAAGAAGGAAAGAAAGAAAGAAAGAAAGAAAGAAAGAAAGAAAGAAAGAAAGAAAGAAAGAGGAAGGGAGAGAGGGAGGGAAGAGACACAGTAATATTTTTTTCACCTTTACAACTGACCTCACTTCCTGACACCTGCCTTCCCTGGAGCAGCAACCCACATCAGATTTGCTGCATCATCAACCATAGCAGACCGGTTATAAGCGACCTGACTCCCTCCCAGTTCAAGCCGAGCCCATCAGCACCTCCATCCTTGGCATTTGGAAGTGGACACTGAGATGCCACTCAGGTCATCAGTGAGTTGGGGATGAATGGTGATGCAGTCCCAGGGCTGGGTCAGCCGAGTTCCCACTTAGATTCAGAGAAAGACAGAAAGAGCGGGTCCTCCGGAAGGGAAGTCAGAGCGTGTGTATACAGAGGCCCAGAAGCCCCGAGAGCTAGCATGGGGACTATGCAGATAGAAGTCACTGGGAGCAGACCCTGTCACTGCTTTGTCACTGTGCGGTCATCGCCATCCTCTGCAACACAGGCTGAAAGTTCCACGTCTTGGTCTTTCCTCCTCCCTTGCAGCTAGAATTACTGTGCAGAGCCGGATGTCGACACAGACGTCAGAGTCCTGGGAGGGCTTTGCTTCTGAAACAGAAGGGGAAAGCTGCCTTTCAGTGACAACAGAATAGAAAGGAAGAGGATCCTGAGGGGCCTGAGGCATCCGTGAGCCCTAAGTCATGACAGGGCCTGGTGGCATCCATGAGCTCTAAGTCGTGATGGGGCTGCCTATCTATGAACTTTGCTTGTCCCCACACATTGAAGCCAATGTAGTCAGGTGTGTGTCTGCTCTGGAAAAAAACACCCAAAACTTGGCAACATAAAACGACAAATACCATGTCTCATGATTATACAGGTCAAGGTAGGCCAGAGCTCTTCCGTCTACCCCAGATGATTACAGGTGGCCTTGTTTACATGTCTGGTTCCTGACAGATCAGTGGGTTGGGGTAGCGGTTCTCAATCATGAGCAATGCCACTAATCAGACAGTGGGTGGAGGCTGAGGTTGCCAAATACCCCATACCTCACAGAACCATCCCAGTGCAGAAAAGCACGTCATCCTCGATGAATAGTGAGATTGTGAAACTCAGTCTAGGGAGGCCTTGACTGGGCTTGTTGCATATGGTGTGCGCTCTCCCACATTCCCAGGGATCCGACAAGGCTCACTCCTGTGGTGGCAGCCAAGGGTTCCCAAGAGCAGCTGTTGAGGGCAAGTCCCAGTACATGCATCGTCCCTACCTGCCTCGTGTTTGTTAGTCTTCCAGTAGACAAAGAGTCAGTACAGGAGGGGCTCGAAATCTTCACAATCCTCCCACGCCATGTTTCTGTTATCTGAAGCTGAGTACATGCCCAGCTGACCGCAGGAGAATGCTACCTTGCTTTCTGGTCAGTCTCAGTCCTAAATCTCAGTCCCTTCTAAAAGACAGCTGGCCCTAGTGCCCGCCTTTGCCTTCCGCTGGGGCAGGATACCTGGGTTCTGTTGGGTCAACGGTTCAGTCGGTAGAGTGTTCTCTGTGCGAGCATGAAAACCTGAGGTCCATCCCCAGAACACGCGTAAAAAAGAGGACTGTGTACTTCCAATCCCAGTACTGTGGGGGTGGGTGAAGACAGGCAGATCCCTCTTGCTCCCTAGCCAGCCAGGACAGCCTAATCATTGGCTTCCAGGACCCAGTGCCCAGTCTCAAGGCACAAGAGAGACGGAGACACCTGAGGTCTCACACCTGAGGTTGAAAACTGACCTCCACACACATGTGCACAAACCAGTATGTATAGACACACACACCAGTACACACACACCAGTACACACACACACACACACACACACACACACACACACACACACACCGGATTCCTTGGTTGCACACAAGAGAAACTCAGGAAGGTAGTTATTAAAGGAGTTGAGATGAGCTAGAGAATACAATAGAAAGTTAGCCACACAGAAGCGGAGGCTGGGACAGCCCGGAAGTGGCTTTTCTCCCCCCCGTACACATACTGGTGGCTCTGAGGCACACCAGCAATGTGACCTTGGATACAGGAGTGGGTGGGCTATGCCCGGCTAGGACAAGTCACCCTCAGTTCCTCCTGCCTCTCTTCCCCGGCTCCCCCAAGAAGCTATGGCACACACCCCCTTCTGCCATGCTGACGGCAGCCCGTGTGGAAGCCCGGAATCGTGACTCTGCAGCTAAGGTGCCTTCTCTCACAGCTTGGCAGCATCACCAGTGCCTGCTGCCGCAGAAGCCAGAGTCAGGGGATGTCTGGGTGGGAAAAAAAAATAGCTTCCGGATCTTCATCCCAAAGCTTGCTCCTAGTAAAGACTGTGGTATCTGATTGGGGGGAGGGGGATTGAGAGGGGAAAGCAATACGGTCAGGACTCAAGGAAACCAAAAACCTGCAAATGCTGATTGTGGCCCTCTTTCTCCTGCAAGGGGCCTCCTGAGCAGGAGGGGAGGGTGGACTGTTTCAGCTTATCAGCTGGCCTGGTTTCCATCAAGATCTGCTGCTTACATCCGTCCTCTCAGTGTCTGGTTATTTTGGGACAACTCATGACCTTATGTGGCTGGCTTTTTTTTTTTTAAACGTTTTCCTTTGCCCATCTGTTCCCAGGAATCCATAGCCATGCCTCCATTCTGTGATGGACACATTAGCAGGTTGCTTGTTTTGAGTTTCATCTCGCTTTTAGCATAAACAGCTTCCCTCCCTGAGACCCCAAGATTTGGAAGCAGAAACCGTATATTCTGTCTAACTGGGGTCTTATCGTCAGACAAGCACGTTTCCTTTGACTAGTAAGTCACCTTTTCAGGAAAACAATTAGCCTTCAGTCAGGCAACAGATCCTGCTATGGGCCAGGGACGCTAGCCTTCCTCGCTTTGACCTTTGCTCACTTCACATTACGAATCTACTGCTTTTAAATTTTATGTGTGTGAGTGTTTGCCTGCTTAAATGTATGTGCACCACGTGCATGCAATACCTGTGGAGGCCAGAAGAGGGTGTCAGATTCCCTAGCACTGGAGTTACAGATGGTTGTGAGCAACCACGTGGGTGCTGAGAATTGAACTTGGGTCCTCTGGAAGAGTAGCCAATGTTCACAACTGCCAAGCCATCCATCCTTCTCTCCAGCTCCTGATCTATGGTTTCTTAAATATAATTTTTCATTTATCACTTAGGTGTAAATGTGTGCTTGTCTGTGCAGGAGCCCATGCAGACC